AAATCATTCTGGCAACAAAGAAAAGGAGGTTCTTCAAACAAAAAAAATTAACATTCTTTTAGGAACAGTGACTAAATTGAGAGCATTAATCAAGCAAGATTCAAAACAATATAGAAAAGGAAACCGACGTTGCTAAAACGAGGAACAAGCGGAACAACCTAGTAACAAGCGGAACAACCCAGTAACAACCCAGTAACAAGCAGAACAACCCAGGAACAAGCAGAACAACCCAGTAACAAGCAGAACAACCCAGTAACAAGCGGAAATGTGAATTAATTGTTTAGTAAAAAACAAATGAGGGCGTTTATAATCCAACTCTCTGAAGTTCGTGTGGGCTAGAACTATCAAGAGGCCGTCAATCATGTCTTCGTCTGTTTCGGAGGCTTTGTGATTTTGCCAACGATCGAATCTATCGATCCCCGATCGGGACGAAAAATAAATAGTGAAGCATGCCTAAAGGGGTATGGGGAATGCTCCCCCAGAAATTTTTGAAAATGGTGGCTGCTCTGGGGGCTATTTTGGTTGCTAAAATAGATATGCTGGGTAAACTGCTCTGGCGGCAGTGGCTAAGATAGAGGGCATCAGAGGGTGGCAACAAAACCCTGTAGAGCTAGACCGAGGGACAATTCACTCTTGAAAATTGCGTACAAGATTTTACCAAAACTTAAGGATTTCTAGGGATTTTCAGATAAAACAATAGGATTTTCATGAAAGGTGTACAAGATTTTCTTGGAGTGATTTGCCCCTCGAGCTAGACTCCTATTTTGTCGGAAAACCTCTGGTCTTCTGGAAATTTTCTATGTTTATCTACTTGCTATGTTTTATAGGAAAGAATTTAAAGCTAAATAAAAATAAGAATATCTGGATATGTCAAAATATTTATTTATTTCAGTTCTGATGTCGTTATATTTTGTGTACTTAGATATGATTGTATTTAGAGTGTATTATGGCTCTTCAACTAAGTTTATTTAGATAAATTAATTTTTTTATGATGATGATGGAAACGCCAAGCATTGGTTGCGTGTTTGTCACCCTGCCATCAAAATTTCACGATATTGCGCCATTCAATCGCCTGGGGAGAAAAATGACATTGATGTGCCTACAAGAAAAATCATGCCCTGTCGTGGGATAAAAGTCGGAAAATCCAGGAACCAGGAAACTGATGGTTTGCCTAGAATCATTTTTACTGAGGCGGAAACCTCTTCTTTAATCCAAATTATAAGTTGTAAGAGGTTGCCCATTGTATTCCTTCCCATGCAGTACATTGTTATAAAGGAAACATACTACAGTAAGACAATTATTGGTGGGGCTTCAGAAACCCCCCCCAGCCCCCCGGCTCCGACGGGCCTGAAAAATGTGATTGCAACAGGGCTACATGTACAGATTTACAATATGGCATGCACATCTATTTGCAACAGTGTGTCTGTTGTGATCGAATGTATAGGCATGCTTTACTATTTATTTTTCGTCCCTATCCGGGGTCCATAGATTCTCTCTGTCCGTTGGCAAATTCACAAAGCCTCCGAAACAGACGAAGACATGATTGACGGCCTCTTGATAGTTCTAGCCCACACGAACTTCAGGGAGTTGGATTATAAACGCCCCCATGTGGTATTTACTAAACAATTAATTCACATTTCCGCTTGTTCCTGGGTTGTTCTGCTTGTTCCTTGGTTGTTCCGCTTGTTACTGGGTTGTTACTGGGTTGTTCCGCTTGTTACTGGGTTGTTCCGCTTGTTCCTCGTTTTAGCAACGTCGAAAAGGAAACATGATATTGATGTCTTTAGATTGCAGAATCTTTTTGAAGAAAGTGAAGAATGGTAAGCATGAATTGCAAAGCAACTGATTTCTTGCAGCAGTGCAAGGAGGGCTGTTTCTAACATCAAGAAGGCATTTATTTAAAGTAAATTATATTCAACTTTGGTTGAAACAACATATGATACTCTGCAAAAAAGTCTTATTTATTGATAGCTATTTTAGTTTGCTACATATTTTAAAATACTTTTTAAAATACTTGATTTGAAAGGTAGATTACAACCTTTTAAGAAATTATATTGCTTAGCAAAATGCTGTATCATAATTAACTACCTGATTTTTGGTTCCAAAGTTTTCCTATCAAGACAAAACACCACAGAAGTCAAAGCAGAATGCAAATATCCATGACTCTACATTAAACAAATTTATGTTAATTTATATAATATAAAGATTATCAAAATTTTAGTACATAGTCTTTCACAAACTGGTGTTGATTTTTATTAGTTTCAGTGCTTTGTTTAAAAACATTTTGTTGATGCTTTTGGTTTTTTTGCTCAAAATTTCTTGTAATGGTTATTGACCTTTACATTTAAAGTCTGATTCACTTTAACATTCATATCCAAATAAAATTTCATGTACTAAAGTATAATTAGAAAACTGTTGTGTTTTTTCTTAAAAAAGAAAAATGAGATAATGACTTTTGAAATCATCTTACATTGAGCTGCAATCCTTCAGAGCAGATTAAATGCTGGTCAAATGAAATTCTATCAGAGCTTTTTCATGAGAGATGTTATAGAATTTGAAATCATTAAGGGTTCTTATTTTCTTTCAATTGTATTATTCAAATTTAGGTGTTAAGTCATGCTATTAAGCCTTAACTTGCTGCTTTGATTTCTTTGGAAATAATAGTGAATGTAGTTAGGTTTTCTTTGATGAAAGTTGTTACAGAGAGTGTTAGTAAGTGTTTTGGATAGGGCTTCTTGTTATTTTAATGTATGCTTTTGCCAGGCTGTTCCCTTCTCCTGTCCCTCTCTCTCCTTCTGGTTTAAAGTAAAGTGTGTTTCTTCAAATCCTCTATAATTTTACCTCATAGGGGTTTGGGCTTATTAACATAACAGTTCAACATGATAAAGATAAAGAAAATGGTGGAAGATTTGTGCCCCACCAACCCCCCCCCCAAGGCCCCCCTGCTCCGCGGTGCCTGAGTCTTGTCATCAAATTAGCAAATATAATTGGTTATTAAGAGTTTCCGCGTTTTCTGCTTTTTCGATTTTCACCCTCTTTCAAAATCGAAAACGCGGAAAACGCGGAATTCTCATTCCTGTAAAAATAAGGTCTTATATCTTAATTATTGCAAGAGCCCTGTTGCTTTGTTTATGTATTTCCATTTCAGAAACTTTAAGCAAAATTTCACTTTCCCGCGTGTTCCGCGTTTTCCGCGTTTTTCGACCTGGCCATAGTATGCTCATTGAAATGCTACTGAATCACTCAAAGACGACGTCAGACTCTTTTCTTTCTTCTTGCATTCGCTAATACAAATAATATCCATTTATAAAGTACGGATTAACTGTATACCATCTACGTTATTGATAAAAAAGCTACCTGCGGGACATTATTCATAGCAAAGTTATTATGCTAACTACATCCATACCAGGCCCTTTTTTATTGTTTTTGTAGGAATGTTGCGAAATATCGGCCTATTGGTTTGAGGAAAGATAGAAGCAGTTGTGGACCCTTTACATAGCAAGATTTCATTCCAAATTGAAAATACGACCCTCCTCAACCCAAAAGACAACAAAAGCAATAGTTCGGTATTTGGACAGTCAAAGAACTTGACTGAGGTACTGGAGTAGCCAAATAGAATTAACTGAATCACAGAGTAATTAACGATACAAATTTCCTGTGACGTTGCTTTGACTGAGGAACAACAACTAGTAATGAACTCTCGAGAATTTCAGCTATTTCCTCTGTTTTCAAACAACTAATTGGCAGATGTGATTCTTGTAAATCACTACGAGGATCATAAAAATCTGTGTATAATCCACACTTTTCTAATCATTGTAGTTTGTATTTTCTATGGAGTAGCCCCAACTCAATCCACTGTTTCCCTGTAAGCAAAATGATCTAGTGAAAGAAGAAATGGAAAAGTAGCCCTTTGAACGATGGAATCGTTATCGCGGGGGTGTTGGAAAGGGCATTCATCTTGGTATTTGGAAAATTTACTTCGAAAAATGGAATTTTTGGCATTGGAAAAAGGAAAGAAAAATAGCTAAGAATGAAAATAATTTCTTTCACTGCCTTGAAAATAAAACTGGTTTCGCGGATCTGGAAAAAATCTGGAAAATATTACGTTTTGCTTATCAATAAATTAGAAACACTGGGCTTCTTTTCCGTTGATTTTGCTTGCAAATCTAATTATCTTGATTAATTACATACTTCTCCACGGATTTATCTAAAGGCTAATACTAATAATATTCGGTGAAGGTTATTGGCAGGTTTTGTGATTAACATTAAAATGTAAAGCATCTAGCTTTAGTGTTTTATAGTATTCAATCGGAAATAAATGGCTGGAAATAAATATATAAATTCCACGAGCTGTTGCCTTGCTTTGCATTACTTCCGAAAAATTCAGTGCTATTTCAAATACCTTATCGAAGTTACTAAAAAAATGCACTTCTAAGTTTTGCTTTATGAAATTTTGCAAGTCGTCATGGTCTTTTCTGTTGCCTTCTAGTAAAATAACTGTTTATATATTTGCTCGTATTGCCTAAAAGAAATCAATTTATAAAGGTTAATAATCAACGAGTCATTATATTTAAATTTTGTCTGATCAAAAATTTTGTTTGTCTATAAGGATGTTAAATCCTATAGAATAGAATAATATATTATTTGAAAATAAGAAAAGAGTGCTCTCTTGTCTGTCTGTATCAACACCGACCTTATATTATGCTAGCTATTTATGAGTGGAATGTTAACCGCTTGGATACTAATATGTTTACCAGTAAAAAGACTCGAGAAAAGGACGTGACGATAAAAGACTAAAATAGCAACAAATTTAAATTCAACAACGAATTTTAGGGAATGCAAAGATAGCGCCCAACGATGACTTAAATTCAAGAGATAGAAAGGAAAAGTGAAAGTGCAAAACTGAGTAAAGGATGGAAAGGTTATAAACTGAACCTTCTTAAGAAAAACACGAGAAAAGGGGCACAACGAAAAAAGGCTCCAGAATAACAAAAAATGTATATTGAAAAAACGATTTTTAGAGAATTAGTTGCAAAGATGACAAGTAATGATATCTTAACTTGAAACTATAGAAAGGGAAAGAGAAATTGGAAAAGGAGTGGATGATAGAAGGGTTATAAACCGAACCATCGTATAAAAAAACTCGAGAAAAGGGGCACAACGAAAAAAGGCTCCAGAATAACAAAAAATGTATATTGAAAAAACGATTTTTAGAGAATTAGTTGCAAAGATGACAAGTAATGATATCTTAACTTGAAACTATAGAAAGGGAAAGAGAAATTGGAAAAATGAGTGAATGATAGGAGGGTTTATAAACCGAACCATCGTATAAAAAAACTCGAGAAAAGGGGCACAACGAAAAAAGGCTCTAGACTGGCAAAAAATGTATATTGAAAAACGAATTTTAGAGAATAAGTTGCAAAGATGACGAGTAATGATATCTTAACTTGAAATTTTAAAAAGGGAAAGAGAAATTGGAAAAATGAGTGAATGATAGGAGGGTTTATAAACCAAACCATCGTATAAAAAAACTCGAGAAAAGGGGCACAACGAAAAAAGGCTCTAAAATGGCAAAAAATGTATATTGAAAAACGAATTTTAGAGAAAGTTGCAAAGATGACAAGTAATGATATCTTAACTTGAAACTATAGAAAGGGAAAGAGAAATTGGAAAAGGAGTGGATGATAGAAGGGTTATAAACCGAACCATCGTATAAAAAAACTCGAGAAAAGGGGCACAACGAAAAAAGGCTCTAGAATGGCAAAAAATGTATATTGAAAAACGAATTTTAGAGAATAAGTTGCAAAGATGACGAGTAATGATATCTTAATTTGTAAAGATAGAAAGGGAAAGAGAAATTGGAAAAATGAGTGAATGATAGGAGGGTTTATAAACCGAACCATCGTATAAAAAAACTCGAGAAAAGGGGCACAACGAAAAAAGGCTCTAGACTGGCAAAAAATGTATATTGAAAAACGAATGTTAGAGAATTAGTTGCAAAGATGACGAGTAATGATATCTTAACTTGAAAATATAAAAAGGGGAAGAGAAATTGGAAAAGGAGTGGATGATAGAAGGGTTATAAACCGAACCATCGTATAAAAAAACTCGAGAAAAGGGGCACAACGAAAAAAGGCTCTAGAATGGCAAAAAATGTATATTGAAAAACGAATTTTAGAGAATAAGTTGCAAAGATGACGAGTAATGATATCTTAACTTGAAAATATAAAAAGGGAAAGAGAAATTGGAAAAATGAGTGAATGATAGAAGGGTTTATAAACCGAACCATCGTATAAAAAAACTCGAGAAAAAGGGGCACAACGAAAAAAGGCTCTAGAATGGCAAAAAATGTATATTGAAAAACGAATTTTAGAGAAAGATTTGCAAAGATGACGAGTAATGATATCTTAACTTGAAAATATAAAAAGAGAAAGAGAAATTTGAAAAATGAGTGAATGATAGGAGGGTTTATAAACCGAACCATCGTATAAAAAAACTCGAGAAAAGGGGCACAACGAAAAAAGGCTCTAGAATGGCAAAAAATGTATATTGAAAAACGAATTTTAGAGAAAGATTTGCAAAGATGACGAGTAATGATATCTTAACTTGAAACTATAGAAAGGAAAAGAGAAATTGGAAAAATGAGTGAATGATAGGAGGGTTTATAAACCGAACCATCGTATAAAAAAACTCGAGAAAAGGGGCACAACGAAAAAAGGCTCCAGAATAACAAAAAATGTATATTGAAAAAACGATTTTTAGAGAATTAGTTGCAAAGATGACAAGTAATGATATCTTAACTTGAAAATATAAAAAGGGAAAGAGAAATTGTAAAAATGAGTGAATGATAGGAGGGTTTATAAACCGAACCATCGTATAAAAAAACTCGAGAAAAGGGGCACAACGAAAAAAGGCTCTAGACTGGCAAAAAATGTATATTGAAAAACGAATTTTAGAGAATAAGTTGCAAAGATGACGAGTAATGATATCTTAACTTGAAATTTTAAAAAGGGAAAGAGAAATTGGAAAAGGAGTGGATGATAGAAGGGTTATAAACCGAACCATCGTATAAAAAAACTCGAGAAAAGGGGCACAACGAAAAAAGGCTCTAGAATGGCAAAAAATGTATATTGAAAAACGAATTTTAGAGAATAAGTTGCAAAGATGACGAGTAATGATATCTTAACTTGAAAATATAAAAAGGGAAAGAGAAATTGGAAAAATGAGTGAATGATAGGAGGGTTTATAAACCGAACCATCGTATAAAAAAACTCGAGAAAAAGGGGCACAACGAAAAAAGGCTCTAAAATAACAAAAGATGTATCTTGATCAGCGAATAATGAGTGATGATATCTTAAATTCAAGAGAGAGAAAGAAAAGGAGTAAGTGCATAAAGGAGTGGATGATGGGAAGGTATTTGCCACCCCGAGAATTTTTCTTTCGATTTTCAATGAAGTTTGTTGTCGTGATAATAGGATTGCCGTGACAATTTGATTGAAACGGAGTGAAAAATTCTTTATTCAGGCCTCTCATTATCTTTTTAGGACTTAAAAGGGTGTCTGTCGCTCAAAAAACCTGAAAAGAAATGTTACTGAAACTTCTCCATACAATAGGTCTGGGAAGTTTGCCACCCCTACCTCCACGGTCCTGGCTGCGGGCTTGTGGGGTCTTTTCTTTCAGTGAATTTTAATATTTTCCCACCCATTTTGATAAATAGCAAAAGTAAAAAAGAAATGCACTTTTCTAGCAATGGTATACGAACAAACATTTTAAGAAGAGGATGTAAAAGTGATAAAAAACTACTGAATGAATGTTCTTTGGCCCTCAGATAAAACCTTTCCTTTCTAATTTTGGATATGTTCCCCGGCTCTCTGAATACTTATCGCATATTCCCTGTACCCCTGAGCGACCCTCCAAATGGGGGAATCTACTATTTCGCGATTAAGTTTCTAATCAAAAGATATATTCCTCTTTCAAAATATTTCATTTCAAGAAACTTTGGTTGGCATCGTAAAGATGGATAATTTGAATAGTAAACATTTAGGCCTAGATATGAACACAAAAAACCTTATAAAATAATACCTATTCTTTACTAAACGTACCTTTTGGATGTATTGGACCATCTTCATTTGCCTTTACAGCTTTTCGTGCACGAAATAATTCCCTACTTGATATCTCTCTCGTTCTCGATTCCACGAAAAAATTTTGGAAGCCATTTTTCTAACAGCATTGGCCTTATAGGGCATGATGGGAAGGCAAGGGCTCCTCCGTAGAGGAAACCAAAGGGTATCAGATATGTACCGTCAATCCTCGTATTAGCCCTCTGGGGGCTTATTTATTTTTGATATTTTTGGATAGGGGCTTAATCGAGTGGGGCTTATACGAAGGGGGGCTTATAAGATTATTGTAGACATTAAAAAGACATTATTAAAAGACCTCGTTTATTTTAGTAGGAATTTCTTTATTACCACCAAAAGTATGAATTTGTTGTGATGGTAAAGCAAATGACAAAAATTATCAAATTGAGGAGTCCAATTTGAGAATTTACGGTAGTAGTTGGGACTTTTTCGTGGAGGGGGCTTATTGACAATTTGTAGTTCTAGGGTGGGGCTTATTCGAGGGGGGTTTTTTCGAGGGGGGAAGGGCAATTTGAGGATTTACGGTTTATAAGATGCAAAGGTTATGAATTGCGGCACACGTAATGAATATGTGAGAAAATCACAATTGGAATTCGAAAGTGTGACATCTTTGAAATTGACCCTTTAAACAAATGCTGCATCTGTTCTGTTAGGTAGATTATTTTTCAGCCCTATTCGAAACTAGAACCGTGGAAAATGGAAGGTCAATGGCCGAATGTAGATTTTTTACCTTATTTTGTCATGGTTGGAACTAAAGAACCCTTTTCTTAAAAGAAATGAAATGTTAAAAGCCTGTTAAGTGGGTGTAACTCATCATTTAGAACGCCAGGAACGCTCTTTTTCAAAGGGACTTTTTGCAATTGGGGCAGGGCATCCTCACCCTCTTTCCTCCCCTCGTTGTGCTACTGATGATAAGATGTAGAATGGTAAAACATTGACTATAGCAGTTAAGAGTCACACATCCATGAATCTACATCTACCATTTGATAGCAACATTTTTCAACAAGATACTGTCAGTAAGAAGAAGGTGGCAAATATACTGTTTGTGCACTGATAAATGCAGAAGTTATTGCGTTTGACCAAAGTCAGTAAGTAGGGCGTTTCGCAAGAACAGACTCCTTCTTTTAAGGGAAGATTTTAGAAGTTTCCTTGCTAAGAGCGATTTTAGAATTACGGGAAAGCCAGTGAGCCTTGGCGAGGAAGAGTGAATGCAGGTAAATCTGATGCCAATATATTTGGAGATATATTACGAGAATTTTCTGTAGAGAGAGATGAGATTACAGTAAATTGAGGATGAACTACTGACATGCGCAGGTCATATTTAACTAGACACAGCAGTTGAAAACCTGCAGCAATTCATCTTGTTTTGTGAAAACAGCACAGAAACGCGAGAAATGGTAGATAAAGTATATTCAAGTGAACAGACAGTCTTATCAAGCCTCTTTTTATGATTAGGTCTCAAATGGTTTCAAACTTCATTCTCCATACCCGATTGAAGTTCTTCAACATGAAATTTACGCAGGAGAACATTTTCTCAATTATGTTACCAGGTGTATGATCCAATAAAACAGAAAACAGAGCATGGATAGGTCTCCAATCACTTTCAAGACAATTTATCATGAACACACAGCTTACGGATCGATATACAATGAAATTTTATTACCAAACAAACATCAAACAAATGAGTCAATTATTTTCACATAGTCTTCTAAGCATTCTATTTTGTAGAGCTTCGGGTGCGCTTGTTCCATGAAAAATTGGCACCATAGCTCTTTGGTTTGATAGATGTCGTCTTTGCTCATCTACTTCATATTTCCAACCTTGGGAGGAACTAAATTTCAAAAAATTATTCACTAATCCACAATTAAAGAAAAATCACAACTGCAGAAAAACCTAAGTTTTTCTACTGGAATCTATTCTGTAACCTTTTTTGTATATTACTTTGTTTTCATTCTAAATTTATATCTCTTAAAACCATTTAAATATGACTTTTTAAAGAGTTCTGGTAAATATGATTTCAATACGTCTACAATAAAGAACACTTTATCTTACCTAACTTGTACAGTGTCCTACCTTGAGTTTCAGCATAGGCAATGGCAGATTCCCTTGTATTCAAATTGCAATTCCACGTTGGACAGGGGGTCAGCTCTAGAAAAAAGAGAACCTATGATCCGAAACATAACACCTAATTGTGCAAGTTTTCATTCAGCATTCAATAAATTTATTGGCCCTTAGGAAAGCAACTGAAAAAAGACTCCTAGCTGCAGACTACGAGGTGTCACAAACATCTATCAGTTTAAAGCACGTTAAGCAGAAAAGCAAGATGTATAAATGATAATTTTTCTTTTTAACTAAGAGGAGCTTAGTTATTTACCTCAGTTAAATAACTTTAAAAGTTTTTGAAAATAAAACGAATCATTTGAACAATTCTATTACATCATTAAATGAGATGTCAGCATCAATTGCAACATTGTAATTGATTAAAACAATGATCAATTGACTTGTAAACTTGTTAAAAATGCTATAGATTTAATTCTGGTTCACAGAAATCTCTAACCCAGGATATACAAAAAAACTAAAATAATCAAGAGCAGTCATCAAAACCTTTTTTGCTCGAAACAACCTAAAATGCCTCGGTTTTCGTCAGCAAAACCATCTGAGAAGTTTTGACAAGTTCCAGAAAACTATCTGTCAAAAATCAACTTATTCATAAAAATATCTGACCAAATAGGCAAAAAAGACTAAAAAACCGAGAAAATTCATCAAAAATTTTTTGCGCTCAAAACAACCTAAAATGCCTTTCTTTACGTTAACACACCATTTTAGAGGTTTTGGAAAAGTATTAGGCCAAGATCTCTCAAAACAAAACTTATTCATTTTTCACAGAAATCTCTGACCCTGGCTATACAAAGACTAAGAAAACCGAGAAAATTCATCAAAAATTGTTTGCGCTCAAAACAACCTAAAATGCCTTTGTTTACGTTAACACACCATTTTAGAGGTTTTGGTAAAGTATTAGGCCAAGATCTCTCAAAACAAAACTTATTCATTTTTCACAAAAATTTCTGACCTCCGATATGCAAAAAAACTAAAAAAATCATCAAAATTCAAAGAAAAAATTTTTTGCTCGAAACACCCTAAAATGCCTTTGTTTATAGAAAGCTATGTGTTCCAGAAAACTATCTGTCGAAAATTAACTTAGGCATTTTTCACAAAAATATCTGACCAAATAGGCAAAAAAATTCAAAAAATCATGAAAATTTAAAAAAATGTTCACTTCGAAACGACATAAAACGCCTTAGTTTACGTTAGCAACACCATTTCAGAGGTTTTTGAAAAGTTTCAGACAAATACCTTTCAAAACAGAAGTTAGTCATTTATAACAAATATCTCTGACCTCGGATATGCAAAAAAACTAAAAAAAATCATCAAAAATCATAAATAAAATTTGTTATGAGTAGGGTTTAAAGTAGAGTTTTCAAAGTAAGAGTTTTATCAGAATATATCAACGATAAATTTAGTGAAAAGTATATGGAGCAGGGACAAAAACCTGGTTTCAAAACGCTGAAGAGACACGATGGAGAATCGTTGTTTTATCGATCTCAGGTAAAAGTTTACTTAGGTTAGATAAATGATTGAAACATCCAAGGAATAAGACAAAAAAAGCAATGACTTCATTCAATGAAGAGACACCAATAAGAAACAGAAACTTTATCCATTTCAAAGTGAAAGTTTAATCAGAATAATTCAAAGATAAATTTAGCCAAAAGTAAACGGTGTGGAGACAACAATCAAAGTCTCAACAAGTAAAATGGACAATATGGAAAGTCATCAACTTTTTCAATATAGGGTAACAGTTTTTTCAGATTAGATTATGGATTAGAACATCCCAGAAAAAAATGGCACAACAAGCATTGCTGTCTATCAATGGAGAGGCACCAACCAGCAACATAAACTTGATCTAAATCAAAGTTAGAGTATAATCAAAATAATTTACAAATAAATTCTGCCAAAAGTATAAGGGATAGAGATTATACATCTTGTTTTATAGTACAGAGAAGACACGATAAAGAGTCATCAACTTTATCATTATAGGGTAAAACTTTACATAGAGTAAGACTAGATAAAGGATTAAAACATCCAAGGAAAATATGGCAGAACAAGCAATGTTTTCTATCAATGTAGAAACACCAAAGTGAAATGTAAACTTTATTTAACTCAAAGTAAGAGGTTAATCAGAATATTTCAAAGATAATCAAGGGACAGGAACGAAAACACCTTGTTTTAAAACGCAGAAGAGACATGATAGAGAGTCGTCGATATTTTCGGTCTAACGTAAGAGTTTAATTTGATTTGGTTAATATTGAAACATCAAAGGAAATAGTGGCACAACAAGCATTGCTGTTTATCAATAAAGAGACACTAACGAGAAACATAAACATCAAATTTAAAGTGAGATTTCAATCAGAATAATTCAACAATAAATTTAGCAAAAAGTATAAGGGACAGAGACAATAAATCTTGTTCAAAACACAGAAGAGACACGATAGAGAGTCATCAACTTTATCGACATAGGGTAAGATTTTAATTAGATTGGCTGTAGGATTAAAACATCCAAGGAAAATATGGCAGAACAAGCAATGCTATTTATCAATGGAAGACACCAACGAAAAACATAAACTTTTTAGAATTCAAGCTTAGAGTCTAATCAGAATAATTCAAAGAAAAATTTATTCAAAGGTACATGGGGCAGAGACAACAAACCTTCTTTCAAAACTTAATAGGGACACGATGATGAATCATCGTTTTTAACGATCTAAGGTAAGAGTTTACTTAGATTCATATTTCTGGATGTAGAGTAAGTATGGATAGAGCACAGGCTGCAGTGCAGGTGATTCAAAATTGATCGTAATGCCCTGTTCAGGAAAATTTCAATAATTGGTAAACGCTGCAGGTATTCGCTGTTCACCAACAATTTTCTCATTACCGGAGGGTAAGTGTAGCTAAATATTGTTCTGATTGATTTAACCCTTCCCACAAGCCTGGACTATCAAATTTGCATTGTTTCCATTGGGATATCTCCATTAGGTTAGCTACTTCAGCTACTGTACAGTGGATGAACCCGATCCAATTTTTGGCCATAACCATTCAAAAAATCATATAACAATTGTACCTATATTTACCTATATTTAAGTCAAAAGATTTGGGTTTGGATAAGTCCATCAGGTCAGCTACTCGAAAAGTTATAAAGTAAAACAACATGAATATTTAATCCTACAATACAGCACATTGAAGTTTTTCCTTTCTTCTTTTTTTGACCTCTTTTATTTTATTGTAATGAACAATCTCCAGTTCTCAATTAGTTCCTATTTTTATTCTGTAGCAAAGTGTGTAATGTTGGATTTTTTCATGGAAGACTAATTCCACTTTCACAATTTTTTTTGTTTAGGCGAGGTTATATAGCCCCTTCACTATATTCTCTATTTGATAAGGATGAGTGCTTCTTTCTCTTTAGAACATATGATTTCAACTCTTGGAACGATATATTGGTTATGACGATCATAGCAAATATAGCCTGTGCTCCAGACCCTCTACTTTCAAGTTAGGGGGGTCTGGAACACAGGCTAAGCATATACTGCTTTATCCGGCATTCCAATTCTTTACTTGGATTGAATCAAAAGAAGTGACATCGATTCACTATGGGACTGGAGGATGCAACCATTCCATTTTCTTTCAGAGTCGGGGTGTTTGTAGGAGGGAGAGAGGTGTAGATCATGACCAATGATACACAGATATTATAATAAGAAAACAAAATAGAAAGTCAATCAGATCGGCCTCGAAGAAATTTTGCTACAGTAGATTGAGGCGAGAGAATCAAAAAACTATATCGCAATTCAATGTAAAAGGGTTTAAGGAATTTTGATTCTCCCGAATCATTGGGGTTTTGTATCCAATGTATAGGGTCAAATGACGTTTCCGCATATATTGCAATCAAGGCTTCAACCAAACCAATTCTAAGTTTGCTCCCTGAAAACAGGTTTTCTTTACAGCCGGCTGATTTACTGCGTATTTATCGAAATTGCAGAACACTTGAAATAAGAACCCTATTAAAATTATTCAAGAAATCTTGTTCGCTTAACACTAAGAAGAACAGTCTTGAAGATATCCTATCTACTTTCTAGTAAGGAAAGATAAGAGCAACACTTTGAGAGGAAATAAGAGAACATATTCGATTACCTCAATTGAACGCAATCAGCCTGCGTCCTCTACCACTGCGTCCAGGAATTGAATTTCTTCTACTTGTCGAAGCTTTACGGTGCAGTACAAATTCCAGAATCGAACAAAATTCACAAGTTTATAGATTTAGTTGATTTATTGATCTAGTAAAAGTCACAATAGAGCACCATCAAGTAAGCCATCTTGGATAGTATAAACCTTCGAAAGCACTGCCGAATTCACTGCACAATGCCACAGCGAACGACATCATCCTCAAGCTTCCATTAGCATCATCCAAACTTTGATATACATCATATTTGATATATGGTTTATAACTCAAAATATTGATTATAAAACAAATGGATTGCTTATTTATATTCTACGACAACCTGGGATACTCAAGGGAGATTCAATTTGAATGAACCACAGGTAGTCCAAAGGGAAACAAACAATTAAAAATATAAGCGGGAGAAATGACTCTTGGGAGTTCACAGGCAATTGCTCCTTCGGGCTGGCAAGAGGTGCATCCAGCTAGCAAATATTCTTTTGAAAGAAGGATGAGCTATCGAAAGGAACAATTTCTGACTTTTTGGGCGCTAAAATTTTATGCAAATTAACAGATGTTTGGGCGCTAAAATTTTCAAAAACATTGATGATTTTTCTAAGCCTATGTCCTTACTCTTTTATCAAATATCGATTTATTCAAAAAACGTCACTTTCTTCAAAACTATGACTTTGTTATCACCATAAAATTTAACTCTTGTATACTGTGATAACCTACAATCAATTTCACAAGTTTTTTAAAGACAATGTTTTTAAAAATTATTGATGATTTTTCTGAGCCACTTACTCTTTTGGTCTTACTCTTTTATCCAAAAATCAACTAATTTAAAAAGCCGTCCTTGTCTCCAAATATGTGATTTTGTTTCTAGAATTTTTTAGATCTGATCATTTATAATCAATTTAACTTTTTTCAGAAGAGCCTTTTTTGAAAATTTAATGTTTTTTCGAAGCCTATAGCTTTACTCTATTCTCTACATTCGATCCTTCTTAAAGATCGTCAATTTCTCCAAAAGTACGACTTTGATACCAGTATGAAAATCAATTCTTGTATATTCTGAAAATCTACGAGCAAATTAATCTGTTTTGAAAAGATAAATGCTTTTTCTAAGCCTATTGCCTTAATTTTACCAAAAATAGACCAATTAAAAATTCGTTATTTCCTCTAAAAATTATTACTTCCTTCTAGTATAAAACTCAATTCTTATGTAGTTTGATCATCTACAAGCAAAATAACACTTTTTGGAGGAAAATATTTTGAAAACAATTAATTACTCTTTTAAGCCTGTGGCCTTACTCTTTTATTAAAAATGGACCGTTCTGAATATCGTCATTTCTACCAAAAATATGACTTTCTTGGTTTACACTTCCAAAAATCAATTCTTGTATATTCTGGTCATCTACAAGCAAATTAAGTTGTTTTTGGAAGATATAATTTTCACAGAAAAATAATTGTTTTCCAAGCCTATTATTGCTTTATTCGTTTCGAGCGTTTCGAAACGTCGTTAATTATTTTAAAAAATTTTCCTGGTACAATTTACTTACATTGATCGTTATTTATTCATCATATTGTACCGCACGAATTTTAGTATATTTATGTGATCAAAAGTATGGCTGTTTTTAAATGTTTTTTGAAATGTGAGTTTTGTTCTAAAACCAAGCCAACATCCATCTTGATGTGATAAAATGAGGCATAATAACTACCATTTTTTAAGCCTACATGCCTACCTTTTTATCAAAAATCGACCTATTTAAAAAATCAACATTTTTTCAGATATCAACTTTGATTCCTAAACCTACCCTCGTTCTTGCCTTTCCATAAAAGATAGAAATCTGCATTCAGAAAAAATGTTTTGAATAAATTTAGAGATTTTTCAAAGCCTATCGCTTTGCAATATAATCAAAATTCTCCCAATGTAAAACAATGTTATTTTTCGAAAAAAAGTTACATTTTATTCTAGGACAAAACCAAGTTGTCGCATAATCTTATTTTAAGGAGGCATAGTAACCCGTTTTTATAAGAAAACAATATGCAAAAAATTTGGAGAGTTTGCTAAGCCTAATGAGCCATTTTTATTAAAAATTGACCAATTGAAAACATCACTGTTCTACGAGAAATATGACTTATATTCAGTAAAAAATTCAGTTAATGCTCTTTCTGGTTATATAAAGACAAATTAATTTGTTTTAAGAAAAGAAATTTAAAAAAAATTGGAGAATTTTTCAAGGCTAATAGCCTTAATTTTTTATCAAAAATCTACCATTCCATAATGTCAAAAATTGACTTATTCTAATCATAATTTGACTTATTTAAATATGGCTGTTTTATAAAAATAAGACTTCAATCTTGGAACAAAACCAACCTCTGGCTTAATGTGAACAAAACCAACTTCTGGCTTAAAGGTATCTCACCGCCTTGTTAAGCCAATAGCTTAATGTTTTTATCAAAGGTCAATCATTTTAATATATCATTTCTTTTTCAAAAATTACGACTTTGATTCTAGAACTTAACTCAACGTTTGCTTCTTTATTGTTTTTAGAAACAAATAAATCTGCTTTTGAGAAAGCATTTTGAATATATCTTGCAATTTTAATAAGCCTTTAGCCTTACTTTAATATAAACACCGCTGTTTATTGAAAAACATTACTTTTATTTCAGAATATAACTAAGTTCTTGTATAATCTGGTTATAAAGAGGCATACTAACCTGTTTTTAGGAAGAAAATTCATCAATTGGACATGTTTACATTACCTTAAGCCATCAAAATCTTGCTATTCTTCAAGAAATATGAAATATTTCATTTTATTATATGAAATATGAAAGAAATATGATAGAAATATGAAAGTCCCTTCTTATTTTTTCTGTTGATATGAAAAAATTTCTATGTTCTAGAAAAAAAGTTTTCAAAAAATTTTTGCTAAATCATTTTTGCTAGCCAATTTTTAACGTAGTTTTGCTATCAATTTTTTATCAAATAAACCACCATTCTAAAATGCCACGATTTTTTAAAGATACAGCTTTGATTTCAGAATTAGATTCAATTTATTTTTAAAATTGTTTATATAAAGTTGATATATTTTTAAAAAAAGTTTTTTCAAAAAAAGATAATGATTTTTCTAAGCCTATAGCTTTTCTTTTTTATCAAAACCCGACTCATCTTAAATGTTGCAGTTTTTTAAGAAGAATGTTCTAAATTTTTTTCGAAAATTTCTATTATAAAGAAAGGTTTTCTTGCCTTTTTATCATAAATATCGAAAATATTTTGATACTAACTAGAAAACCAACTTTGTCACATTGTTCAGTCTAGTACACTATGGGTTTGTATGTTGTTGGGTACCTTTTAACCAATACCGTGTGTAATTAGAAGTTTATTTTTAGAACACCGTTTCTCGATGTTTCAATTTGTCTGTTTTAGTTTGAAAGGTTTTGACTTTTCTTTTCACAAAAAAGACCAGTTGCTCTATGGAGTTATTCGGCAGAATTTTGGGCACGAATTTATAGAAAACTGGATAAAGGTTTTTTAAAAATTCATTAAAGAAGATTTTACATTCTTGAAAGAAACCTCAAGAATATCTTTGTGTGAAAATAATAACGATTTTTTTTGCACTTTTGTACGTTTTGTAGACAGAACATAGGCTTGTAGTTTTGCTAGATATATTTTGATACAAAAATGCAAAAATTAGAAATCAATATTTAAAGAATTGTTTTTCATTATATTTTCTTTAACTAAAAAGGAGTTTCAGGGCAATTGCTTTATTTAACCAAAACCATTTTCGGTAAAATGTGGTGTCAGTATTGAAAAATGTTTGTTCTAAATTTTGGTGCATACCTTCCGCATAAAATTCAGAATTTTCCAAGACAGCTTTTCAAAAAAAATTCTTGAAACATTTATGCCTTTGAATACTATTGGCTTGCATTTCTATGGAAAGTCTTTTGTACACAAACCCAAGAATATTTTAAATGTTTTAAAAGGTATTTTTTTAAAATAGCGTTATTAATTTTCAAGTTTATCTTGCATTTTTGTTCTTATTATGGTCACTTTTTCAGCCAACAAAATAAAAAGCTTCGCATGCTGTGGATTTAATAATGTTTGTGCAAAATGATTTGTGCAAGTTTAATTAAGTGCATTTACAAACAGCAAAATAATCCGAATCAGACCAACCGACTTATAAAATGGCATTGCGACATTATTCTATTAGAAAAAATGCATGAGATTACTTCACAAAATGGTTGGGACAAGTATCGCTGATTTTAAGAAATTGAACAATCATACGATCATTCTCAAACGCTGCAAAATGCGCCTTCCATCATGGTTTGTAATTATTAGATCGCCTATGCTACCTTTTAACAAATACTTTACCAGAAGATTGATGAATATTGGATGGAGACCGTCAGCGCATCACTGACAGGGTTTTCAAGCAAAATGCAAACCGCTGTGTTTGTTTATGTATGATTTGATGCATGTTCATTTCGTTTTTTAGCTTTTAACTGCATTTCCCAGCTCTTAAGCTTAATCTTTCATGCATATCAAAAAATTGATGAATATTAAATTTACAATTAAATTACATTTACATTTGCTTAAAAATTTTAAAGCAAAAATTAGATCTTAATACCTCTGTCCCATATTTTGTTCTTACTTGTGACTGTATAAAACTTTTTGAAATTTTGCAAAAAATGTAGCAATTGGCACTTTAGGAATTAAAATCTGGTCCTCCACCACTCCTTTCACAAAAACTGTGTCTCCTCGTCTTCGTTGTATCTATCTCCATTATTAGGTTTGCTGATTGTTTTTTGCTTCGTTTTGCTTCTGATCAATGACGAAGCACGATATGCTTTCTTTTTCCGCTTTTCATCTTTTAAGGAACTGCTTGATGCCTTTTTTGCTGTCGTTTTTTTCAGACCATTTCTCAAAATTTTACTTGATTTCCCTTTTAACTTAGGTCTTGGCTCAGCAACTTTTATGTCACTTGGGTTATGATGCCTTTCATACGAATAACTCAAGTCCTTACCAATCCGATTATTCGGTTCGATAGCTTCGTCATGCCACTGTGCAGATCCCTCCTCAGCTGTATCTCCATTATGTTCTTCTTCGTATGTGCCTCCATTTCTATCAATATTATCTCCTTCCTCACTACTTCTAAGTGTCGTGTCATCATCTTCAATTTCCTTATTGCTATTATCATTTGCCGTGTGCTCTTGAACAATCTTTTTATTTCTTTCGCTTTCCATTACTGCTCCTTGCATTCCTCTCTCTAGTTTCTTTTCCGCCTTCAACATGGCTTGCGCAAGGATATCACCAAGAATTTTATATCCTTTGCTGCCTTCTTTAAAATCCTTTATGGCACCTGGCTGTCCTTGTGAAACCGAGGGCGTTTGTTGCAGTGGACCTGCTGCTTGATTAGCTGCTTGACTAGGCTCAGTACTTGAAGTTGTGCCAGGCTGTTGCACCGGAGGTGCTGTCTGAGCAGCATTTGGTTGCGTAGTCTGCCCAGCTGCTTGTGAAGTCTGTGGCCCACCGCCAGTGGTATGGCTGTCACTCACACCTGCTGTGTGATGCGGATCTTGGTCTCCTGCTTGTTGGCCTCCTGCTTGTGGTACTCCTGCTTGCGGAACTCCAGCCTGTTGGACTCCCGCCTGTTGGCCTCCTGATTGCGGGGCTCCTGCTTGTAGGGCTCCTGGTTGTAGGGCTCCTGGTTGTAGGGCTCCTGGTTGTAGGGCTCCTGGTTGTAGGGCTCCTGGTTGTAGGGCTCCTGGCTGTAGAGCTCCTGCTTGTGGGCCTCCTGCAAGTGCACCAGGCAAAGCAGCAGGAGAGTTTGCAACGACGTTTCCTGCTGGTTGTGCTGCTACAGATGGTAATGCTGCTGGTTGAGTTACAGCTGGGGCAGCTATGACTGGAGGGGGTACTGCTGCTGGTGGAGGAGCCGAGATGACGGGTGGAGGCGGAGGGGGAGCTGGCGGAGAAGAAATTATTGGAGGAGGTGGTGGTGGCGGTGGAGGTGCAGAAATAATAGGAGGAGGTGGTGGTGGCGGTGGAGGTGCAGAAATAATAGGAGGAGGTGGCGGTGGAGGAGGAGGAGCAGAGATAATGGGGGGAGGTGGCGGTGGAGGAGGTGGAGCAGAGATAATTGGAGGAGGTGGAGGAGGCGGTGGAGCAGAGACAACAGTGGGAGGTGGTGGAGGCGGTGGTGCAGCAGCAGCAGCAACAATATCTGCAGCTGGTTGTGCAGGAGGGGGTGTTGGAGCTTCGGGTGCAGGTGGAGCCTCTACTATTTCTGTTTCTGTTTCAGGAGCAGATTGTGTTTCTGGGATGGCTTGCACGATTGTCTGATCTCCTTTTTTCTTATCTCGTACCTCTTTGATCACACTATGGAAAGCCGATTTTAAGGCACGGACGATTTCGTCCTCTTTTACTCCATCATGGTGCGGGAAATGATCAAAAGCATATTCTAAGTCATGAAGTGTCAGCCCATGGTCGTAATGATGGTCATCATGGTCGTCATGATGATGATGATGATGATAATCATCGTCATCATGGTGAAATATCTCTTCAATATGATGTCCGTGGTCGTCGTGCTTTCCAGCGAGTAACAGGGCATCAACCATTGTCTGGGAAATCGCGTGTGACATGTGAGACATTTCCTGTGACATTTGTTGTCGTTCTAATGCACGTGAAAGTTCGTTGATCATGGGCATGGCAACGCTCCCTCCATCAACAGGAACAGGGAATCCATTTCCATGCTGTAAAGGCATTGAGAACCCTTCATCAAATCGTTTCTTTTTGGGCAGGAAGACGTTAATATCCAGGTTCTTCTCGTCACTATTTTTCTCAGACTCTGATTTCCCCTTGTCATACGATGCTGCATCCTGAACAGTCACGCTTGCAGTGCTGCCAGGATCAGCACTTCCAGGTCCTGATGGAATCTCTTGACGCCCTGTTTCGATCAAATGATATTCTTGATCAGGTGATCAACACATAGAGGTTTGGATGAAAAAAATTCTTTGGATGGGGGGATGCAGACATGCAGACTTTTAAGATGTGTAACATCCTATTAAGCAACAAGGAGCTTTACATGCTGCATAGAAAACCCATTAAACAGTGTCACAACTTCCTACCTCCAAAAAGGCCTGTTTAGAACTTCTATCTGAGGAATTCTCTTTAATAAACTGAGAACTTCCCAAGTCGCGCAGTGCCATTTTGCATAAATGCTCTAAAGATATCCAAGTTTGAAGCTAAAGGCTTAATGGATTTGCACTTTCAAGACTTAAATAATCATGCACTATCTAAGCTTTCCTGAATGGGGTGTTCCAAGGCTCCAAATGCAGTCCAACTTTGCCTTTTGCAGTTGATTTTTTGTGCAGGTGTACTAAAAATGCTTTAGCATTTGGTCAGAAATCTTAATTCACTCAAAACCAATCGCTTGACACAGTTAGACTTTGCAACAGTATGTTTGCAAACGAGCACACAGAATCTGAGCATTGTTGGACAAAACTGTCAGAACATTGAAATAAGGATTTGTTGAAATCTTTTGCTGATAAGACAAACAAACTTTAGAAGCCCTCTGTCAAGAGATTGTTTCTTTTAAAGACAAAACAGCGATGCAACGAAGTGATGTGATGTGCATCCATAGGCACAAGCAAGACTAAATAATCTGGGAAATTTCTATAGCTGACTTGAAAAGCTATTAAAACTACTTTCCAAATTTTATAATGAAGAAGGAATAAAAAGGATTTACAAGTATATTCTAATCAACAAATATTAAAAAGAATTAGCAAGAATTCCCTACCGTTAGCAACCCATGTGTTCGTCTTCTTTGCATGTGGTAATCCTCCACGCACAATCTTTGCACTGTTTGTTGCAAAAAAACCTAGAAGTAGAGTAAGATAACTGAGAACTATCATGGTTCTATTTGCTTATATATTATATAATAGATAGCATTTTGCATAGGAACTTTACAATTATCAGAATTAAGAGGATTTTGTAAAGATTCGTAAACAATACGCAGATCTGCAAACTGCAGGTAATTTGTAGACATGTCCGTAAGCAGAACAAATCGAGTGGTGTCATATCTTTCTTTGGTATCATATCTTCATTCCAGAATTTTGCTTGTAGCGTGCTCTGTAAAATGTACAGAGCTTTAGAGAATATCAAACAAAAAGAGCTGCGCTTAATACTTAGATTTTCTTATTCGTGTTACGTTTAAGAGGCACTGATGCAAATTTTGGCATCCGAAGATTTCAAGGATAATTTATGAGCCACAGGTTGGGGGCTCATGGTACCCGAAAACATCTTTCGTATGTCTGTACATGCCATGGAAGTAAAGTTTCGAAACTTTTAAAATTGGGATATACATTTTGATATCCAACTTCTTTTCTGGTCTTCTGCGCTGAAACAAAGGTTTTGACGTCATTTGACAGTTCTCGGTCGGGGCTTGTTGCGGCGGCCGTCGTTCTTTTCTTTCACTTGCAAAGATAGATGGAGAACGCGATGGACCATTGTAGTGGATGTGGAAGTGAAAGAAACGTATTTGGTTTTTGTTGTCGGTATAAACGAGAAATTTTGTTCCCGTGTTATGACAGGCTCGCACACTCGCACCCTTTCTCGCGCTTTGGCTTCTACCGAAAACATATCCCCATATTTCTGCCCCGTCTCGTTTGACACCAAAATTTTGTTCCCACAAGATACAGAATCTCTACATAGACCGACCTCTAGGCATTCGGGAAACCACTTAATGATTACAGTTTTTTGAGTTAGTGCCTCTCTGATGATGGTTCGGGTTATGACCTACAGATTTGTTGGATCTGTTTTGGAACTAGGAATACTTCTCGAAAAATCATTGGCATAGTGCAAATGACATTCTATATGGGTCCGATATATGTTGTCTAGTCGATACAAGGTTTTTTGTTTCTTAAGAAATGCAAGACCTCTAAAAACTTTCTCTTTGACAAGTTTATGTTCCATTCCAAAGTCAATCCTTCATCTACAATGACACGACTCCGGAACCTGTGTGTCGATTCTTCTTTCTCAATAGCTTTGTTTTTTCAAGTCTAGAAGTTTTCCAATCTAACTTTACTTCTGTCTATAGTCGCGAAACGGTACTGTTAATGTCCATATATTGTTGCAATGTTTAAGGTTGATATAGATAAGTAGAGTTTTGCATCTATGTACAACATATCAAGGAAGAGTAAATGATGCCATTCTAAAGTCAGTCTTTCTGCGAGGTAAAGGTGTGTAAAGCTAGCTAAAAAAGGTAGATCCAGCAGGAAAAGAGATTTATCACATACCTGGAAGAAAGACCTATGGTGATAAAATCTTCGTTCAGATTTTTTTCCGTGAGAAATTTGAAGATAGAATTTCGGCTGAACAATAAATTCCGATGCCCTCGGTCCTATCCTTTATGTCGATTGAAGCCATTTGAAAAGCAAGCCTAGACCGCACCTGCGATGTAAATACAGTTACATATCCGCTTACCAGGCCAAGTAACTATGTTGAGTTCTTATGAGAAATTCGCATCCCGGCTGAAAGAGATCTAGGCAGTTTTGCAGTTTTGAGTGGCATGCTTTCTTTAAACAATAAAGGTACCAAATCACCGTTTACCTTACGGCAATTCCAGAAAAATGAATAACCAATGATGCTTATTTCTGAAATTTTCATTTTTCATTGTATTAAAAATATGTGAGTATAACTTCTTAACCCCCCTTAAGGTGTCTATTGTATACAGACCTTTAACACGCTCGCAAGATTTCGATTGAGAATCCGTCAACTTGGCGTGGATTCTGGGCATTGTAATAAAGTCCTTTCCTTTTCCTCTTGCATAACAACAATGCGAATAACAGTACCGTATAAAGGGGAAGAAAAATTGGGAACAGGAACTTTTATCTGAGGATTTTGGAATTTTTTTGGGATAAGGGCACTCCAAGATCAACAGTAGATAAGATCCTGTAGAAACAGCTAGGACAGTTTGGAAATTGCTTCTCTTGAGACGGAATTCCTAAAAAATATCTGAGAAGTGATTTCCTTTCCTTTCATACCAGTGAGATACACTTTTATGCCTATCTGGAATACTGGAGGCATTAGCTTTTGAATTGGGCTTGACAGGGTGCTCACAGCCCATTCATGCCCCTCTGGAACTCAAATGGTTTAGTTCATCATTCAATCTAATGAGTGTGAAACCTAGTTCTGATGGCAAATGAAGGTACATTTTTATCTTGGAAAGGTTGAGGTCTTGTAGAGTAATTACAATTACAGCAAAGGTAAGAATTATTCTGTACAAATTAGGAATGTGTGTAGTTTTTTTTTCAGAAGCACCATGTTCTTAGAATTTATCTGTGTCTGAAAATATTTGAAAAGTGTTTACTTTGCTGCAACTCCCTTTTCACCCAAAAAAATCTTTGACAATCTTTGGCATAATCTAATGGTTTACTTTAAGTCAATGGAAATATTCAGATGGCTTTTTTATTTTCATGATAAATGTGTCAAGAAAGTATTTGAAATAGTGTCCGACATTATGGCACCTTCTGAAGGTGACCTTCATCTCCTTTCAAGGCTGCTTTGTCACACTTAGTGCTTAGCAAAGTTGGTTTAACTATGCAGTATCTGTATCCTACAAAAAGTATCACAAGCAATAAAAATTCTGATGCATCTGCTATTTTAATTATTAACAAATTACCAGACTAAAGTTCACAAGCAATCATTATTCAAATAATAATATTGTCATTTTTGTTATTACAATTTCCTATCGAATCGTCAAATTAACTTCTAAATCTTCTTTAAAATCTGCTTCAATGCTTGAAGTTCGTCAAATAGATTTCATGTGGCATAAAGACAAAATATGTTTAAATTAAAGACGAATAAAAATATCATATATCGTCAGCCTTGCAACAAAAATTTTAAGCTTGTAAATGCCATGAAGACAAATGCTCTTTTATTTTGATGATTATCTTTTCTATTGCTTTCCATTTTCATAGTGCAATACTTAAATTCTTAGTGCAAATTATTCCTCTTATGCAGCGCAAAATATCGGATCTGAAACAGAATTTTCTTCGTCAACTACACTCATTGCTGAATAATTATCGTGGCAAGTGAAAACTAAATCTCGATCCCAGTTTTATTACAAACTAGTAACTTTTTTGGGCATCATACTTTTAAAAATCCTATGACTTTCAGCTTTTAATAACAATAACTGCCAAAAATCCTTGAGCTCAAAGGCTAATGAAGTATTCAACTTGCCTATTAAAACAGCATTGTTTGACTACAAATATATATGTGATGCCTAAAAACGGATTTTCTAGGACGACTTTCATGACATTTCACCCAAACTTTTGAATTTAATTAGGAAGAGAGGGAACAAAATTTATTAGTATTCGGGCAGTGAGGAAGCAGTTCGAAAATGAGGCCCACGACAAAGTCGTTTTTTGCTACAATTACATTATGAAGGCAGTCTATTGTGCGCCTCAAACATTGTTGTTCTCTTTGGCACTATTTCTCAGCCATGCCGTACGTCAGTATTAATCATACAATCTCATTTGATATTAGATAAACATAGTATATATACTGTCTATCATATTTTACTTCTTTTAAGACAATCGACAGATACTAAAGTTCCTTAAGACACCTGTCAATCAACAATTGGCCAATCAGTGAGCATGACACCACTCACATGCTTATTGGTCAGCAAATATTGATTGAAAGATGGCCTAAGCCATCTAAGTATCTGTAGATTCCCTTTACGTATTCTGTAGCTTTAATGTAAGTTTACAATCCTGCCTTTTATCCATCAGACAATAAAGGCTTGCGTCAAAGTTTAATTTTCTTTCAAAAAGTGGCATTTATGATTTGGCATAACTCAGTTACTTGAGCTCTTTTTAATGTCTTATGTTTTCTTTAAGGCCTTTAAACTCTCTTGGATATAATGCATACATTGAATAAATGCATGAAACATGTATGCTATTCCTTCATTGCTTTAACCTTTGATTACATCTGCAATTATTCGCTGTCGGATCTTTTGCCACTGAGAGCTGACTGGCCTACGCTGTGGATCGCTCGAGAAAAACTGCACGCGCATAATTTTTTCTGGCTTGAGCGGCAGCGTCGATTTTGGCTTCATCCGGTTTGAAAATGCTTTCATAGGTGGCCTGGCTTTCCCTTTGCCAGCTGCAACCTTTGATGTCTTTGCTTTGACTTTTGGTGCCCGAAACGCTTTAGAGTTCACACCTTTCTTTGGTTTGAGGCTCACTTTCTGTCCTTTAAGCGTTGAGGAGGGCCGTTTTGAATTTGCTGCTGGTGAACCACTTGCATATCCTTTAGAAGGGTATCCACCGGGTGGCATCCCCGGAAAACCACTTGGTATTCCGGGAAATTTGCCTGGCATTCCAGGAATTCCGACCATGTTCGAAGGAATCTTCCAGTTGCTGCCTCCACCACCTCCACCGTAACCTATGCCCCAGGCATTGGGTCCACTGCCCCATCCAGCGCCTGCACCTCCGCCCCAACCACCTGATGACGTCGTCCGTAATCCTCCATTAGTTTTTGAAGAGCTGCCTGACTGGGAGCTTGAGGATGACGATGTTGAGGCTGAGGCTTTTGCATTTACATTTGCACTCGCAGAAACCTTTCCTCTTGCCCTCGAACCTTTACCCATGAAAGGATACCTCGGTTTTGAAGAAGAAAAGTTTTTGCCATTATATTTAGGGGCAACCCCTCGTACCCGCCCACCAGTCTGCTGTTTATTGACCACGTGTGTATCTGTTGTTGTGTGTCCAGGAGCTTTAAGCACAGAATTTGATACAGTATGAGAGCTCGTACCAGTGTTCAGGTTCAAGTGATTTCCGGACCAAGAATGATCTCTTGCGTATAATAAACGTTGTGGACGATTCCATCGGTACATGTTTAGTTGTAAGGGCGCCCTGTACACAAAGTTAAGCATTCGGTTTCTCAGCATGGCTTGAGAATAAACTAACGGCCTTCTTGCGACATAATTGTAAGGTCGCAGCTGAGGATACATAAAATTGCGTCGTTGCGCATACATATAGGGATTCGGCCTGTAAAAATTTGTGTATAATCGTGGATTGTACATGTAATTTGCACGCGGGCTGTAGACATTAAGGGCACGGTGTGAAGCAAGAGCACTTCGCCTTGGCGCCTGAACCACGCTCGGTCGCTGCATGTATTTGGGATCTCTTCTTGCAAACGTTGCAATATTCCGAGGTGCTGAATGCATCAATATTTTTCTTTGAGGCAACAAAGGATTAATCCGAGGGGCGAATAGATTACGGCGAGATGCTGCCGCTTGGTTCCTTTGCTGTAATCTGTTATAAACGTTGGGTGTCAAAACAGCTGGAGTAACATACTTGTAACCACGGACAGCTGGTCTCTGGTAGCGCTGAGCTCTAGCTATAGTGTACCTTTTTGTTTCTGGAACATTATGGAGCCGGTATGGTTCTTGTGCAGGAGTATCGTCAACTAAATCAAAGGAAAAAAACCATAAGATATAATTCCTGTTGAACCTAAATATGAATAGCAAAGGACGTATCATTTGCAGCACGAAAAGGACCTATTATTGTACTAATTCAGCTTCGGGAAAATTTTTGCCTGTTTTCACCTTGGCCTATTTTAGGAATGGACCTAATGATGCAGCATCAATAACACGATGGAAGAAATTGACTGCAGTACGAAGTGGGATCAGTTTTTAGTTAACTTTTCAGTGTAATGGTCGCTGGGCAGTTACAATATATTGCTCCCAGCGATATCGTTTCTGTTGTGCTTGTAGAGTAGCTTATTGCTGGGGTAATTGGTAAGTTTTCCTAGTAAATTTTTATATGGAATACAAAATAATGTTTTTAAGCATGTGCTGGATGTCTCTACCTGGTAGCGGAAATTTCACTGCAGGCTCTTAGGCTCTTATATGAATGAAGAATTAGCTATGTATTCAATAACTTTCATAGAAGATCTTTTCCTTTCTGCTTCCAATTTTCATAATTACCTCAAACCAACCAAATTTTGGTTCTCTTTCATAAGTACTTTTTACATATAAAAACCCGCAAATCTTCCATAAAAAATCTTTCTTGGAAGTATGCGACATATACATGAGAATAAAAACGACACAGAATAGGAAACGGTCGAAAGTATGCATCTGAAAGTTATAGCAGTAATCACTTAAGAAGATGGGTAGCTTGCGGAGGTATTTCATCAGACTTATTGGTTATACTTTCTGACAGGAAGACAAACTTAATAGCAGAATACAATACCGTATGCATGTGCAAACGAATCCTCCAACAACTGATAATCTTCCTGGCTGCCCCGAGCAAAATAACAGCATGCCGTAAATGCGATATAGATCGCAACAACATGTCGCAACAACGACATTTTACTAGCTTGTTAATCGAAATCAGAACTCGCTGTTTTGTTTTTCATCTGTGAAACCTCTAGCTGAATGCGCGTAAAATGCATTGGAGCGGATAGCAGTGGTCAGTGGAATCAGTGAGCGCAGTTTGCCTAATAGCATGATTGCGACGGCAATTATAAAGCGGGTTAACGAGCATTGTCATTGATCGCAACTGGTCAGTCGAAACCAGTGAGTTTCAATGGATTTATTATTGTACGCGTAACTACGAATCGGGCTCGTCAGAGCTGACCGGGTAAGCAAGCAAAAAACCAGTGACCTTGTAACTCAATTGTGAACTCACTTGCTGACTCTATAGACTGGAGGTAGTACCCTAGTTAGTCTACTGCAGTAATAATTTGCCAAAAGGTCAAGTCAAAGCCTAACAATTCCACTGCTTAGAAATTTGAGTTTCATCCATTCCGAGGTCAAAATAATTTTTTCCTTAATAATTATTTCATAACATAATTTCATAAAATTTAGGCCAACATGTGCCTATTTGAACTTTCTAAAATCCGAGAAAACTACCCTTCTTTTTAATTTTTCAACGCGAAATTAATTTGAGCTGATGCTTTAGCACACTGGTTTACTCTTGAAATTATTAATTCAGTTTCAGCACTTGCTTCTTGCAGGAATCAAAGTCAACAGTAAGGATCATAAAAGTACCCTTTTAAACCTTTTATGTATACTGTGCATTTTTAAGATTATATATCTCGCATTTATTGGCCGGATCGGCCGGATGAGGGGTCTATAAATAAGCTTTGCTATTAGATCCCTTCTCAACCATTTGGTTTATTTATAAAGAATCAACTTGATTACATGTTTCCGTTCAAATTAGGCATCCTACTTCAATTCAACTAATTCGTTGTTCTTTCATTCATTAGTTTTACTTTATCGTTGATTGTAATTTCTTGTAATTCCTTGATGATTGAAATGAAAATTTTTGTCTTATCTCTTATGTCTATTGCCGGCGAGTGATATCTCTTGAAAGGTCTCAGCAGAAATTGCTACATTGTGTTGATCTTTGAAGCACTTCTCGAATTCAGTAAGGCAGTCAACTTGCAACAAGTCTGAATCAAGCGTGCAAATAGGCAACGTAGAATCACTTATTCAACGAGAAATGTTTGCAACTTTTCTGCTTGATATCAAGGCAACTAGCGTGAAGAGACAGTAAACTTCAAATATAACTAAGTTTTCATATCTAGAATATATACCAAGAAATTATTTCTATGTCGACGTTCTTATCAAAATTATTTAAGCATATAAGTAAAGAGCTGCCACAAGATAAAGAATTCAATCAAAGGAGCATTGGACACTCAGAAAAAAGGAATACAATTTTTTACTTGTTCCTATAGTTTTTGGAGATTTTTATTTACCTATTTTTATATCCCCTGAAAACTTTCAATATTGACCTCTGTTTCTGAGCATCTTAATTCATGAAAGATCACTTTATTACGGCCATAATAGATCTCAATAAATAAAAGTTGCTTCAACATCTCAAAATCAGGCCAAATTTTGAACTTAGAGGAGAGCTGAATTACATCAACATTACAAGCATTGCTATACGAGTTTTAAATCAAAACAAGAGCAAGCGATCATCAATCAATATATCAACATCATCGATCAATCAATCGTTCAATCAATATCAGCGATCTACGTAATATATCAAAAGACTACATACTTGAGTCTTAAATCCTGCCATTGGTTGCGTCAGAAATAATCAATAAAAAATGAGAGAAATACGTTTTGTAAAGTATTTTTTGGCAATCATGTTGCTTATCGTATATTAATATAACATGATGGTCTTTTTTAGTTAAAAAAGATAAATTACAAGGCAAAGGAAAACATGATAGCGTTCTTATTGTTTTGACCACGCTACTTATATTTAATGCATAAAGGTCATAATGAGTTATAAAGGAAATGAAACTTTATTGAAAACATCAAAACTAAAAAGAAATTAAATGACCAGCTGAAATCTGAAAGGCACTTCAAGTATCCTGCTTTCATCTCAACCAAATTATAGTTGTGACATTTCAAGTAACTTTCATCTTAGAACATACCTTTTTAGACATGTTTAGTTTATCTGAAAAGTACTTAAATACTGGACTTAACTTTTAAATTTCATCCAATATGATCTAATATTTTCAATTCTTCATTTAATATTTTCATTTTCATCTCTGTGCAAATAATCTGTGTTATTTTTAATTCGAAGAATTTTAAGCTTATTCTGTTCCAGTAAAAAATCTTTACCAGCTTCGTTTATATCTAGTCAACTTGAAATTGTCAATTCATGACACTGATAAATGTTAGTTTCTAGAAAAGTTACATTTCTGTTACTTTATTTTAAAATAGACCAAACTTAACCTCTTGATTTTATAAACTGCATTGTTAGTCTTTAATGATTTAGTAGTCTATAATTAACGCAAATTATTGGTTATAAGTGTTATAGACTAAGAACATTGAGCAGCTTGTATGCAAATTTCCGGCACTCTAAACTTGGGTGATTTCGTTTTTCGTGTCAATAGAAGCACCAAGTTCATTACATCATCTTGTTGAACTGAGTTACAATCGTATATCAAGGGTATCATTTTTACAAAAATATTCTTCTGATCTTGTCATTTATTTCCTCGGTAAATAGCCCCTTTTTACTGCTTGCCTGTGCAATCTTATCAAATCCCTTCCTTTACTAATTCCTAGAGACTGATGTCGTTTTCTAAGAATTGCCTCGTTGTAGTTTACTGTTTTCTTGACAATGTTGGATGTCTTGTGTGATTTGCGATGAAACCTTCGATTATGCTTATGATGTCTATGATGATGTTTTCTCTTTATCTTTATTCTATTTAGTTTTCGCTTGTTAGATTTTCCATGGTGTGCTACTGATGTCTTTTTGACGCTCAGCCCATCCTTGAAAGGAGATTTTACACTTTCAAAATTGCTATTCTCGATTAACGTTTCCCCTGGCAATGATCGCCCCGGGTCACGGAAAAAGAATTCCGCAGAGCTTCCCCTTGGTGATATCAGTTCCAAGTCGTTTTCGTCATTTTCCCCCTCCTTTAGGAAATAGTCCCGTTCTTTCTTGTTATGAAGCTTAAACAGACTTGGCCCAGCAACGTCAGTTTTTGCCACGAGGCCAGAGAATGCTGTTGCAGTTGGGGGTATGCGCCATTCCATGACGTCTTCACCTCCTTCCCTTACGTCACTGCTTGGCATTAGACCAACTGGAAAATCTGGTTCTGCTGTCTCTTTTGAAAAATAATTCTCCCCTTCTTCGTAGTTTTGGTATTCTTTAATTCGATTGCTTCTTAGCGGTTTCGCTCTAACTTTATAAACAGAACCGCTTGGATTAACACCCTTAAATTTGTTGAAGTCCGTACGCCCGTCATCGGCAACGTCTGTTCCATCGTCAATAGAAAGTCCAATCTTCCCCATGTTTTTTGTTCCACTCAGTTGGGGCTGATTGAGTACTTCTTTATGATCACGGTTGTTTTGCAATCCCAATCTTCCCAATGATTTTCCTCTGAATACATTTTTACTTTCCATGCTCGTTGGAGGGCTGTTCAAGTTCTGATGAGCTAATAGTTTCACAGGCATCAAATTTGTTTGCCGCAAAGGCTGCCAAACAGCTTTGATCTTTACTTTTTCAATAGGAGAAGCTTGACTGCGCTCTTTTTGTGTAGAATCGACGATTGCTTGCCTTGGCCCTCCAGAAAGATAAGAGTTTCCATTAAATCTGCTATAATATATACTGTTAGCATTCTGTAGTGCATTTCTAGATAAAGGAGACACACCGCCTGTACTTTTGTATTTGACAATTGCATCAGCAACAGCATCAGATAGCTGATCTTTGATCTTCTCCAAATTTCCGTTCTTCCCGCCAACATCGCTGAGACCATACGCCAAAACATTCAGTGGATTTTCTTGTGCCTCGGACAGTTGCTTGATCAAATTTGCAGGGTCGTGTTCAGGATTAGTTTGCAGTGTTCCTGGAAGAGCAGAGCTGAATGATATCTTTGGCAGTGACTGAAGTATCATTTGACTGTTTGGTATAAGAGACGATGGAGACTGCACCATCTGCGTGAAAGTAGCTGGGCCACCACATGCACCACTTGCGCAGGGACTGGAAGGGTTTGGACAAGGACCATTACAAGATGGTGATGGAGGAGGTGGAGGAGGAGGAGGAGGAGGAGGTGGAGGAGGTGGAGGAGGCGGAGGCACGAAGTGCGAAGACATGGAACGGAGCAGGAAAGAGAAGGCTGGAGAGTGAGTGGTGGAGGGGGTGGAGGTGGTAGAGGTGGTGGAGGTGGTGGAGGGGGTGGTGCTGACGACTGGCAAGGCGTTTGACATGGTGGTGGGGAGGGTGGCGGTGCCTGAGCTGGTGGTGGGGCGACTGGTGGCGCCTGGACTGGTGGCGGGGCTGGGGGGCTAGCTGGGGCAGCCTGGGCTACTGGCCTTGGCGCTGGTCTGCGCACAACCTTTATGACTTTTACTGGAGGAGGTGGTGGAGGTGGTGGAGGAGGTGGAGGAGGGGCCTGTACATAAATGATCTTTTTTCTTGGTGGGGGAGGAGGTGGTGGAGGGGGTGGTGGTGGAGGTGGAGGTGGTGCAGCATAAACAGGAGGTAGAGGAGGTGGTGGAGCAGCTGCAGCCTCTTGCGGTGGCGGTAGTGGTGGCAAAGTAGCTTTTTGTGTTGGCTTCGTGCAAGAGCAAGATGGTTGAGTGTTGCAATCGCAATTTTCATTATAATCCGTATACGTCTCTGATATCAACTTGAAACCAGGGAAATTGAACTCTTGGGGTGGCTCACTGTGTGGCCCTTGCCCAATATTAACCATTTGTGTAGTTTCAATAACTTGAGGAGAAGGGACAGTTGGCGTGTTTTGACGTTGCTGTACAGCAGGGTCTCTTAATTGCAAAGAAGAGGTTTCATAAGGATATGGCAGACTTTTTCTCGCGACAGGTAGGAAAGGCTGAGTGTATTGGTCCACGAAGTCCTGTCCCCCTCGTTGATTATAATTGTTAAGGTATGGCGTGTATTGATCAGCAAAGTCGGGATAGCTTCTCTGAGGCCAAGCGCCATATGGGGTATTCTGGCTACTGACACTGTTTAGAAGATTACCTCTTTTAGTTGATGAGGCGGACAGTCCTTGGTAAGCATTTTGTGGCCATTGATAACCGTAAGGACTACTACCGAAATAGCTTTGTTTACCAGCGATGTCAGTATAAGGGGTGCCTAAAAATGCTGGTTGTTGATACATTCTACTGATAGATGGCTGAAAAGAGACTGAAGATCTACTAGAAACAGAATTGTAATCTTGCATGTTCTCGTACCCATTGTTGGATGGAAGCCAGGTGTTTTGATTGTCTTGTTTTCCATTATTTTGGTACATCTGCTGCCAGTTGTTCCAATAAGGAGCCACGCTGCTTTCCGGCTTTAGGTTTGTGTCAGCCTCTGGACTGTAGCTGCTTGCATTTTTTTCTTGCCCATTTTGATATATATCTTGATGGCCAACGTAATTTGGGGTTAAAGAACTTTGATAACTGTTAGCTGAGACATTACCAACAGCCTGATTTATATTATTACTATTGGTATGTAAGTTATTGCGCTGAAAAGGATCCTGGTTACCATCTACTGTTTGGCTTTGTTTGTTTAAATGTTGTCCTTGTGCATAATTATCGACTGCATTCTTGAAGCTGTTGTCTAAAAATGACACTGGCAAATTAACAGTGGATGGTCCACCTGGCACCGGATAAGGAAACTGGCCCCGCGCAAAATTATTTTGTGAGGATGAGCCTTTGTTTCTCGATTCATAATTTAGAGGTATGCGCCTATGAAACTGCCCTGCAAGATATTGTGCGTTTCCTGCATCATCGCCATCATTTATGTGAAGGTTGATCTTAATTTTCGGACTCCGGTCCTGTTGAACCTGTTTGTTCACTTTTTGAGAGCCTTTACCGAGCTGCATATTTATTTCTGTACCAGCTGGATCTGAGTTTTTACTCATATGCCCACCGTATAGCTTTGATAATGACGACTGAACAGAATCTGGCTGCTGCACATTTGGAATACTTAACACAGGGGCATTTGCGTGGTTTTGAAAATTGTACGCTGGTCTGCCTATTTTTTGGTGTTCCGGTTGGTAAATGTTAAGATTCACATTTTTGCGCCCTCTCCTTGCCCCATATTTCCTCCCAATTCCTTTTCTTGTTTCAACATCTCAAGCTCCCTTTCTTTCTCTGCGTTTTTAACCTGCTCTTCTCTCAACTTTTCTTCAATCATCCGCTCTTTCTCTTTCTCAATTTTAAATTCAAGCTCTTGTTGCCTTTCCTTTTCTTTCTCTTTTTCTACTTCTTTCTCTTTTTCTTTTATTTTCTCCTCTATTTTTTCCTTCTCTGCATCTTTCTCTTTCCCCTTTCCATCTTCACCTTTACTGTTTCCATTCTTCTCTTTCTCGCTTTTTTCGTTTTTTCCTTGATTCTCTTCATTTAATGCTGCCTCGTTCTTGTTATCAGATGCCTCGGAACGATATTCAGCAGGCTCGTGTTCACCGGCTGTAGCTTGCAAAGGCATATATGGCATGGGCTTTCTGAAACTTAATCCATTAGAGACCTTCTCTGCGTTTTCGCTATTGCTATTTTCTATTTTGGGATTATCTGTAGCCTCTTTCATAACTTCCATAGCAACTACATTCTCGTCATTATGATTAGCTGATTGCAAAAATTTGCTCTTCTTGGGGGCCAGATCCAAGAGCTCAATTTCAGAATTTTCATTTACACTTGTTTGGCCTAAAAATCGGTGGGCGTCATTTGATGGCATGAGAATATTCTGTTTTTTCCAGAGTTTGTTAGGTTTTCCTGAAACAAACAAATTCCTCTTACCCTTTACATAGACTAATTTAATATAAACTCTTTTTTTAAAGAAAATTAAGTTTTACAATGTATCGAGTTAAAGTCTCAGGACTTCTTTACAATATTAATGTTAAATTAGATTAAAAGGCTCCATCTATATTAGTTTGTTAAATTTTCTTGAATCTTTCTTTAAATCTTTCTTGAATAAATCTTTAAATTTTCTAGTTTGTAAAATCCTAAACTAAAACACTTTGATCCCAAAAACCAAAATCAAAACATTGCCGAAATTTTTCAATCAATTTTTAGATCAATTTTCAATCAATCGGATCATAGATTCCCTGAAGACCATACTAAATCGCTCTGTATTGATACTGATCGTTACTGAATGCTCTGTCGACCTAGCATAGGAAGCGACCAAACTGCACTTTTTGCTGGAAAAAACCATTAAATGCTTGTTACCTAGATCAAATACTGAATTTATTTATAATTTCTTCGGCAACATACAACTTGCAGACACCCAATCAAAACTGCAAGGAGTTCTCTTGTCTACTATCGAAGACTTTGTTGTCTCAAAATAGGAAAACACCGATTGAACTAAAAACATAGGGAGCGCTCCTGATTTCTTGAAAGTTTCTTTTAAACATTTCACTATTTAAAAATCCAGAGCGACATTGAGCTCTAGAATTACAAATCGAAAGACGAAATTTGAACATTTCATCATGACACGAAACTTTCAATATTTTACTAAAACAGTTAGTATTGGAAGATAAGTCTCGATAACAAAGAACAGCTTTTTGCAGTGACGTCATCTTGAAACAACAGCCTTAAATAAACATTTTACTTCACAATCGATCTTTCTAAGAACAAAGTCATCTGAAGGAATGTCCTTATCACTTACTAAATTTGCCAGCACTGCTAGTTGAGGTCGTGCGCTCCCGATTTTCTAAAATTGAGAAATTCAAGATTATATTTATATTTCAGCCTGTTAGATCAGCTGATATTTTGCTTAAACGTTCTGGGTTGATATTATGGCAGGAAGAAAACCCTCTTGTCTGAGAATCTGCCTAAGCTGAGTGAATTAGATACAAGGAAGGAATATAGTAACTGAATTGGGTTAAGGATATAAAATGTCATACATTAAGTCAAACATTGTATATCAGTTATTATCGATTTCCGGGATGCCTCAAAAACTAACGTTGGACACACCTTAAACAGAAAGCAGTAGTTTCCAAACAACTAACAAATCCCTCAAGCATAGAACAATCCCTATGTGGTTTTTCTAGATAGGTACTAATTTTGAGAAAGCCTCTAGCACTACAATACGGTAGGAATCCAATAACGTAAACGGTATGGAAGAGCTGTAAAAAAGGAGTAAATGATAGTGCTTAAATGCAAGTAAATTATAAATGTAAATGCTAGAATATCATACTTTCTTTAGCCATAACTGAAGTTTTCCTATGACGGCGATACCGACCTCTTATTAAAAGTGATTACATTGAAATTGCATGCTTTTGCAAATGATACTTGCAAGAACGATATTTTAATGACTTTAAAAAAAATGAGAAATTGATTCTTGTATGCTCTCATTTGACTTGCTGGTTTAAATACCAATATTTCTTATTCCAGTGTTCCATTTGCTTATTAACCCGAATTTCGTTAAAATTGTATTGACTCTGCATAACCTAGTGTAAATTATGAATAATAAGATATTTACTTTTTTCTCAGCGTGACAGAGATACACACTCCATTGAAAGTTTCGAGAAGGATAGTTATAACTATGACAAATGCAATACCACTAGCTATATAATCAGCTTCCCATCTTTAATGTTTAGAACTGTAATACTGTATTGAAATATTTTTGAAATATCTTTTGCATCTATGCTGATATCCATCAAGTTTGGACATCTATCAATTAATCGAATGTAATTATATTAATAAAATTAACAACAAATACGCTATGCTTCCATTACCAACCTTTTGCAAAAGGACGTTTAATTTTGCTTCTCTTGTCAACACTTTGCAACTTGATATCATCTAAATGGAGGAGAAAATCTTGATATTTGAACTTACGTTTGATATAATACTTACATAAAAATATTTGTTATTCCACAAAAATCATTCTACAGTTCTAGAAATCTAGGTCATTTTAAAAAGCGATTTTGTTCGAGAGAGGAATGAAGGGGTGTCAATAAACAAAAAAATTCATTTTGAAAATGCCAAGAAACCATAAAAACTGCGAATATCAAATAGACAAAGTGAAGACAAGGAAACAGGATTTATCAAGGACATTTTTCCTGCTTTCAAGGGTGAAAGGAAAAGGCCACAAAAGTGCATGGGTAGAGCTGTCGATTTCATTCAATTCTGGCCTAATTTCTGTCAAGTAAGCTTGATTAGACATAAAAATATATCTTACAAAAAAAATGGTTTATGTCACAAAAATGACAACGAAAAAGCAAATTCTTTAAGATATACTAAAGTTCTTCCATTGCATTGATTTGCGTGCCCAGTTTATTTAACAAGACATTGTGCATTAAAAGCATACCAGTTTTCTGCTTGTTTGACTTTTTCACTCCTCTTTGCTGATGCAGGGATGTCACAATGTCATTTTGCGAGTCTTTGAATATCTTCTTTGATCCATCTAGCCATTTCACTTTTCCTGAAGCATAAAACACTAACGTTTCTTGAAAAGAGGAAGCAACTGAGCAAAAGCTTGAGGAGCTAATCTTACTTTTAATGTCTCACAAAGGATCCCGTCTAAGGTCTTTTTGGTCGATCTTATTTTTATAAAGCAAATTGGTTTCAGGCATGCTTCAACAATCTCATAGTATATCTGTAAGAAATTCAAACAAAAAAGATTTAAGTTTGAATTTAATCCTAGATTTTCTAAACGCATTAAGCTACTTTCAACGCGCCTTCATATCCACGTAGAGCAATGAACTGCGTTTTAACTGGAGACTTTGCGCTGTCTTCATGATTAAAAATACAAAATCTTGAATACATACTTGTTTCCATTTGAGGCAAAAAGTAAAAAATATGGGACAGTTGCAAATAAACAGAGATCTCTCTAACTCATAAATGGATTGTACCCAAATCTAGAAACTATTTCAATAATTCTTAAATAAGGAATGCTGTAATAAGCAGATACACAAAAGGAACGGTTTCTTAAAATTCCAGAAAACACACCCTTGTCTTAGGAACATACAAATTCTGCCTAGTTGACGCTAAAGTAATGAATATAGAATTTTGAGGGCTTGGAGAAATTTCACTCATCATTAACAGGGCTTGGAGAAATTTCACTTGACATTTCCCAAGGGCTGCCAGGAAAAACTGCCTCTTTTGCTCTAGTTTTCTCTTTCTCTTGCTACAAACACCTATAACTTGTTGATACACTAAACATTCTTTCGGTTTCAATACACAGTAGAGAGACTGATTCATTTAGCAAAAGAGTCCCACTTTATTAGATACACATTATCAAAGGCAGAATGCCAAAAAACTTAGTTATATTACTGGCTATACTATCCGATCAAAGGAATTTTGAAAATATTTATTAATACATCAAACATTTTGTGATAAGTTTTCAGGAATTTTTACACATAACTGCACAGAAAAGCGTAAAAATGAAGTCAGCAAAAACAACCAAAGTACACAATGGAGAATAAAAGTTTATTTCACACGCAAACTTATCTATCAAATGGAATATAATTTTTCAATTTCACATCAGACTAAAACTAATTTCTAATTATAAATACTTATAAATGATGGTAAACGGTAAAAATATCTTAGAAAAAGTATGTTTCTAGGTTAATTGAAAATTGCAAATCATCTGATATTTTCACATAGCAGTCTTTATAGAGATGCATAAATTTCTAAGAAGCGTGCATCAGCAAAGGCGCAAACAATAGTCCCCTTCAAATGTAAGAAATTCGTGAAAAATTTGATAAGACTTGATAAGTAACTGTGCAATGATGAGAGTCCGTTCCGTTATCTTTGTTAGCAGAGATCTTTAGATCTAAAGACGTGAAAACTAATAGGAATAAGCACCTGTTCTGCCTTTTGTAGACGTAGGAGTCCTCTTCAAGGCTTTTTGGTCTCTTTTGGCTGATCTTTGATTATGTATTGATGTAACAATATCGCCCTGGTTGTCCTTGAATATCTTGTGGCTCTCATCCAACCATCTGATTTTTCCTGTAAGCAAAAGATAAATTAAGATGATAAGAAGTGGGCCATTTAAAAAGGAATTCAAGTATTCATTGTTATCATAAAATAATTAAGGGCTTTTTAATCAGTTAGCTAGGCAGTAGCAGATATCTGAGAACCAAGTGTTGAAAAGATGACCAGAATACACACACGAACTTAATAAAATCATACACGAACTGCCAACACGTTTCATACACCAAAAAACTACTTGATTTGTCATGTTTATGTATAACGTCAGAAAAATGGCTTATTTCACTGACAAGTGTATCTCTCCATTATTTCGAATGCAAATAAACTGCAAAAGTATGATTGACAGTTCACAATCAAAATTCATTCCCATTAAAAGTGTTCATAGGCCTATTGAGAAGACAGAGAAATCTTCTGAATGTCGAAACATGCTTAAATAAAAAGGATTCAGGAAAATGTCATCATTACAGGAAGAAACGGCACAAAAAGTTCTTGTCTAGCCATTCCTTTTCGTGATTTGTGGCAGGAATAGCTCACGTCAAAGATTAAGAGTTCTCAACGTGGATATCTTTGACGTTAACAGTTTACTGATACGACCAACAATGTGTCCTTAAAGGCAATCTGTCACGACGTTGATTGATTATAAAAACAAAGGGATTTTTTATTGCTTCCAGTCCCCCTTTAACCTATCGCATTGTAAAAAATATGGCGGAGCGCTGGAATCGTGTTTAGGCTATTGTTCTCGTTAACCAATCTACAACGAGACAGATTGCCTTTAAGGCATACAAATGAGACATAGTGCCTTTAAGACTCAAAGATGGGACATATTGCTTTATAGGCTCATAGAGGGAAAATAGTGTCTTTAAGGCTGACAGATGGGATATAGTGTATTTAGCCCTCACAAATGGGACATGGTGCGTTTAAGGCTCCTAGATTGGACATAATTTCTTTAAGGCAACCTATCATTTTCTAAGGCCTAACTAAATGCACCAAACTGCCTACTCTTTGTTAAACCATGAAAGTTTTCAAGAACCTACCGGCCTTCTTTCCATGCAACGGCTGACTGTGCCTTTTCGAAGCACGGACATCTTTCTTTGTCATTCGCCTATCGTGAATTGAAACAACAATATTTCCATCATGGTCTCTGAAAACTTTGTGGGCTTCGTCAACCCAATGAATCCCTGAAACGAAACGATCCTTGGTTGGTCTTGGCAAAATAATTGAATGCAAAGACAATCATAATGAGACTGAAGAACCTTCTTAATATAAAATATAACAATTTTATTCGAAGGACTTAAGGAACTACAGTGCTTCCGACCCTTCATTTAGTTATAGATTCTTGAATTTTATTAAGTATTTCAACCAACATAAATCGCTCAACTTGATAAGGGTTGTAGTTATCACGGGTTCACCTGGCAAGGGCTACAAACGTAAGGCATATCAGAACGTGCAAATGACACGAGAACACAAAGATCTTACGATCAAATATCTTTCTTACGGAAATGAAGCTCTTTGCTAAAGAATCAAAACTTTGTTTCAATGTTTATCATTAATATTGTCGTAACAATACCATATTCTCCGCTTGCGATTTTTTTATTTCTCTGAAAAACGTTAATGTTTTGATAATTTTTCAAACTTTGAACCGGTAGAATCAATTATTTTTAACCACTCACAAAAGGGACTGCTCACGTAGCAGGTGCATATGAAGTAACAGAAATGGCAACAAGCAGGCCTAGTACACATTAAAACAGATCGAGCAAAGACAGCCAGAAACAAGAAGTCTGCCACCCAATTGCAGAGTCACATAGCTAATATCACGGTAAACGATCACTTTCCACGTAGGACCACATTTTGGTAAATCATACGAATTATCTTTGACCCAGATATCTGTCACTTAGAAAATATAACTTTTGATCCATTGCACACGCTATTTTATCTGCCTGCAAAAGAATAATATCATAAAAACAAGATATTACAGGAAAGCGAGTTTTGTGTAGTTTCTTCCAATTCGTGTAAATGACAGAAAGTGACAGGAAAGAGGATGGAAAGTTTTTCTAACACCAGTCACTCCCATTTTGTGTACCCTTTAAACAGAACTTTTAGAAACCCAATTCAAGAATTTACGGTAGCAGTGGGGGCTTATTCGAGGGGGGGCTTATTGACGATTTGAAGTTCTAGGATGGGGGCTTTTTCGAGGGGGGGGCTTTTTCGAGGGGTAATTCGGGTAATTCGGGGGGTAATTCGAGGATTTACGGTATGCAAATCAAAGAATTTATTTTTTTTCGACGCCAACAGCATAATACTATTAAGTGACAAGATTCGTTGCTCTTTACTGCAATAACCATAGTGCTCGCACCCTATGCCTAATAAGTACTGTACCAGTACAAAAATCATAGGTCGAGCCTTGGGTCAAGACAATGATCTTCTGTATAGCTGCCAAGTGCTGTAGGTTGCTAGTTGTGTTTAATTAATACGGTAAATATAGGATAATTAATTTAGTTAGCAGGCCATGCTGCAACTGCCAAAAAAAACCAGGAGAATAGGCTATTGCATAGAGTGACCTTAGCTACCTAGGTTGTAAATATATGTTTTTGATCGACTATTTGATACGAAGGGAAACATGAGATTGTGTTAACTATATTCTCGAGCCTGTATTTAGCTAGTATATTACCGTCTGTTGATTACTAGATAACGAAAGCACTTTCATGAGATACAACTTTACAGTAGACTACAGCTGCAATCTGATCAATTACAAATCAGTTAATTAGAAGAGAAGCAATTTGAGCTGTTGTGGTTCTGATGATCACTAGATTTTCTAATTGCAGATGATGTTTTCATACAGAAAAATTACTGTTCAAAAAATTCCCTGATGGGTTTATTCCAAAAATGAGTCACTGACGACCCTAGATCTCTGCCTAGTGTACAAAGAAATAAAAGTTGTTTAAGCAACAGAAATGAACTTACTTATACTCGCGAAAGAAATTTACCTAATGTTTATGTGCAAAGCGGTTGTAAAAAAGGAATTGGCATAAAAACCATACTGGCCATGGCCTATACCAATAACACACAGCCTTGATCATTCATTGTAAGTATTGTAAGCTATGATTGACCAAAAGCTTAAAGAAAAATTCATGGTACCTGTTTTGTTTTTGGTCGACTTTCCCTCCTTTGAATGGCTAGCTCTTTTCTTTGACTTGCTTTTAGCATCTTTTGACGCAGTCAGGCTGTCTACAAGAAGAAACAGTGTCAGCAAAAAAGCAATGGCGAAAATCTTTCGAAAATTAGCTGCATCCATCGTTATCTCGAATTTCCTAGCAGCATTTTATTTTCAAAGGCGCTCGTGATGAACATCGCATTCATGACGAAAGTTCTTTGCGCAGGAAGCGAATTGATCGACTGTTTAACAGTGCGTGTAAACTTTAGCGATGCTAAGTGGGTACTTGCCCATTGCTATAATCCAACTAGGATAAGATCGTCAACTAAATGCTAGAATTACTCTTGCTCGAACCTTGTTGTTCTGTTCATCAAGTATGAAGCATAAACGTCAAGCTTGCTCAACAATTAAATCACTAGAAAAACCTTCTTTTAAATCACTTAAGAAAGATTTTCAATGTTTATGGGTATTTTCTGGACTCCAAAGCTGCTTTTAGGCGCTAATGCACGAATTTATCTGTAACTGGCTTTGACCTGGGGATCTGCAAGGACTAGGACAACAAACCGAATACAATTAAGATATTGGGTTTCGCCATATTTCCTTTCCCCGAAGCCCAGGGGTGCTAAAAAATCAAACGAACGGGAGGGGAGGGCCAGTCTGATATTTCTTGGTCGACGACCTGGTTGCTTCAAACAGTACAAGGACCAAGAAACCTTGACCCCCCTAAAAAACTTACGTTCTATAAGTAAACTACTTTTATTTTGTAAAATATCGCTGTTGTTATACTGATTTATCAGGGCTTGCCCCCCCCCCCAACAAAAAGTTGTATCTCGGTCTTTGAAAAAGTATAACCTTAGATAAATCAGTGTAGACAAAAGGAGTTCGTTTTTACCTTAGGACTTCATCGGAAACATTCTCAATAGTCAAGCGGCACTGATTGGTCAACCTCAACAGTCATGTGCTCGTGTTTCTAATTGGCCTATTTCTATCCACAACTTGGTATATATATTTCCTAGCGTAGAGTTTTCGATCTATGTTCTGACGTTTTAAACTCTGAAGAGTGTCAGATAAAAAGCTTCAGTTAACTCAAATGTTTGATTTTTTCAAAGCCATTTTCAAGTTTTGTACCACCAGAAGATTGTTTGAATGTTGATTTACTATAGAAAAAAGAAAGGGGTTATGGAGTACGTTTTTCCTTGTGGCTTGTATGATATTGTTCTGGGGGGAGGGAGACAGTAGTAGTAGTATTTTGGAAAACAAATGAAAAATAGAAAAGCACAGCGCAAAGTGTTGGATGTTTCAAGAAATTTTGGCAGTGATTAATCACTGCCAAAAGTCTTGGAACATTAACGTTTGTTTTCAAAGGCAAATTCAGTCATCCCCCTCTCCCCCTAGTAATGTTGATTTACTATAAAAAAGAACTCCACTTATGAAAACCTATCAATATTAACCATTTTTAAAAACAACTTAAAAATTTCTCTCTCCAACTACGCGATCACAATCTACGCTAAAAATCTGAGCACGCCTCTCCCAACTCCAACGGAGCTAAACAAGCAATCCATCAATTTGAAGCAATAAGATGCAGTTAAGCGTGCTTGAAAACCAAAATCCGTCTAAAAAGCGACTACAGACAGTAATAATGATAACAAAAGAACAATGATATCTATGCTATACAGATTTTACTTCAAACGTTATATTACAACAACAGCGCAAAGTGTTGGGCCTAGGTAAACTAACGGCAGTTTTCAAAGGCAGCCATCCCCCTCTCCCCCTAGGAACAATGTTGATTTACAATAGAAAAAGAAAGGGATTGTGGAGTACGTTTTTTCATGTGGCTTGTAGGATATTTTCTATACTTTCAACATTGTTTTGGGGGGGAAAGGGGGTAGAAGTATCGGGAAAACAAATGACAAATAGATAAGCACAGCGCAAAATGTTGGGTGTTCCAAGTAATTTTGGCAGTGATTGTAGTTGAGAGTCGTTTGTGTCATAAACAAAATTTACCGCACATTGATGGATTTTGATTTCTACATTCATTGGTATTTGCGATTGAGCTAATATTTTTGAGTTAAAAAAAGATTAGCTGAAAATTTTGTAGCCAGTAAAATAAGTTTTCCAGGCATCCCCTAAATAGCTGTAACGTTATTCTTCATGAACATATGCTATTCATCATATTATGAAACTACAATCACAGTTCAGGAAAAAAGCACAATCTTAGGCACCAGCATTTTGGTGATTTTGACCGGATGTTGCAATCTCAGCCCTAGCACAACTTATTAGCACAAGTTATGTCCCTTTTGTTAACAGATTTTTTTCGGAATAGAGTAGCTGGATTTATATTTTTGTGAAAAGGGTTTGGGTACAATATGTTTAACAAAATCTCTTGCAAATTTAGTTATAGAAAACAGTTCGCATTTTTAAATTTTGGGAGATTGAATTAAGTCTTTGATTTGTTAATGCAAAGGTCAGCAGCAAATTGGACAAATATGCCTTCTACCTAATTCTTAGCATTTTATTTACATTTTATACACAAATCCTTTTGCTGGTTAAATTGTCAGAAGTTTGATCAAGTATCAGTTAATTTAATGATAATTTTAGAGGTTCCCCAAACCAAAATGCAGATGTACTGAATTCGAAAAAATGCACATTATGCCTCTCAACACTCTCTCACATAACTGTGTTAGTTTGTACATTTGTGTACATTACCTCTGTGTAATATTTTTCATAAAGTCATTTCTATATGTTTATAAAAAATGTTTTGGCCCCCCAACCCCCCAACCCCCCAAATGTCAAAATTCTAACAAAAGATCAAAATATTGTGATGTAATCTTTAAACTTTCAAATTTAAGAGTATAATGGTGGCCCTTAATCTTACATATTATATGATTCCAACCTGTTCATGCTCTAGACCACAAAAACATGAAAAATGGAGGAAATCAAAGCAAAAGCACCTTGTGGCTAGATAAGCTTTTTTCATCAATTGGTTATCGCAACAGAAGAGAGCAATTCCCAAAAAATAATTTTTACTTTTTTGTTCAAAACAAGTGAACAAGCATCAATATTTTGTTGTCATAGACAGCAATACAATATAAGGGAAAATTTAGATTTTTAAAATAATGGACATTTGCTTGCAGTACTGTCTGACAGTGTGATTGGAGTCACATATGTGCACATATTCTAAGTATGAGAACATTGATCATTTGATAAGATTTGCAAGGAAAACGGTCATTTGAATAGGTTGCCAGGAAATATAAATTAAGTTGAAAACAGGAAAAGCATATTCAGTTGGTGTAATAGTCAGGGGTTTTGTTGGCAAGATGCAATTCTGCTTTTGGATATTCAATGAGTTTATTTTATTTGGAACTTTGGAACTTTAGTTTTAGGCACTAGGAAATTTTTTAAGGAAATTTAACCTGTCATTTCACATTTAATAATTCTATACTATTATATGATAATTGTACCACCTGATTTTGTTAAAAGCTTATAAAATAGATAAGTACTGGTTTCAATTCGCTTTTGAAAGCTATTATTTTTTGCACAATGTAAATAGAAAAAGAGAAAGATAATAGTCTTGTAATATTTACTTTGTTTTGGTTTTGTCCTTGAATTATTCTCCTAGCTTTGATCTATAATTAATTATAGAACTTTGAAAACTATATCTATCATTTTCTTAAAATCCATTTATTTTGTCATCTAGAACAGGTGTTTTTAATAAGCAATTGTTGTGTCTTTTCAAATGACAGAAAAATAAAATAATAATTGCTCTAGCTGGAAATTTTTTGGCATTTTGGGCCATCTGACCGACTTTCTTAAAAGGGTAAAGTGACTTGTTTATAAATATTATTCATGAATAAAAATCTATCTCAATTAAATACGGGAGGGCATTGACACAAAACCAGCGTGGAAATTTTTATTTTCGAACCAAGTGGGTTCTGCTGAACACGTTTATTATTAACTGTCATCAGTGTAAACCGCCACTAAAAGCTTCAATTTGCAGCAACAGGTTCGGTAAATCAAATTTGAAATGAAAATAATTATCAAAAGACTCTTTAGGCCAACAAGTGTCTTTTCTACATGTAAATATTACTAACATCATAAAAATACAATATTACAAAAAGTTACCTAAATTTTCTTCGTAGGGAACAAGTTATTGATTGACCCAAGGTCGGTTAGATACGAGATTTGATAGCTAACGATTAGGAGGCTGCTCCTGTTGTTTACATGGAGATTTCAAAAGAGGCGGGTAGCAACGCTGACACGAGCAAGCAAAACTTATTTGTCTTTTCAACTTCTTAATTATTAATGCTCAACTGAAATAGGCCTATGCTGTGCAGGGAAATAGAGCACCGGTAATATAATGGCTCAAAGCAAAACCACATACATACCTGTGTACTGTCAATGCATATTTATGGTGATCACACTTAGGGAAGATAAAATTGAAGGCTTGATGCATTTTATTATTGAAAGGCCCTGTACCGTGGTTTACTGAGTATTCTTGAAAGTCTCGACGTTGGAAACAGTCAGTTGATATGGTTTATTCTTTGTTAAGTGCAATCTATTCGGCGATTAGGTGTTAACAATCAATGAGGTAAGATTGTCTGTTGTGTATTTATTTGAGCATAAATGTTCTTGTTTATATAGAAGTCTCTTTGTAGAAAAGTGTGACGAGCAAAGATTTTATCGTCTATGAATTGTGATTAGAAAATTCATTTTAGATTCACGAGGCCAAGAAGGTCGCTGCAAACATTCAGATTCGTTTGCAAGAAAGATCTCTTTTAGTGCTTCAAATATCCATCAGGACTTTTCAGTTAATTGTATTTTTCCTATTATGCACGCCTTTAATCAAATCCTGAACTGGAATTAGAATAAAAACGGTTTTGTCTTAAGATTAACGATGCTCAGTCAGCTCGAAAATCCTGTTGTTTTTTCTCATTACATTGCACGGAGATAAGCCAGCCACTAGGAATCACTTGTAAGAGCTACACTCTTTTTTCATAAGAACCAGTAAATTTAAGTTCAGGCTGACTGTTCTTAATTTTTTTCGAAAATCTGAGGCTGGATTGTTCTTAATTTGTTCTTAATCTAATAGGGTGTAAGCAGTGCGAGTGCTAGCTTTTTCGCTCTAGGGTGGTGTATAGGCCTCATTTGCCAACAAAGCGCGTGAGACAGCCGTAATTTGCTGACAAATTTGAATATTCACCGAAAAAGCACCCACACATCGCTAAAAATCCTTTGAGAAAATCGTTGTTCAAAATTGCAGTTTGCAGAAGCTCAGTCTCACATTGTTCTTAATTTGTTTTCTAACTTTTGACCAATTTTGAGGCTCGTGTTCTTATAAAATTGTTCTTATAAAAAAAGAATGTATACTGTCGATGTAAATTCGACCTTGAAAGGTAATTTTTGTAATGTCTAATAAATGGTATCTACTACTCTTATTCCCCATGCTTAGATATCAGAAACATATCCCACCAGCTTTGAACTCTTGCAAACATTTGATGGGCTAATCCTAGAGCATAGTACGTTGTTTTCGATGTCATTTTATTTCAAATAAAAAATCGTCGGACAGCTGCAAGATAAAGCACGTTAAATCGCTGTTTAATTAGATTTCTTTTCAACGCTCTATTCTACGGTGACTCTAAGGACCTATTGCGCGACCTTACCCGAGAACCCTACCTATTGCGTGTGTGTATGGCAGAGGGCAATGGGGAAGTTTGACGCCTGCATTGGAAAATATTGTGTTGTGTTGAATTTCAGATAACCACGATGTTGCCGATGCTGGAATTTGTAAGTATTGGTTATATTGGTAAATATTTGTAACTTTTTATCAGAAATCACTTACTATGAGTGAAGTCGATGAGCTTTTTACTGTTAACACATTGTATAATACCCACTCGTTTTTTATAAGAAACTGGCTATAAGAAACGAGCACTGGACAGTCAGAAAAATTTAAAAAACATCAGTACTCGAAGCAAAAGAAGTAAGAAACTTTTAAATCGTGATAAAACTGAGAACAACGAAATTCTGTAAAATTCAAGAACACTATTGCCCTGTTGGCCTAGAACTTAAGACACAAGGGATAAAAATATACTTCCCACATCTAAATACAGCATCGGAACGAAGCGAATCTTTTGACGTGGTAAAAAAGGTCACAAACATTTCATAACATCACTCATGACATCATGATTAAGAAACTCTTAAGAAACAATGAGTATTGAAATTCCAAAACATTAAAAAACTGGAGTACTCAACGTCGACCTTTGTTTCTTATATAAAAAATGGGTGTAGATGCATTACAGGATTCAATTCTTTTGCTAGAATCCTGCTGCTATCGGCTTCAAAACTTAACCTCTGAGTTCAGGTGCTTTCCAAAGCTGTTCAAAAAAATGACGACGCTACTCTTAATAACATTTTTTTTTATTAGAAACAAAGGTTCTTGGATTTTACAAATTTTCGTTGTTCTCAGTTTTATAACGATTTAATAGTTTCTTAATTTTTTTGCTTCGAGTACTAAAGTTTGTTAATTTTTTTCGACTGTCCAGTATTCGTTTCTTATAGCACGTTTCTTATACAAAAATGAGTGTATTTTAAGTAAACTATGAAAAATAATTCTTTGTACCAAGTGATACAAATCGGCCCATTTCAGAAAAAATGTCTAAAAAATAGGTGACTGTGAAATTTTGAGACCGAAGAAATTTAGGATGAAGTGCTCTTTGAGAGAAACTTTTGTTTCTGTTTGGCTAAAGACGTATCACTTTGATTTTGACGCTGCAATAGCATCATTTATAATTAAAACAGAAATTTCTAGATTCTGTTAGCCGTAAGCACTGTAGAGCCTCAAGTTTTCTATGAACATTCAGGGCCCATGGCACGAATTTAAAACTGGAGCGCTAAAGCTTCTTTCCCCTTTTACTACAGCTTTAAAACTACTTGCTTCGCAACAAAGTTAAGGGGGGGAGGCCATGGCCACGGTGGCACGGGCCCTGACATTTTAGCAGGATGGGATTCCTAAGTTGAATACTCATTTAAAATGTTATCACTTCCAAGTATGCACATTTTTATACTCTCTCTGCCTCCCATAACTATCATGTTCCCTGACGACAAAAATAATGGACATGGATACAAAGCCTCTTTAATTCCTGAATGTCGATGTATGGTCGCGGGAATGCTCAGTGCTGAATTCTAATCGGTAAATTAAAAAAGACAGGTAAATTAAACTTTGCTGGTAGAGGAACGTGTTTACTTTTCGCTGTCAAAAACAGCCACTATTTGCTACTCCTCTCTGAATAAGCGCAGCGTTGCATAAATAAGTAATGCTCATCAAAATTAGACCGTATTTATGCAATAACGGTGACCCATCGTGCTTTTGATAAAGTAAATGGAAGTCCTCTTCTAGTGCACATTGGTGAGCTGATTGATTGTATGTATGCATTGCCCACCTGAATTGAGACCCGATGTCTTGCTGGTATGCTGCACTTTCACAGCCGTTGTAAAGTGGGTCAGTTTATTTTGTTTCCCCAGAAGTTGTCAAATCGAAACAGATCCAACAGTGGCATAATCAACGGGCTTGGTGGATCCGAACGAACGACACGGTTACATGGTTTATAAAACCGATATGGATGGGGTTCGGGGATTTGCCCCTGAAAATCTCAATGACTGCCCTTTGAAATTTCTGAAACCCATACTTTAACAAAGAAAAAAGAAAATGCGCAGGGGATTATCTCAAGTCGGTAAATTTTCTAAGCTGTGAATTCATTGTGACCCCCACGGTTCTCCCAACAACAATTAAGTTCATTACTCGTTAACGAAGATGACATTTCTTTACTAGTACAAAAATGTTCTCTTCTTTCTTCCAAACTTTCCACACATGCTAGCATGCATTATTTAAAGGCAATCTGTCTCGTTATGGATTGGTATACGAGTACAATAGCTGGAACAATAGCCTAAACACGATTCCAGCGCTCCGCCATATTTTTTACAATGCGATAAATTAAAGGGGGACTGTAAACAATAAAAAATCCCTTTGTTCTTATAATCAATCAACGTCATGACAGATTACCTTTAAATCATGACTTCAATTTCTGTCAAGTCAATTTTCGTCAATGGAAGTTTTTACAGTACAACTTCTGAGATCCCTGGGTCAAAGTACTTGAAGGTGGTTTTTAATACTACGGGGTACTGGCCGAACTTCAGGTCAATCTGTTGGCAGCGGAAATGCAACAGAAATTTGGATTCCGTGCCGGTTAAAAGCAGTTTTCTACGGCTAAGTCTACGTTGGTTGAATTTTCTAGCTCTCCGCTTTATTGAGGCAAAAAACATGCTGCAAAGCTGTCTAGGTCAAAAAGGGACATGAATGCAAAGCTGTCCAGGTCAATCAGGCAATCATAAGTTATAATCATCTAAGATTAGGATAAGAATCACCTAAGACCTGGGGTACCTTGCTAAAGAGCCAGAAAGGGGGCTAGAAGCCTCTTCTAAGACCACACCCGTGTCCTCACCCTGTACATTGTATTGTTTTAAATAAATCATATTGTTGGGTAAATGAGATCATTCAAATTATTCACCGACTCTATAAAGGCTAATAGTAGTTAGGGTTAGGGTTAAAGGCTAATAGTAGTTGCTCATTCATATCAATAGCGAGGGTTAATTCACATTGCCAAGTAAGTAACTTGCCCAACCAAACATATACCGTGTGAATGAAGAAAAGGCCACTGTAGCAGGCTGCTCTACGGGCTCCAAGGAGTTCTTGCGGCGAAAAGTCGATGAAGCCCCGTATGCCGGGGCGAAATATTAGCCTTTACTGATTTACGTGTTTTTATTGTTGTTTATTCTCGGCGTATTGCGGTGTTTCATATTTGCTACAAACATATACTGGCTTGTTAAAAAGGGCTCAGGCCCGTAGCCAAGGGGTGGCATGGAGTGGCAATGCAAGGAAAACGCCACGAACTGGTTTACAGACCTTGCGACTACTAGCTAATAAAATTTTTCAAACAACTCACTGCCAATAATGTTCCACCAAGTAGTGTGCTAACTTCGAGTGAATCAGTTATGTTAAGAAAAGTTGTTCAAATTGGCGCGGTCTAAGCATCTTACTGTGTTGTTGTTGTTGTTGTTATCGTTTTCAAAAGTGTCCGTTTTCGGTTTTCAAACTGCGTTTTGCGTTTTCGAAAGTCTCCGTTTTCAAAGTGCGTTTTCGAAGGTCTCCGTTTTCAAAGTGCGTTTTCAAAAGTCTCCGTTTTCGCAGCGGAGCAGTGTTAACACAAGGTGAAAACGGATACTTTTTATCCGTTTTCATTGGAATCCAGAGCAATGTGAACAGGGCCTAAAAAGAAGGTGTATAAAAGCATATGACCAATATCTTGTAATTCAGCAAAAGTTCATTGTGACCTCATGAAACAAAGTCCTGACACAGGATCATCTGCTTTTCCTTACAATAAAAACTTAAGACCTTAAGGGGAAGATTCTGGATTCATTACCTGATTTTCACAAATCATGAAACAAGATTATCTCAAATTAGGTTAAGGAGTGATTATCTACTTAAGATGAAGTACATCGTTTCGTAAGATTTGTTGATCCAGCATCTGCTGGTCACGAGCACGTGCTGATTTAATCTGTTATTTTTTATAAAAGCCTTTAAGTTCGTGGACGGACACTTAGCCTAATCACGAAATGTCGCTGCTCCTCTCTAGTTAAATGCTACATCTGCTGAGTTCCTTGTAAAATTTTCATCAGATCAGGATTTGTGTGTCTGTTAAGGTATTGGGACGGCACATAACATATTTGTTTTGTTTTCGCTTCTCTCCCATGAAAATAACTAACTGATTTTGACCCAGTGAATTGAAGTGAAGTGAAGTCCCAGCATGTTTTGTGCGAAAATTTTCTTTTTAAACACCAACCAATTAAGTTTACAACTGTAATTAGATTATACAGTTATCAATACTTTTGGATATATACCTTTTTAATGATATATGGATTCTACTTAACTTCTCTTTCATTTCCTACTTTAGTTGCTCATTTTCTGTATCTTTTATTTCATATGACACTTTTGCAAGTGCTTCTTGGGTGGAGCACAAAATTACTTTGCCCGAAATAAAATAACTTTCAAAACTGCTTTTACATGCAAAAGACAAACAATTTGCTTTCCCTTTTCTGCTTTGTAATTTAATGTACCTGTACTGCATAAAGCCCAAATGAGTCTTTGAAAGCTTGAGATGACAAATTTAAACTGGGTTGTTTTAGTTAACTTTGTCATGAAAAGTAGAATTATTGCCATGCTTCTGTTATTTGTTTTGAATTCTATTTGCAGGACACCTGGACCTTGTTAGACCACAAGACCCTTTAATCCTTATGAATGTTTGTTTCTTCAACAGGTCAACTCCAGGAGGCTAAAGTCGGAAACAACGGTTTCGAGAGCACCTTTCTGATAACCTTGAATCGAAATATGACAGAATCTGCTGCAGGCAAGACTGGCATTGCTGCCGAGTCCTATGGAACAACTGCCTTTATTTTGAATATATCATGGATGTTAGCCCTGTTACTTGGCGTCTGGTTGGCTGGTAGCTGTGGCTTAAGCTTTGCCTGGATAATTATTAGCTGCGTTGTTTTGGCTACGTTTTTCAAACAAAGAGCAGATAGAAACGTTAAACGTACTCTGGCTAGAGCAATTGCTAATGAAAAAGCGGCTATTAAACTTTGCCCTGAGTTACCATCATGGGTGAATTTTCCCGACGTAGAGCGTGCAGAATGGTTGAACAAGGTTATTCGTCAAGTGTGGCCGTTTGTTGGGAAGGCCCTGGATAAGATGCTGCGAGAAAGTGTCGAGCCAGTGCTCAGGACCAAGGTCCCATCCACGCTAAGCGGTATTCGGTTTGATACTATCAGAATAGGTGATCTTCCTCCGCGAATTGGAGGCATCAAAGTGCACACTGACAATCTAAAGCGTTCAGAGGCGATTCTTGATGTGGATATAATTTACGCTGGCGATGCAAAAATTATTCTGGCTACTAAAGGGGTTAAGCTAGGCGTGGAGGACCTAGAGATACGAGGGACACTGCGAGTGTTGCTTTATCCACTCATCCCAGATCTTCCTCTTATCGGTGGGTTGACCATGTACTTCATCAACAGACCTTTGATCAACTTCGACTTGACAAACGTATTGAATTTCCTCGAAACACCAGGAGTCAACACGCTTCTACGCAACGTTATTGATGATGCAATCGCCAGCTTCGTCGTCCTTCCAAATAAAATCGCAATATCCCTCTCGGGTTAGTACATTTTATGTTCATTATGCACCATTGCAAGCCGCCCTAGATTGAGCCATGCTAACGAAAACAAATATAGTCAAATAAGCTGCTGTTACGAAAACAAATAAGAAGAATTTCCATTAGATAATAAAACTGATAATTCTTGACATCATAAACTTCTTTTGTTATAATTTCAAAATTTGCATATGCATGATAACCATCAATTTCAAAAATTATGTTATGCCAATGTTGTGTTATGTTATGTTAACTTTTTTGCCAACCATACTCCCTTCTCTCAATAAGTACATTAAGAAACCCTGATTAAGTCAATCGAAGTTTTTCATTTCCCTTCATTTGCTCTTTGAATCTTACTGAAAAGGTGTGTCTCCAACTGCCACTACAGGTATGTTTGCATAAACTGCAGGTTGATAGAAATGACATATTTCGTTTTCAGGTCAAGTCAACAGTGGTGAGCTTAAAAATCGTCTTCCCGATGGTGTGCTCAGAATTAAAGTTGTTGAAGGTGCTGATCTTGAGGCCAAGGATTTAAAATTTCTTGGAAGTAGTGGCACTTCAGACCCCTATATAACATTGACAATTGGAGCAGAAAAATTTTCAACCACCATCAAGTCATCGACGCTAAATCCGACCTGGAACGAAACATTTGAGGTTCTTTTAGAAGAAAGTAGCAACAGAAAGATAGATGTGACAGCCTTTGATAGGGATCGGCTTCCGTCTAGGGATGAGAGTCTTGGAGATAAAAGCTGGGCACTGAGCAAGGTGATTGAGACAGGATATCAGGATGTATGGCTTGCTCTAGATCATGTTAAATCTGGTAAGATCCACCTGCAAATGACTTGGTTCACTCTGAACTCGTCCTCAGAATCTGTGAAAACTGCTGTTGGGACCACGCCTTCTAAAAGAAGCACTTTGACTAAAGCCGTACTGATTGTTCATATTGATTCTGCCTCGAATCTACCAAGAAGCCGCCACTCAAATTCGGCCTGCAATCCAGTTTGTAAAGTGATTGTCGGCAGTACGACCTTCAAGACTCACAAGCTCAACGAAACTGTTGATCCAGTTTGGGAGCAATCGCTTGGTTTTCTGGTCCGGGAGCCGGAGCAACAAGACGTAAAATTTCAACTTTGGGACCATAAAAAAGACCGTCTACTCGGTTCGTTGACCTTTAAAATCCGCAGCCTTATGAACGAAGATGATATGAGTTTAAAACAATCGTTTCCTCTTGATGACTGCAGCACAAATGCAAAACTAACTGCTAAATTGACTTTGATGGGATTAAATGAGCCTGTCCAGCCCACGGATGAAGACGAAAATTTTGTCATAGTAGGAAATGAAGGAAAAGAAGAAATCTTGCTGGATCCCAAGTCGGCCAGAGAAGCTACGACCCCAACCACGGAAGAAAGCAGTGGCTCAGGAGAGAACCATAGTCCTTCAAATAAGAGTCGCTCGAACGGCAGTCCTTCTAACGGCAGCCCACCGAATGTCAGCTTTGACGAAGTATTCAACGACAGTAATGAGTTTTCAAGGTCAACTTTAGATAGAACCGGGTCCGGGAAGAGCGACGCAAGCCGGTCAAGAATTGGTACTTTCATGCGAAGGGCCAAACTATTCAGCAGCTCCTCTGCGCTCAATGATGACTTTAGGGCAACGAGCCCTCAGGGAGAAATTAAAATCGCTATTGTTTATCGCCAAGTACAGAAAAGGCTTGTTATAGGCGTTTTCCAGGCTCGTATCTTTGAAACTGGGCAAAACCCTGACGATAACAACAACATAAATCCTTATGTCAGGATTTATTTGTTACCAGACCGTTCGCGGAGCACTCGTCTCACAACTGATGTAGCCAAGCGCACATGCAATCCAGAATTCAGTGAAACTCTGTGGTACGGGATCGACTCTATCGAAACATGCCGAGAGAAAAAGCTAGACATTATGCTTAAATCAGAGACACCGTTGCTGAAACGTGCTAAAGGCATGCGTTACGAGTTAGGACGTGCGATTATTGACTTAGCGAAAGAAGACTTAGCGAGCGAGGAGCCAGAATGGCGGACTCTTTACAAAGTTGAGTCAGATTAGGTGAAATTCGAATATTTAAAAAATAAAAAGAACAATAGGGTGATCAGATTGCTCTAAGGAGGGTGTAGCTTTACGAAGCACTTCAATGAGCAACAGTAACAATTCAGCTATGAAGTAGAATTACTAAAATGTCTAGCGCTATATGCGGGTAATGGAATAAACTGTAGTTTTGAGATATGAGAAGTCTCAAAAAAGCCTGATTAGACCTAATAAAGTACCTTGACTATCGACAAAGGATGCCTGGAAAGAACAGTGTTTTTTTCTCAAAACTAAATGTTTTTGTCAATTTACACCTTGTTTTCTATTGCCAAACATTTGCAAAGTTTAATTTTACTTCATTTTTATCGTTAAAATTTTGTACATTTTTAACTTCAATAGTGTAGAAATAGAAAGCATGAAGGCTTTAAAAAACTGTATCCCTTCAACAATTTTTTTAACCTTAGACCAGGTAGTATACGACACTCTTACTGTAAAATTTCGAAACGTCTATGTACCTCACCCTGGACACCAATGCATTTTATAAATTCTCCACTTCAATGTACGACATCGACTTCGTTTTGAAAAATGCTGCTGATTCTTGTGAAAGACGAGAAGCACATTAGATTGATTTCAATTTAGCTAGCTTCCGTTCTTCTTTTGACCGTCAAATTGCTTACATGTTGTCAATAACAATAACAATCTTTTCAAGGTACGCACTGCACTTCCAAATTAAAAATAGGCCTAAATTTTCTTGATTTTCTAGTCACAAAAATACGAAATGGCTTTACTTTTTGCATATTAAAGCACTGAAAAATGTTACAAAAACCAACCTGTTGACATTTTGGAAAATATATTGAGGAAATGCATCTAGATCTTAGAAGAGGGAATTAAATGCCATGATGATATGTTAGCATTTTGGTATTCATGATTACTTTTGGTATTGATAAAAACACTTTAGATTGACACATTTGTTGAGATTATCTTTGGTCATCTTCTATAGCTTAAAGAGAATAAAACGAAATTCACACTTTTAAAGTGTATATTTGCAGTTTATGAATTTCAGTCATTTGAAATTTGGTAAGAAAGCATATTGCTTAATAATGCCCAATTTTGTCGAATTCTAATTTCGAAGGAAATGGTCCTAAAACTGCCGAACTTCAACGAATTTCAGTTCGAATCATGAAATAAGAAAAAAGGAAAAGTCATCGATTAAACTTCAAAAAGAAAATTAATTATTTCATAAAAAGGGGTCTAAATGGCAAATCTAACAGACGATCACGTTGTAGAAGTGATTGGCGCGATCAACATTTTTGACAAGAAGGGCGACGGAAAATTACCAGCTGATAAATTAGTTGATTGTTTGCGCTCGTTGGGACTAAATCCACTTAAATCTGATGTCTCGAAAATTGTTAAAGACATGCAGGAGTGCAATGTTCAAGATAGGATCGACGTCGAAGATTTTCTACCAATTTACGAGTATTTCTTACGGAAAAAGAAGCCAAGTTTTCAAGAGTTATGTGATGGTCTAAAGGCTTTGAATCCCAATGAACAAGTTGATGGTAGGTATGAATTATAAGAAATGCGATAGATTTTATACTGTATAGTGGCGACCCTCGAGGAGCCATCATGGCAGGTTGCAAACAGTGAGTGACAAGTAGCGAAGTGTGAGTGATGATTTGCAAGCGCTGAGTTGCGAATTTTGTTTTCTTTGGCATTCTTTGATAGTAAGTACAGGTGGCCTAACATGAAATGGTTATGAAATGAACAAAGTTCTTTGGTCACTGTACCATTTAACAATAAGAACAGAGAACGTTTCAAGATATCCTTGTCAAATTGATTGATTAGGGATGATTGGTAATGATTTCTAGAGGATGTTTGCACATAGAAGTAGAATGTAAGTACAATAGAAACAAGAGGAATGGGAGGTGAAAAGAGCCTACTTCCCTCATTTCCCTTTTCCATTTCTATTTGCTCTTCCAAGACTCTACGGTCTGGTTCTCAAGGTAACACTATCAAACTGAGCAACATTTCCACCTGGATATTGTTTTAATAATAAAACTCCTAACTATCTATCAAATGAGAATGAAGCTCTTGTTTGAGAGTGAAGCTCTGGCGCACCTTTCTCATTGGTTTGAGAAATTGATAGAATGATAGTCCTAAACAATGGGAATCTAGACCCAACAAGCAAGATACTAAACATTGCAGTTTTATTACACTCGATTACCTTTTGTTAAGATTCTGTAACGCATTATTGTCAAAGTTGGTGTCAAACGCAGTTGTGAGAGATAATTCCAGTCCAAACTGGCCCTGATTGAAACCTTATTTCGCGGTTGAGTCTTTTGGAGGTGTAAAGTACGAACTACCATCGTTCTAAGTATCATTAGATATTCTCGGCTATTCTTGATTCAACTTTGCTTATTGAAAATAAAAGACTTTGGCGGATGTGAACATTGCAATCAGACCTTGGTCACGTGGGTACACAATGTTCTGTAAAGCCTTGCTTTCACTACGATAATAGCCCAGGTTCTGTTCAGGCTAAACTAAATACAATAAAAAATCTTAAGGCCGTGGAGCATATTACGGACTGAGGGGGCTTAAACAATTTTTGAGGATGGAGCTAAAATGCCCAAAGGCAATTGCAGGGCGATTTTTGTATCATTGTAGGTAAATTTTGGAAATATTTTGGAGGGGCTATAGCCCCCCTCCTAGCAACCAGCTTCCGCGGGCCGGGCCTTGGTCTTCCATTGTAGCGACTGTACAGGATTTACACCAAAAAAGAAAACAACAATGAAAAATGAATTGCTCTACCTATTATCTTCGAAATGTTTCAGAACCAAAAGATGCCAATACTCAAAGACTGTTCTGTTTGTACTTTGAAACCTCGACGAAAAAAAGGGAAATTCCATAAAGATAAGGTTGGAGAGGTTAAATACTTTCTTAAATATTTAAATATAGCTGAAAGAAACAGATGGTTCAACCGTGAGAGTAACCGCACAAACACGGCTAGAGCCGGATACTGTGTTCCTGGACAACGATTTTCAACTACCAATTCCAACTGGATATGAATAATCAAAAATACATTATCTATAATATTATCTTGTTTCTTTTTCCAGCAACAACTGCGAGCGTCTGAGAAATGTTCTCAGTATTTACAGGTGTTCGCTCAATACACTCACACGATATGAACCGTAGGTGAACTGGGTTTGCTTTTCGTTTCACTCTATAATCACTCAATGATATTCGTATGATCAAACTATGCCTCTACGGAGAAAGACAGTGCTATCAAGCAAGATTTGTTCTCTCTGTCCATAGGTGGAATCATTCCAGCTGTTGACCTCAGAATTGCGCTAACATCAATTGGAGACAAGCTCAGTGACGATGAATGCAACTCAATTCTAAAGCAAGTGATGAGCAAAAAGGAACTTGTTGACATAGAAAAGCTTGTTCATTTAGTGATGGGAGACACAACAGAAGATGAAAATCACGTGTCAACTCCTTTCATCCCTAACGCTCAGATTACCCATCAGCAGCCAACTGGCTCTAAAGCAGTCTTCAAAATTTTAGACTAGAAAACTAACTAAGCTTCATTTCATCAGTTCTTTTCGGTTCAAAACAATGTTTTTATTCTAAATTCAATTCCAGACTACTAAAAAAGTGACATCTGTTGGCATATTTCCAAATAGAGATGGCAGAGCCAAGAGCCTCTTTAACAAAAAAGCAATAAATGGAAAGTGTATCCCTTTCTTGAAATAGGTGAGAGAGCAGTGAACCCTGCTCCACTAAATGGCATCAAAATGGTCACTTGCATTTGGACGCGAAGTGAAACTGTGTTAACGTGAAATGAGAAAACTACTAATCTAATTTGTTTTATAGGAAATAATTTCCATCGTATATTTGAAATCCTAAAATAAGCGATCTTTCGATATTAAAAGCAATGTGAGCTTCCCGGCCCCTTCCCCCTCTCTGCTGATATAAAGGATGTTTATTGTTACGCTGTGAGAATGTAAAAGTAAAACGATCCGCTTATTTTTATTGGTTGTGAAATTTCCTTTATGTGATCTTTTGCATCTACGAGCTAGAAGACCACTTATCATTTGAGCCAACGCGATTGATAGATGCATAGACAGCATTCAAAGTGCAAATATCGTATCATTTCAGGTTGAAGCACATAAAGATATGTTTAAGAAATAAAAATGATACTAGCTTGAGAGTAAACTAATATTTCAATTGTTCAGTTACACATTATACTTTTGGAACTGAGCGAAATTACAAAGCAGAACAGAAATATATTTATGTCTATATGTAGCCTAAAACCCTTTGAGATTATGACACGGTGCTTAACAAAACTTTAGCTGTGAAGTGAACAACATCCTACACAAACTACAAACTCATGTTTCATACTCGGCTTGTCAATAGGTCCAATCATACTCAAATAAACACATCCAAAATTTTATTAATCAACAAAACTTTACAATACAATTATCACGCCCAGTTGGGAGTTGAGGACAGTGTCTGTCCACGGCTATTCCACAGTTTATCGCCAACAATGTATAAAACAGCTATGCTTCCACCAATTGCACTGGCGAATCCAATTGCACGTACTCCACCTAGAAAAAAGAATGGTTTTTAAAAGAAGATAAACAATCATAAAAGACTTTGCCAGCAGCCAAAACCAGCAACTGGGAGCTTTCGTCTGTGTGGTCCTTTTGTTAAATGCTTTCGTTTCCATTTTCCTAATTTACTACCAGAAAACGTGTCACCTTGCTTTTTCATGTCAACCCTTAATATATTGTGGCAGTTACTGACGGGGATAGAGTTCTTAAGCGATGGCGTTTCTATATCTAAAATTTTGAACTCCGATCTCATAACCTGAAAGAGCATAATGAAATATCTCTAAATGTACAAAATCATGCAAATGTGTTACGAATTGGATGAGACATGGCCACATGAGCACAGGCTCTCTCCCTAATCATACCTCTATAATTTGGTCTCTGTTCATGAAAAGCAGCAATACATTAGCAAACTTCAAATATTTCATTGGCCAAATCTCATATGGATGAATACAAGTGGCCAATATAATGCATATGGATGAATACGAGTGCAGCACGAGACTTATGGACATAAATGTCACAAAGAAGAAAGATAAATACCATGATAGTTTTCATTTCCTATCTCTGGATTTAGATCATGTTGTTCTGCTTTATAACAAATAAGTTAAAAGCTCCAACATAACTGTGTGCTGCTTAACCCAGCTTCTTGAAATAATTTAATCAAATTTTTTTGATGCAAGGTACCTGTTGATCGGAACAGAGCTCCAGTTGTAACAGCAGCTGCCACAGAATTGTACATGTCTTCTGTTCCTCTGGCCTTTTCGATTGCAGTGTTTATACTACAGTACATCAAAGCTGCAGTAGAAAAAGTTATAAGCAACTCATACGTCCATAAAAAAGCTTTCTTTGCAAAAAACATCAAAATAAATAACTCCTTTATGAAAACAATACTAATACTAGAAATGATTTAAAAATAAACATAGCCTGAAAATAATATAAGTCAGCCATTTGATTCTATCAATATACATACCAAGGACACCCAAGCTGTTTGCAACAAACGGCCCTCTTCTAGTCATCCCATTTAACACACTGTTTAATCGCAGCTTCATAGTTCTTCCATCAGGATTACGCAGCCCTTCATATAATCCCCAGGTACCTCCGACAGTCAGTCCTTTAAAAAAATCATAAAAATTAGAGAAAGCCATGTTGAGTCTTCTAATACAGCGTTAAAAAATCAATCATAATATAAGATAAAAAGCACTTCTGCAGACTAAAAACAATTTTTTAGCATTAATTTAAAGGCAATTGACATGCATAAGTACAGCGAATCAAAAAATAACTTTTCGCCAAATTGATCAGAGCACGCGCACAAGAAAGGAATTGGAAACCGCTCACGTGAAACCACTGCACGCTGCTCTAGGGTTTCACCGATTTGCAGAAAAGCGAAAACTGTTCACGTGTTTTGCTCTTTGCGCAATTTGATTGGTCAACCGTTCGTGGTTGAGTTGCTGCAAGCCACTTTTACCTGTGTCAAATGTCTTTAACATATATACAAAGTTTCAAAAAGTATTTGGGCAATTTAGCACAAAAGGCCCTTTCTGGGCTTCCTAAAATCTGATATTGCAAAAACTCTGATGGTAAAAGGGTTATTAAAACTGATAAAATATAATACCCTGGTGTCTACTTCAATTCCCTTTTTCATCAATACCCTCAATTTTAGGCTGCAATAAGATTATCATATTTCTTCAAAAATTTGACAAAAGTCAGCTTTCCAAAACAGGTGCTCATTTGATGGCATGGGACACTCATTAGAAGGGTGCTCATTTAAAAGACAATTTTTTTGAGTTGTGCTCATTTGAATTTTAGATTGAAATTTAATTTCAGTCTGAGTTATTTTCGTTCTCTCTTTTGTAATTTGTGAATTTTCCCGTACTCTCGTGTACTCTTGTACCCTCTGTGGTATGGCCTTGTAATACATGTTGAGTCCTTGCAGCATTTTAGATTAATATGAATATAAAAAAAATTTCAGACTAACAAACGCAATCTTTGCAAATAGCTATAAGAAATTAAAAAAACAATCATTAGAGATTTGTGGTGAATTCAGACGATGAAAGTTATAAAAAGGGGGGTTCTTGTTAGATGGAAATATTTTGAAAAAAATTCTCATTTAAGGAGGTACTCTTTCAATGGGGGTATTTTTCGAGGAAACATAGTACTGGAAATCCTGATGTTATAAGGCTTTTTATGTGCACTTCAAAGGATAAATGATGCCCAATATGCTTTGCATAAACATTAGACAATATACAAGGTTATATATATTAGACAATTTACAATATACATAACCATTATCATTTATATATTATTCAGATATTTTCAACTTCATATCACAGCATATCAATAAACCTATGAATATTTTCCCAATAAAGTCTGTATTATTATAATTTATATTAGTATTGCCCTTAGTGTTTGTCAAATTAAAACAAGGTTATTTATGCAAGGATTTTAGTCTTTTTACTTCCAAATTTGTAACCCAGTAAGGTTATCAATAACATGCAAATAATAATACTTGTATGTATTAACTGTAAGAAAAAATTTCTAGCTAAAAATAAAACAATAAATGGGAACCAAATGCAGAAAACAACATTTATCCTATAAAACTGACTCATAACATTAGGTGCACAATTTGATGTTTGCAAACGGGAGAAAAAATCATGACGAACTGACACAAAAATTAACTTTAGATTGAGTCAACATGCTTCTATCAAGCCTCTCTCAGAAAAAAGTATGTAAGCTAAAAAGGACTCCTGGTGGTTTGCCTGCGTGGGCTGTTTTTATCTATTTATACTTGAGTATATAATAGGCAAAAATATATATAGTACCTTGCCTACTTGTAAATATTCCTTATTATAAAAAGACAAATTTTTGTGAATTACTACTCCTTAAAATGACAAAAGAGATATTTAATCTTTTGGCAAAATGACAAAGTTTTGTGTAGAAATACGGATTTACTGAGTAGGATCCATTGAAACCCATTTTTCAAGAATTAAGAGGAAATTGTTTTTCTCTTGTATGTTTTTATCTTGTATGTCTTAAAAGACCCAATAGTTTTTGAAATAGTCATGCGTTTTTCTTAAGTTATCTCTATTTTTAAATTTGTCACCATTTTGTCTGGGGAGAAGAGCCAAAATCACGAAAATGAGGCTAGGGGTAGGTGCACAAAAAAGCAATAATCTCTGGGACTGAATTGGTTAAAGGGTAACGAAGATAAAGTTTATTTGCATTAAAAATCCAAGAAATACAACTGAAATACACTTCTTTTCTATAACAAATGAAGGTCAATGTTGAGTACTCCAGTTTCTTGACAGTATGAAAATCACAATGCTCCTTCTGTTTTAAGAGTTTCTTAATCTGAAAATAGCACAGATGAGTGGAAACATATCATGCTGCAGCTCTTTTTGTCATCTCTTACCTAGTTTAAGCGTCCAAGAACCCTTTCTGTTTTTGCTTTGAGAAATGAAGTTTTTAAATTGTTTTTCAAATTGCCCAGGACTCGCGTCTTATAGCCTGTTTCTTCTAAATAATGAGCAAATTCGTAAAACAAATTTTGTACTTGACAGCAGGCCTTTTTATACAAAATTTAGCTTTACACAAGTGGCCTAGCACTTGCTTGATTTCCCTTACACAGTCATTACTTGAGGTTAAACAAATCTAATGAGCAAGAATAAATAAACAGATATCCTGTCTAAATGTGCTTCATTGATTATGGTACAACAGGAAGACCATATAAATTTACTCAATGACTGCTTTTTTTGGGTTATATATTGTCCACTGTGTTCTTTCAGACCCTTATTCCGATGTTTTATACTCTGAGGAGTGACAGGCAAAAAAGCTTTAAGTAGCATGTTGTGAAATATTTGCTTATTCAAAGCCATTTTCAAGTTCTATATTCTCATAAAATTGATCAATAGAATATATAATTGAAACAAACATCAAAACAGATTTCTCACAAAATTTTTGGCAGCTTCAACCACACCTACCAGTCATATATGAAGTTCCTATACTTGAAAACATTCTTTCTCCCCAACCTCTCTTCTTTTGAGAATCTGTTGCAAACACAAATTCTGCTCCTCCATCCTATGATATACAACAGAACTTCAAGCATGATACTTAAAAAATGGTTTTATTGAAAAAAATGAAATGGTGAGTTGTAAGAACTCTTAGAAGTCAGAAAAAGAAAATTTAAGCCATTTAAAAGTTGATACAATTTTCAACTTTCTTTAACAAAGTAGTACTTGACTCGACTTAAAATACATAGAGGATGGTTACCACAGTGCTCCAATTTCCATGCAAATAGAAAGTTTGCACCATTTTTCTTGACCCTATCAAAACTGGCTCATAGTGCTAAATGAGTTGCAGAATACTATCAGTGTTCATGAATAAGCCAAACCAAAATATGAACCAGAATCAAATCTTGTTTTTAAAATAAACTTTAATCAACTAGAAATTGATGATAACATAAACATCTACCATACAAGGCTACCAATTGAAACCAAGGCAGAATAAAAGAAAGAAAGTATACTAGGTAGTTTCAAAGCTTTTGATTTAAATAAGGTTCAAATTCTTACTTGATTGAGGTATGATGGATCAATGTTTAAATATGGTGATAGACTTCCTCCTGATGAGTGTACTGTAAAAAAAATTGTCATTCATTTATCAAGACGCTGGCACTATAACCATCCAAATGGCCTTTTGCAAGTAAAAACTGGTAAGTTTACTTTATTAAATCTAGAAATAAGGAGAAAAGTTTGAAACGATAAGGAGAAAAGATTAGGAAATAAGGAGAAGAGATAAGAGCAAAATAAGGATATGGTGGCTAGGCCTGACAGCCATCACTTGCATTTGTTGAGAAATTTAACACTTATATAATGTTGATAGTATGTCAACATTTTGAATCTTTGTAAATATATAAAAAATATGGGATGGTATACCCAAGAGGCAGATTCAGGACTTTAGGTTTCCGCAGCAAAACTTTTTAAAGTTAAGGACCATGCCCTCCACAATCACTAGACCCATTTAGTACCTGGGCAAAAACTACAACCACACTGATCCATGTAAATACACAAGAATGAGATTGAAATTCCTTTTTAGTATATCCTATAGAAAACATAGCTTGTGAAATGAGCTATAGTCAAGTGTTGCTTTCAAGAGGAAAGAGAGCAGTGAAATACCATCCTATCCATTAAGGACACATTTTTGAACCAAAACTGTAACTTCACTAAATGTGATGTGGGTTTAATGTCTTTCCTGCTTTTCCAAAGCACATCCCCTGCAATATCCATAGATCATCTCCAAGCTTTGTGATGCCAAGAAGGAATTCTATTGCTTTATAGCAAATTCCAATTTCTCAGTTTGGGCAAACCAGCAAACAAATAATGGTGGATAGAGGCTGCTATGTGTATTTTTGGCTGTGAAGCTTCTTTAGAGTGAAGTTCTTTTTAGAATGAAAACCTAAATGTGTTTGATTAACCTCGTTTGATGACCTTGTTTGATGACCTTTGATGTTTGTTTGTTTGATGACCTTATTTTACCTACAGAGGAATTTACAAATCTTGACGATATAGGCCGCCATTGTATTTATGGTGGTTTTTCCTCCACTCGTGCCAAGGTATCTTGATCTCCAAGATGGTCTATCGTAGCTAAACTCTGGTTGGTTATCATCAACAAAACAGTACTTTTGATTTGCCTTAATTTGAATATCAGATCATTATGTGTTCATTTTTTTTATCTTGTATATATCTGGTGCATTGTTAGAAATTTTTCAGATGCAAAGGAACTGGCATTGCTTGAGCTACAAAGGCTTAGCCTGGATCTTCCTCTTCTGCTCACATTGCTAATGCACCAACATTTCTCTCATTGTGGGGACACTCAAATGAAACCATACAAAAGGTTGACCTAAGGATCAGCATAAGGTCCATTAGCACTGGAACTTGAACTCTCCCTGGTTAATGTCATTGATAATGAGTGCGGATGAAGTAATCCAGCAATCCACTGTGATTTATCACAGTAAAAAGCCAGGGAGACTTAGGCGAGTGTTCGTATTTCGTCGTATGCTGAAAGTTTTTGCGCTTTCTTTTAAAAACATGGTGCTGGCATTTTCGAGTGGTAGGCTACAATAATGCGGTGTAATTATCTTGCAATTTTTAGCAACAATTTTGAAAACTGACCAAATATTTAACTACTTACAGGATACATTTAGGCTTGAATTGTCGTATTCTCTGTCATTTGAATTGAACATCTTGATTTTACTTCACCAACGAGGGCTTGATGACGCCACAGCAACAACTACTGGTAAATGTTTAGCCTTTACGACCACGTTAAGAGCTTTAAAGCGACACAGATCGGTATAAGTGACCTTCACAGTTTTCCAATTGATTGATGGTCTTTCAGTAGGTCTTCATTTTGCAAGCTGTAGGCTAAAGCTCCCTACAGAAACCTAGACTTGAAAAAACACAAGGCCAAAAGGATCCGCATTCACGCACGTCCCAGACATGAGGCTTATGCAAGATAACTTAGCCTCTTTTCAATAATGCTCCATCGCAGAATCATCAAATCAAGATTCAAACTCCTAACGGAAACATTTTTCAGCAATGCAAAGATTCTTTACCCAGGGGCGCCGTGGCTTGGGGTTTAGGGGTAATAACAAACAATATGTAAATGCAAATATGAGGAGAGCCATAATGTTGAGAACAAAGCTCAAAAACAAAGCCAATAGATCTGGAAGATATAGAAACATGGTGATTTAGATGAATAGAAAAGCAAAATATGAATTTTATCAGTCGATAGAACAAACTCGATTGAAAATGATAAACAGTTTTGGAAAGCAGTAAAACCAATGTTTTCAAACGAAAATCCAATGGGAGAAAAACGTATCCTTGTTGAACGAGATGAAATTATATCAGATGAAGAATTGATTGCTGAATGCCTAAACTCCAATTTTGTGAACACTACTGATTCCCTTGGACTGGACCCAGTGGTAAGGGATACAGGGGTTGACACGAGTTTAAATGAAAAGATAGACAACAAAATCATTGAAAAGTATAAGTACCACCCTAGCATAAATACTGACCAGAAATTTGGTTATTCAAGGTTATCAAAGAAGCCGACTAAGGTTATTAAAGAAGCAAAAGAGGTCATTTGTCCGTTTCTAACTGATTTATAAATGCAGCAATAAGCAACTGTGACTTTCCAGACAAATTAAAGGAAGCAGCTGTTTCGGTGATATTCAAAAAAGGTGATTCTTACCAAAAGGTAAATTACAGACTCATTAGTGCTCTACTAACAATGTTAAAAACTTTGAGGGGAAATGAAGGAACAAATGAACTGCCATGTTATAGGAATATTAGTGTGTTTACTCTCTGGATTTGGACAAGAATATAGTACACAACATGCACTATTTAGATTTATAGAAACATGGAAGAAATATCTAGGTGAAACAGGTTTAATGGGGACAATCATGATGAATCTTTCGTAAACATTTGATTGCATACCCTATGATTTACTAATTGCTAGACTAGAAACCTATGATTTCAAGAAAAATGCATATTTAAACTAGTTAACGGTTACCTCACAAATAGAACCCAAAGAGTCAAAGTAGGATCAGCGTGCAGCTCACTAAAGCGTGTCTCAATAGGGGTACCACAGGGCTCCGTTCTAGCACCCTTGTTTTTCAATATGTTTATAAACGATGTGTTTTATATAAAAAGTGAATCACAATTATGTAATTTTGCTGACGATACGACAATGTACGCATGCGACACCACTGTCGAAGCGATACGACAAAGCTAGAGAGTGACCTAAAAAAGTTCGCTGTTTGGTGTACAGGAAATAGCATGAGTACTAACCTTTCAAAATTACAAAAAATGTTTTTATAAGGACAAAAATTCGAAAACTATGCCTGAACATGAAATGCCTGCTATTTCAACCAAGCGAAAATGTAAAATTAGGCTGCTTGCCCTTCTGGTTGATGTTCTTCCAATGTGCTGCTGTTCTTCAGGATCTTCATGAAAAGTTTGTATACGTGGAATAGCAAACTGATTGGTCTATAGTTTGCTAGGTCTTTCTTATCCCCTTTCTTGAATATCAATGTGATGATGGCATTCTTCCATTCTGATGGTACAATTTCTGTTCTTATTACTTCATTGAAAAGTTCTTTCATCTTTTTCTTGAGTACTTCTCCTCCAGCCTTTAGCATCTCTATCATGATTTGATCTTCTCCTGGGGCCTTTTTCTCTTTCACTTCCTTCATTGCTTTCTCAATTTCACTATCCAGTATTGGTGGCACTTCCTCAGCTGCATTTGCTCGAATGATGTTTTGTGCTGCGTCGTTGTACAGATTCTCATAGAATTCTGCACACCTCTCGAGGATTCTCTCTCTGTTTGATATAAAAGATCCGTCTTCCTCTTTCAGTGATGGTATCATAACTTCATAGCCTTCTTTGTTGTTAGTGGCTTTCTTGAGGCCTTTGCCGTTTTCGATGGCTTCTTTGACTCTCATGGTGTTGTGTTCTCTGATGTCTTCTCTGATGTCTAAAAGGGGTTCTCTCATGGTGTTGTGTTGTCTGATCCTATTCAACTCTCTAAACAATAAAGTACAATAAAAATACAAACTAGCTCAGACTTCAAGCTCAAATTCAACTCAAATTTTTTTTCTAGCATATTAAACTAATTAAACTTTTTGTTAATCATAAAATGGGCTTTAGCCCACTTTTTGCAAAAAAAATGCCAATTATTAAGTAATAAACTACCAGTAGCGCCACTTTTTATACGGTTTTAGCCCCCCCACTTTTCTTAGAGCCCCCCCCCCCACTTTTCTCAATGCTCCGTGGTGTCTGTTCTTGCACTGAAATGCTTTGAAATCAAACTTGCTAACGCTACGTTGATGAAACCCAACTTCAGGGGCGTAGCTAATGGCTTCGTTGGTAAATTTTTCAATTGACGACCGTCCCCCCTAGTCTAGAGGATCAAGCGGCGCCACTGCCCAACATGTTTGTAAAGCCTAAAAGTGACAAATCTTGCTTGACTTTACAGGAGTGAAGGACTAAAGCTGTATATTTGATGTTAACAGAAAGCGAAAACTTTCGCCGAAAAGGAACAGACAATGACTAATGAGAGCTTGGAGACTTTGGAGCAAAGAAAATTTCCATTAAGGAATTATTTCATTCATTTCTAGCGGCTTGAAAGTTGTGGCAATATATTGATCATTTTTAATACATATCGAAGGTGTCACCTGGGTTTTCGTGAATTGATTTGAAGATTTCATCATCAAAAAATTGTTTTAGGTTTCATAACCCATCCCCTGAAACTTTTCTGGAAAAAAACTCGAATCTTTTGCCTGCCTCGTTTTCACATTTTCTTTCCTCTTGAGCTGAGCTGGACTGTTCCCAGAAAGTTGAAGACAGGAGCAATGGTTAATGTAGTAAAAGGGGTGCTTATTGAATGGTAAGGTGATCAAAACCATATTTCTTCTGTTTGAGTTTGAGTTGTTTTGAGCTTAAAAACAATAAAATAATGCCGCTTTGCAGTACAACAACAAGTAAAATCTAGGGCTAGGCCCTATTATTTATTTCCCACCTGATATTGTGTTCAGGTCATTTATGTTGCAGAATTTATAATGTTCTGAATTTCTAAACTTGGAATTTTGGAAATTATTATCAATATTCAACTTATCATATAATTTTTACCGGGTTTCATCCCAGGGTGCATTCAGTATTTTTACTATGCCGGATATTTTCAGTATTTTGTTATTACGCCTAAAGGGGCTGACTGACAAAGTTAGTCTGCCATTCTCTCAATGATTATGCCAATAGACAAAATGATTCATTAATCCTAGGCAGGCCTTCCGAGGACAGGCACTCTAGCTTGATCAAGCACCTTCATACGTACTTAGAAAGTTCTAGGAGGAGCTTGATTGATCGAGCACCTAGAGTGTTTTGGCCTGTGCCTCTGTCAACAAATGCTGCCAAATTTATGGATTTGTGGACTGGAGTGCAGGCTAGAGTGTTTATGATATCTAAATATTAATTTCAAAAGACCAAATTATGATATTGATTATATTTTGTGATGCTCAATCAAGCACCAATGGATGTTTGCAGATACTACGAGCAACAGGATTCTTCATTGTATGCCAAGGCATGTTCCTAAGCCCACGCTGAGCATATTTGAGTATGGAGTTACATGCAGAGGGTCAATGCTGCATACCAAAATTTGAAGCTGCTTATTGATTTTACTATAGCACTTTTTTTGTACCCCATATGAATATTAAAAGAGATTTCGAATTGACTGTGCCTGCATGAGATCTCGTTGAGAATTGCCATATACTCTGCAGCAGGGCATACATTTTGGCTAAACATGAGCTTGGCCCTTTTAAACCTCACATCTGCCACTTTCTTGGATGTTTGTTATTATTAATGAAGCTTTGAATGAACAATAGATCATACAAGACCATATTTCCATTTGTGGCAAAGGATTCTTAAATGTCTAATGTCAATGAAATCTGTTTGTTTAATTTGTGACTGCCTTAATATAAGTTTTATGACTTTAATGTAACTATCATTCATATCAGAGACATCACAAGCAATGCAGACCTCTTTTGAAATTGGTTCAAAGGCACTATTTTTAGGCCTATAGATTGAAGTTAAAATTTTAAGGAAAGAATAGCTAAACTTGAAATTTCAATATGATTTTTTCCTTTTACGTCTGCGGAAGCTCTGATTTTTATGTTGTACCAAATTCAGGCAGTGTGATAGCCCTTCTTGCTTTCTATGTAAAAGGTTCAGGTTTGCTCATACATGGAATTGATGTTTTCATCCCATCTACCTAACTTCAAATTGAAGGCTAGTCTAATCTTTACAAGTAAAATGGATATGAAATACTTATTGAGTTGTGTCAGATTACTATTGACCTGCAGCAACTGGCAGGAAATCATCTATTACCAATTAACTTGACCAATTCTCTTGACTGTTTGTAACAAGCATTTCTGAATGGAAGAAAAAAGCCAGCGTTGTTTTTAATTTGTTGTGGAAATTTTTATTCATTATCTGCATAGAACTGCAAATTTTATTATGAACCAGACTCAATACCTTTTTTGAAAACAATTTGAATAATATTTCATGTCATTTGTTATTATGTTGTTATGTTTTATGTAGCTCTAAAATACTCCTGTAATTTTGCACTGTTTGTTTTAGTGACCCAGCTGTCAAACAATTTTTGTTGCACCTTGATGAAAGGAATTCGCTGGGGCAAAAATTCATTATCAAAGACTTGGATACCACCCATCTGTTTATAGCCAGTGATGTTGTGCCTGTTTTGCAAGAAAAAATGTGGGAATTAATGGACCAGCTGTCATTCCCACTTGGTCAGGGACAATAATAAAAGAATAAGAAGAGTTGGTTTGTATCTTTGTATAATCAGTATATAGAATGACATTAAATGATTTGACATTCTTTGTGATAATTTAGAAGAATTGTTAAAAATAAGGGAAAACTTCCACTTCTAATGCTTCATAAACAAATAAATGCCTTTGACAGTAAACAAATAATAAGCAAATGTTTTTAAGCCCTAGTCAAATAGAGCAATCATTTCATTTATGATTTGAAAACAAATGTTTAGTAGAATGTTTGACCTGATTGGTCATCTTGTTTGGTTAGCAAACATTTGTTGGGTAATGTTGGGCAAGATTCGAAGAATTTGAAATAAAAATTTGAACCTCCTAACAAATTTGCCAAGCATTTGATTTCATTTTGATAATGAACAAGCACTCACAACGACCCCTGCTAATCCTGAAAAATGTTTCCCGTTGTTTATTAGATGTCATAGCCAGGGAGATAAGAACAAGAGAAGCTGTTATACTGAAAAATTTTAATTTTATTTATTGCTTTTTTATGCTTAGCAACCTTTCAATCTAGAGCCAAATGTAAATTTGAGTTCTGTTTGATAACTGAAACACAGAATTTGGAGCTTAAGAAGCAAAGCTGGCAGCGAAATATGTTATGATTTAAGGCGTAATTCTAATTAGATTTCCCACATTATATGCATTACTTCACATGAAATGGAACTGTAGGAACTGTTTCTATGCTGAACAAATTTTTGAAAGCATGCATGGGGACAAAGAGCATCAAGAAAAGGACAATACAATAGCATGCTAAATAAAGTTGCTTAATTTTGCAAAGGTAAAGGGCAGCCACCCCAATAGAACCCAATATGTTATTGTGCTCTTTTACCCTTGCTCTTCATCATCTTGATAGGTTTTGTTTGCACAAACCTTTAAAAAGAAAACATTTTAAAACTGACTATCTACTGATGTACTGATGTACTTAAATTGCAAATTTTTATGAGTAACTATTTACATTGCTTATTACAATAGATTACGATTAAGTGTATACACAAATACATTATAGTCCATCATATTTTATACCAGATTTTAAATGCATAAACTAAATCATTTGAAACATTGCATTACATCACATTTGGGCATGCAAACTAATTCAATGCAATACACCCTTTTATATGACAATGGACTTAATTTTTTTCATTGAAATTCACTAGATATGGTGAGGTTTGGCCTTTTAAACATGAAAAGTTTATCAAAAATGTAAATGATAATAATTTTTGTTGATGATTTTGAACTTACTGTAGATTCATTTTTTGTTAATAGTTAACATCTTCAGGATTTGGATCAGCAGATTTTCATAAACTCTCAAATATTGAATTCTTTATTCTACAGTGCCATACAGTGCATACAGTGCCTAAAATGTCACATTGTAACCAAGGCTCCCCCTACACATCTTGTTTTACTGTCAGTGCTTTGAGAAATGACAGCAGACTATAAAACAAACTGCAATGAAGTGAGCATTTGAATGTGGGCAAATCTTCCAAACATGATAGTTCAGTTAAACACATTTGTTCACCTTCATTTCAATGAGAATCAGCGTTTTGCAACAATACAATAATGAGTTTGTGATAAAAAGACAGGGCATGAATTGGCACTTAAAGGATGCTGCATGTTATTGCATATAGAGAGCGTTAGAGAGGACCTCTTGTTTCTTCCTCCATACTTGTTGCAGTTAGGGCTGAAATAGACACTCTTTTGAAGTCATGCAAACACTACCAAACATTTAATTGCCTGCCGAAGTTGGCCGTTAATGCAGTTTGAGGACAAGAGTAGCCATATTTAAAAGAAAGTTTATGTCGGCTACGAATGATTTCAGCACGTGTTTCTGAGGCTCGTAGGGAATCTTAGAATTTCTTCAAGTTTTCTGTTTGATATAAAACGTGAACATGGCATGCTACCGCTAAATTTCAATCTACGCTTGTGTTGTATCGCTCTTTGCATGATACTCGCGCTTTTATTGAATAGTTTAAACTGAAGAATTCGCCAGTTGCCATTTTTTCCAGACTGCTTCGCGTTTATCTAGGCTCAATATTCGAGACAAGCTACTTACAACCCTTAGTTGGGTCATTTTTATATGGTTTATTTTGATTTCAGCCTTTTCAACCTCAGAGTCGCTCATTCGTCTCTGAATGTGATGCTCAAGGTTTTCGAAATCACTGTATCTAATCTCTGTTCCCTTTGAAGTCTCCCTCAGAACATTTAATTCGATCGCTTCTGTTTTCTTTCCATTCTGTCGTTCATAGTGTATGCAAATATCACTGTGTGTCTGTTCGGTTTCGCATTTCGTTGACACGCTTGGTGTCGCAGTCTCATTTGCTTGTAAACTAACTCTAAGAAATCTCCTGTCAAAGGATCTTCGTCTTTCGCTGAGCTTACGACCTGCATTTACAGTAGAGCTTTGCCTCCTGCGTACAGTGCGAACACTTGATACTCTGTCATCAGGAAGTGTGCTTGCGCCTTTTCTCTGGGAGACTGCCGACTCTTTCTGTTGACCCAGCGAAAATTCAGTGTTGCCACTTGTGATAAAAGATTTCCGTAGTTTAACTCTGTACCTTGTGCTAGCACAAGCATGCACCAGCGCAGAGAACATCTCGAATATTTTCGACATTACTGCGGCGGCATAGAATATCCATGCACCGTCGCCCGACAGCATATTTTCTTTGAACACCATCGACAAAACTTCGGTTGGCAAGCTGAATAACGTAGAAAAGGACAGTATAACAATTATATTCAAACCTGAATAGCTATCAGCTCTCAAATTAGCTCCTTTGCGTAGCTGCCGTCGCTTTAGCTCTCTTTGTAAAGGCAGTGATTTCTGTTTTATCCGGTAGTGAATGTATATGTAATTAATGAATATAACCACGAAGGGAATAGCAAATAAGATACCTATGTATGCTGCTCTGTAATATAACGAGCCTGAACTTTCCCTTTTCGCACTTTCGCAACCTAGAAACATTGTCAGATTCACCCAAGATGTTTGGAAATAGAAAAACATGGGTATGCTGATCAGTGTAATGTATGTTAATGTTGCCAATAACAACAACTTTGTCCTAAGAAGCTTAGTTTGTATGTTTGGTTTTAGGATCTTAGAGATGATGTTTTGCCTTTGGATGGCCATAGCTGCGATGGCGTGAATAGTGAAGTGGCAGAGAATAGCTTCCAGGCAGCTTTGTAATGCACACCAGGATCCATTCAAGTACCAACGAGCGTTTGTCCAGCTTATGAAGACCCTTGTGCTGCAAATCATCTCCGATGATGCAAGAACTATACTGGTAATAGCCATCGAGACAATTATGATGTTTGACTTTGTTTTTAGTTGTCTATTTCTTCTATAGACTATAATTATCATTGTGTTCAATGCTATACCGGCAATGTTAAGACAGTTGAGTAGCGTAATAAAAGTGAGCGCAAGAGAGTTTTTTCCTTTGGCCATTTCATCCTTTGATGTCCCGACAGAAGCATTGTTAATAGTGCCAACGTCTTTAGGCATTTCTGTAATATTTCTGTAATAGCTAGCGTCTTTGGTCATTTCTGTAATATTTCTGTAATAGCTAGCGTTTGTCTAGCTTATAAAGACCCTTGTGGCTTTAATCTTTCTTTGAAACTTCTTGGCTTCAGTTACCATATATGCTGTGTAACCGCTAAAATTAAAATTCGAAATTTTACATCTAAGCTCTCAAATGACATTCGTTGGATGATTTATTGAGATTTAAAGAAGAATGTATCTAGCAATTTTTGTCGAAATGATAATCGCGAAATCCGGATGAGCTCCAATGCTGTTAATGTAAACCTGTTGATAAAGAAATTTTAAAAATAGCTCAGTTAGCTCGAAAGTTTTCATGGGTTCCGACAGAACAGAACATCTATATTAATAATAAAGCTGTTTTTTGTAATCACAAGAAAATAACTGTTTTGCATATGGTTTTATTATGGGCAATGTAAGATCTCTTTGTCAACCACTGTGAAATATTTTAGAAGAGAAGATTAAAAGCGTTCAGACACCCACGACAAAAAAGATCCACTGAAGTGTGCAACAGTCGACTTCCACTGTAATCTTGTTTTTACGGTCTTGTTTTGTACGATGTGAGATCAAGAGATCGAATAAGAATGTTTTAGAGGATGTTACTTCAAGTGAAAGAAGCCTGTAGGTAGAGTCCAGAACTCTATGGTTCCACAGCTATGAGCCGGATAAAGGTTATCCGTAGTTTTGAGGAAATCTAATTCTTAATTTGACCAGAATGTGTAAAAAATGAGAAGGTTTTACCGTTGTGGTTGAACTTTTCTTTCTCCCGATAAAAAGTAATGACCAAACGATAATTGATTTTATTTAACTCTATTTCTTAGAAATCTTTATTCAAGGCATACAGGGAAGGTTTTGAGGAAGCTAAATAGGGTAAAAATTTCATCCGGAGGGAGGTGGAGGCGTTTATTGAACTGTGTCAGTAGGCCGTTTGACCCGTTGGCTACTTCTTATTGCGCGTGCATCTATTTGCGGAGTTTTATCAAAATACTAAAAACAAAAATGCTAGTCCCTCTTATTGGAGCTTGCAATCGGCTTAAAGCGTTACATGAAACAAAACTTGAAACAATTTTGCCATCTTTGCCGATGTTTGTTCGTCTTTCAACTTCCTTTTGATATCACTGATTTTGCACACCCTAGGTACTCTAAAAAGAAAAATTTAGTCTAATTGAACATTAAAGGCAGTCTGTCCTCTTAGCAAATGGCTTATATGAACAATGTTTAAACCAATCAACGTCGTCACTGATGGTCCTATATCGCTAAATTTTATCAATATCAAGAAGGCATAAATTTTAGTCAATGAAAATAACATTAAAAAACAAATAAGGGACAAAATATCTTGAATTTATTGAATTTTTCTATCCGCTGCAGACTAGCTTGACAACTACAAATCAGACAAGCCACGTAGTGGCTGGAACATTCGTCTATCAATCGTGACAAGCTTTTTTTAAGAAGAGCTGTGAAGTGACAGAAAAGCAATGTGAACACGATTCAATCGTGAACAAAATTGTTTATGCGTTCAATTATTTAACATTTCGAATTTCTAAGACTGTAAAGAGATGCAAAAAACCTCTCCAAGAGCTTTTAACCGACGCGCGTGGGACTCAGAACCACTAATCACTACCACGCAAAACTTGCTTTTAACAATAAAAATGTCTTTTTCAGCGTATACATTAGATGTCTAGAAATTCAAGAAATGTTAGATAATTAAATGTTCTGTTTTTTGTCAAACTCTGGTTAGTTCAAAACTGTGAAAGACCATCCAAATGCCACTAAATCGTAATGTCAAAGCTAAAGAGTGAACGGAAACAGAGAAAAAGACAAGGATTTCTAAAATGACTGGGAGTCGACTAAATTTGCATTCAGGAATTGCAGTTTATGAAATTTCCAGAAGATTAACCGAAGGAACTGTTCTTAACGTTGTGAAAGGTCGAAAAATTGAATCTCATCTCACTCAGTAATTGTCTGTTTTGTCCGATGATGATCGGCATCTAAATGGACTAAGCTGCTTCAAATATTCTCTGAAAATTCACATAACAGATGTATTCAGCTGGATATACATTTTCCATCTTGTTCATTCGGACCCTTATTCTTACTTTAACTGTGAGAGGAAAAAGCTTTTAGTTTTTAGTACGTTGTGAAAATGTTTGCTTCTTTTAAAGCCATTTTCAAATTTTGAACCACCAAAAATTGTTCATGTAAGTAAGATCATGATAAATTCTCGGAGTATTTTTGTTGTACTTAGGTGCAGATTAATGAGGCAACAATATTCGATTACATTTAAAAAATTCAAACATTAGTTCCTAAGCACATACTTAGAAAAGCATTCAAAAAAACGCAGTAAAAGTGAGTTTGAAGTTATCCTCGTACGTGTTGAATACTTTTTAATTTCAAATTGATTTTCAAATTCATTTCAAATCGTGATTATCATTCTGATCCATTTGGCAAATAGTGGTTACGCATTAAAGAGCAGTCGCCTATAAGAAATGGTAAGGATTCTATTCAATTAATTCCAACTTTCATTATTCATACGATGCATCGCCATCTGTTGAGGGGACTGCTCCTAAAAATGTATTTTTAAAGCTACAAGTAAACAAAACAAAGAAAGTTAGACTGAAAAGGAAAAAACGCTAATCAGTTTGCTTTTAAAAAATGGAAGAAGGGAAAAAATAACACCCAAGAGCAAGTAATGCCAAGTCTGTGCATTCTGGAAAGATGTACAATGCCTGTCAAAAGTCTTGGAACAACTGGTGTCAATTTCCAAGGTCAAAATTAATCATCTCCCTCTCCCCTACAGAACAATGTTGGTTTACTATGAAATGGGTTAGGGTTTTAGAAAGCACTTTCTTTTGCAATTCTTTTATGATATTTTTCTAAATTATCAACATTGTTTGAGAGGGAAGGGGGCGGAAGTAGTAATTTGTTTCATAAAAAGAATGAAACATATCAAATGCAGCGTAAATTGCTGGGTTTTCCAAGTACTTTTATCAGGCATTGTAGCTCTAGTGCCAATGCGAGTAACCACTCTTGAAACAAATAAGTCGACCGAGGACGGGTGCAAATTCATATTCAAGTAACGTACACAACTATTTTGTTATAGGTTTGAAAGATACTGAAAACACTCTGTCCGTTACCGTAGCTGTCTCACTTGTAATAAATCAAGAACTGTAGGCCAATTGAGATTTTTTGATGAAGTTTATAGAAGATGCATAATAGTTGCTATGGGTTACAATTCTAGCAGCTTCATTTTGCACTTTGTATTAAAAGCCTGCAATCTAGTTTCAGCATCTCCTCCTCCACCACTAGTTCCTGCCTCCTCAGACAGAACTATTGAGCCGGAAATGTTGCACGTGATTCATTTAAAGTATATTTGCATATTTCTAGAAGCCTAAAGCGCAAGACATTTTACTACATAACAATGTTATAGTCTGATTCCAAGCAAATCGATTTCAGTACCGTCAATAGCATGATAACTAAACCATGCTGTCAGCAATCTCTCTTTGGGTCGGTCAAGAAAATACGGCCATTGTTTGTGTCTCTGACATTTAATAATATTGTGTTCCTTGTAACCATTTCGTTAGCCATTTGAGGTCACTACTAAGTGTGATATTCAGGTCACTGATTTTTTTTGCAGAATGCTTGTGTCATCAACATGAATTCCTGGAGTGATATTGAGAAATGTTTCATTCATAAAAAGAAGTGGACCAAGACGTGAACCATGTGGTACACCGCGATCAACCCATCGTAGCGTCGAGGATACGCCATCAACTTTACAAGATTGCTAAGGTATTCTCAAGTCCAACTATGCCATGATTCTACTCATCATATTTTCAATGGCAACTGGGAACATTGGGACAAAAGAAAGATTCACTATTCACAACGCAGGTTCAGTGCAACGCACTTAAGCCAAAATTTGCTAAATATAGCAGAGGATAAGCATTAATGAACGACAAAGGCTATCATGGCTTGAGAGAAAAACACAGTTGAAACATGTGCTGTAAAAAATACCGCAGCTGATTTTTTTACTTTCTTCTTCGGATTTTCAAGAAAATGAGCATAAGGAAAGGTAACAAACCGAACATTTAAATCGTTGTGCCAGCAAAATATACCTGTTACACATCAAAGCTTGAATCTGGTGAGACCCTGCCAAAATAATCCCAGGAAGAAGTTATTATGTTTTGTTATTTTGACATAAAACTATTTGATGACGTGATACTAAACTTGTTCAACAACATGTAATTAAAGGGGGCCGTGTCAAGCTATACCATAAAATCAACCTGAAAATAGATCCAAGTACTGAGGTGAATACACGTCATTGGATTTAAAAGAGATTCAACCAAAATTAGTTTGTTATTTCATAGCCAACAGAAAGCCTTCGATGGCAAGAGAGGGTTTGTCCTTGTACCATATCCCAAATATTCTTTGATTTGTTCTTGACCACATCCCCAATTTCAAACCTATATCGGAGCCCCCAAACAGTGGCCAAATTTTGTGCTGATAAATAGAAGCTCGAATAGCTCCATAATTCACCTTCTGCAATTTTTCATGTTGTGATTATGTTTGCACTGTTGTGGCCCAAAAATATCCGAATTGATTGCTGTTACTATTCATATACATTTTGGTTGATATCATAAAGCTCAACGCAATTTTTAGACTTTACTTTTAAAAGTTACTTTAACAGCATATCAAAAATTCGTTTTCAACTTAAATAAATCATTTTATATAATCGAGTACATTTTTTGAGTCATCGACAAAGAACCTACGCATGGCTGCTGGAAGATCTGTACGTGAATAAATTTGCCTTAAAAGTGAAACATATATTTATGTATACAATGTGAAATATATGTTAGCGACAAATTGAATGTTGATTTTGAAATCATGCAAAAGGTTGATCGAGGTAGCAGTAATTACAGATTATGTTTTGCCACTGTTTAGAAATTTGGGCAAAAGGTCATTCACTCATTCAGCTAAGCTCGAAATTTGATTCAAACTGTTAAATTGAAAGTTGATCGACTAATGTGGATATCCATAACAAATCATATTCTAAATAGCATCAGCTTCAAAGTTGCATTATCATAATATCTACATTCTATATAACTAAGCCATATTGTTTATAAATGATGATCCCTTTCTTTCGAATGACCCACAAACTTTGCAATTCAAAGCACTGTCCTTGTAGACCGGACAAAAAGACTTCTGTCATAACTCTACATATTAATGAGAATATGTTTATGTAAAACAACATAAATTAATGTTAAACAATGTTAAAAAGCAAACGATCTAAGCATTGGGCTAATTGAAACTTTTACATTAGGGAGAGGCCATTTTCTACCAACATATAGAAATGACTATATTAAAAATAACATACAGAGGTAATGCACAAACATGCACAAACCAACAGAGTCATGAGAGACAGGGTTAAGAGGCAATATTTGCACATTTTCGAACTCAGTACCATCTGCAAAAGTTTTAATTTAGGGACCCTCTAGAATATGGGGGGGGGGGAGTAGGTCCCCTGCCTCCCACTTGTAACTCCGCTAGATCTATGGAAATGTCAGCTAATTTTAAAAGTGTAGAACCAACTTACACTTTTGCCTTTCTTATCTTGTTATCAGTTTTGCACATTTTTAGCAAGCTTGTTAAATAAGAATGTCAAAAATGTCAATTCTTAATATCATTTTTAGTATTTTTATGTTGTTCTCGATCTTTCTGAAGTGATAATGATTTTTTCATGTGTTTGAGAGGTTGTATGTGACAAATGAAAATTTTGTCTACCATAAATAAAATCTCGATAGACAATCTTGTCTACACGAACTGGCATAAATAACACACGAGTTAAATATGGTTATTGAAAAAGCTAGTTCTTTCCTTTCGGTTTCTCTTTGGGTCGGCAAAAACATAGTCGATATTTTCTTTTGCAAGGCATCTGATCCTTATACCATTCATTGCACAATTTCAGATCGTTTTGATGATACTGAACTAACAAAAATCGTATTCTTCAAATGAAATAATAATCTGTATCACTTTTTTATAAGATAACCCAAGTAAAAAGAAAAGGTGAGCTAATTGTTTAAAACAAACAGTACAATGAAAAGTAGCTTTGCAATGAAAAATATTAAATAAATATTGTAAAAAATATTTTTCACGCTATTAAATGTCATTCATTCAATACATTATCGATTTGAGAACTAATCAAACTACTAATTAACTATTTATATTTTGATCATACGTCTTGTTATGTTGGACATGAATGAATGAAACTTCGAGCGATATCCTATTTGCTCCATCAATTATGCATTGTCTTGAAAAAGAATTGCTTGCTTTTAAAGTCTAAACGAAGTTTATTTCATGTATGCTTTCGATTTGGAAAATATTGCAATGAAATTATACGAAACTTCATGTTTGATTGAGCTATACAGCTTACTATGAGCTATGTCATTTCTCCTGCACACGCTCCATATAGAAAACTATCGTACTTGCTTACTTGGAGGAATATACTTATCATGTTCCGCAACCGTATTACCGAAAAAGTTTGAAAGCTTGTACAGACATCATTTAATGCTTCTACATCTTGCAATCTTGGGATCTAAGCTTTTGTGATCTACAGAAATCTAGTCAATTATGAAAATCAAAGCCGAGATAAGTTTGCGTAAGCCAACAGCTTCTTGCTAACGCATGAGACCACATTCAGATATGATTGAGAAACTAGCCAAAGAAAAATAAAAATGCTCTGTTCCTGAATGGATATTAACAGTTACTTTGAGATTGCAAAAATATTAATGCATTGAATTTTTATTTGAAATAATATTCAACCTATTAAGAGATGCCTTTAAAGTAACTAAGCTTTAAAACTAAGAATACAATAGCTAAGCGAAAAAACCAATTATAGATGATAAATAGACAAACCAGATAGCCTTTGCTGTTTGAAATTACTTGAAACTCCCAAATTACATGAAGCTCTAAAGCTATAGACAACAATAACGACCAACAATACCAGTTTCCATCGTATTCCCTCCAAATGAATGCACCATCCAAATGTAACGTTTTAAAATGCAAGTTTATGACTATTCATGAGATGGCAGGTGCAACGTACGTATGGTCGGAGTTCTGGATCATTCAAACATTCGTAAACAGCCCAAACAAAGAGAATTTCTCCCAATAAATGGACATAGGCTGAGGTCATCTGCATTTTTGAGACACTTCCATAATAAGAGCAAATGTGAAGTATCTCGTTCATTTGGCAATTATGTTTCTGTCTCTGTCTAGGCGGTTATATGGTACAATAACTACCTGTTTCTAAAATGAATAACAAGAAAATCGATGAAATAAAGATCGCAAAACACGAATTGCACTTTTCTATACCACACATCATATTCGCGATGATTAATCAGAGATTCTTAAGCAATCTGATAAAGAAACCTAAAGAAATTCTTGAAGACATGTGAATTGACGTCAATAGCTTTTTTACCACCATAATTTATTCAATATTCGCTGCTTATGGCTCAAAGAAAGACCATTCATTTAAGAAATCAGTTCTTTAGCCTATCTATCTCAAGTTCCAGACTTTCAGATGGTTGTTTAGAAAATTGCTTCTCCTCGATAAACTGAAAGAGGATTTTTCCCCTTCTTTTAAAACAAGAAATCTGATCTTCGAGCTAATTTTAGACATATCTACTAGAGGCTGCCCCCTTCCTCTTTGAACCTGTTCTGTATTCACTAAAGCTACTTTTCAGGGGTTTTCCCCATCACTGTTTTATTTTAAATGAATACGAACATGAAAAATTTTTTCGTGAATTCGTTGGTGGCAGTGCTAAGTTAGATGACGAAACGCTATGATTTTCATTTTAGAAATCACTTCCAGTAACATATTCTTTGTATTCGGTGCTGTTCATTCAGAGAAAATGGCCATATGGTCGCTTTTGACTTTTACAGCCAGTGTTTTATTTGAGCTTCAAGATAGTTGAGTCTAAACTTCAACTTTGTTGAAACATCGTGATTAAAAGAAAAAGAAGAAGAAGAGGGCGATAAGGAAGAAGAAGAAGAAGAAAAAGGAGAAAGAATAAGAAGAAGAGGAAGAATAAGAAGAGAAGGAAGAAGAAAAAGATGAAGAAGCAGGAAAAGAAGAGGGAGAATAAGGAGAAGAAGATGAAGAGGAGGAATAAGAAGAAGAAGAGAAAGAGGAAGAAGATGAATAAGAAGAAGAAGAGGAAGAAAATGAAGAGGCAGAAAAAGAGGAAGAAGCGGACGGAGAAGCAGAAGAGGTGCTTATGATGGATTATTGTAGGAATACAATGATTTTAAGGGCAGCCCTTGGGTGATTGGTTATATGCATGTGACCGATGTTTTCCCTAAAGTCACGACGGCGTCAATTCCATTGATTTGATTGGATTTTAAACAATGCAGTGAATCGAACATGGTTAATTTGGCTAATGGAACAGCGGTCAAATAGTCCGAATAGGTTGGATAAATTATTGAAGACTTGAATGACTGAAAAGTTTCCGACACAACATGGTTAAATCCACGCGGAGGATCTTACTTGAACATTCTGCAAAGAGATGTCCGGAGGAAAATGTGTGGGTGGACAATTTTAATGCTACTAGACCAAAAAATTCTGCTCTTTTCAATTTGTTTTAGCAGAGAAAATGCGGATTTTCTACGGAACTTCTTTCTACAAACATTTTTGAGAGCTGTCAACTGGTTGTGCCCTTGAACAAGAGAGATAATTTCGAAAGAAGCTTGCAACCGAGATCTACAGGCAGAGAAACCAAAGATAGGTGGGGCATCAAAATATTTTCCTTTTCTCGCACATAAGTGCATCCCGCTTCATTCTATGAAAATTGCCTTCAATGTGCTCTAAATTAAAATTTTTTATTCGGTCTCGAAGCTCTTCAAAGGGACATTTCCTTACATTTTAAGTCCCGGTCAAACTATTCAGGATTTCACTAAAATTTCGCCCATTGTCATTTGGGTTGGAATGTTGGATTGTTTGACAATGTAGTTGGGTCACTGAACATATCATTGTCATTTTCAGTGTTAGATGAAATCTGACTGAGATAGAACATGTTTTTGACGACGTCCAACGATACTATTACTTCAAAATATTTGGTTAAATGTTTGCTCTTTTGACAACCTCAACCAACATTGAGGTTGGTTTCGCTTTGACATTAACGTTGACACCCTGGAATAATTTCATAACATAATTCGACACGCAAGACGTCACATGGTGCAGAGATATAGAATTGACGAAACATGAGTCAAAGTCAGAAATGTAAACAACTGAAAAGTCAGACAGTCCTATATTTCATGGAAGAGACCCTTTAACGGCTTTTATATAATGCAGTGCAATTTGGAAAATTATCAAAATAATTTGAAAACAGTAATTAATGGCGTGAATGAAGTCAGCATGATTTAGACTGAGCTTGATTTAATCCAAGATGTCTCTGCACATGAGCAATGGTTTTGCGGTTTGTATTACTACGGAGCCTGAAGGATTCAAGAAAAATTTTACGAACGCAAGAAAATTATCTTTTATGCATAAAAAATTCCTAAAAATGATGTTTTTTTCATTTCTTTATTTTGAGTTGGTATGTATATAATAGTTTGAAAAGACTTATTGAAAAACCAACTAGCTAAACTAGCAAATTGAATGATTAACATACAATGTTATGATAAGTCGAGGAATCCGACGTTATTGCCTGCTTAATCAGAGCCTGATTAGCATTCTATCGAGAAGTATTTACTTCTGTAACTACGCTTAGTTAAAGGCACTTTGGATTAGCTTTGGTTAGATATGTATAAACGAATATCAATTCAAGTATTATATGCAGAGTTGAGTTTCATCTAAAATAACTATTCTTTAACAAAGAAATCTTTAAAAATTATTCTTTAATAGAGCGTGTTGATTTGCCATTTCAGAAAGAGTCAAGTTTCAGGCAAAAATGAAATAAAATTACATTTACTTAGGCAAAAATTGCCTTATCACTACAATTATGATTATCATAATTTGGATCATAAATCTTTTGACAAAGTACTTAAATACATAAAGATTGGCAAAATAGTTTAACAGCTAATTGCTTATTTAATTTTAATTTAACAGCTAATTGCACAGCTAATTGCTAATTGCTTATTCTAATTTTAACAGCTAATAGCTAAGTTTAACAGCTAATTGCTTATTCTAATTTTGCTTATTTAATTAATTTAATCTAAATTGATATTTGAAGAAGAAATAGTAACTAAACGTTTTTACAATTTTTGCATGAAAATGTGAATTTAAAGAGCGCTATTAAGAATAAAAAAATCATCTAATATGATTTTCTATGGAAGTGTCTTTCAAAAGTTTGTTCATGCTTATTCCTTGAACAGGCAACGTTAATTACACCAATTAACTATTATTCCAATTTTAATTCTATTAACTGGAGTTAATTCCAGTCCTGATTATTGATAAACTGACTGCACAAAATTAATTTTTATTTAGGTTGCAATTGAAAAAATTCGTTTTTTAAATGCAGCATTTTCAAAGATAAAAAATGATATATAAACTCAGAAATATCTTAAATTTCTATTATTAAGTTTCTAAATTAAAGTCATCTATCTTAAATTTCGTTTATCTTTTTCGCATTCATCAACCACGATTTTATTTTCTGGCTGGACAGACCCTGGAGATAATAAAAGTAACTATTTGTTTGATTCTATTAAGCAAAATAGTAATTGCCTTATTTTTCCCCAATGAAAATTTTTCTGTTGTTTTTGCTAACTTTACTCTGAAATTATCTTAAATTTGTAGGCAAAAATATTAATTGTTTGCCATATCGGAACATGACTTTAATGCCTTACTTAAATCAAGTTTTTTAGAATTGATAGAAGGTGTTTATCCAACAAATAATTTTCGCTATCCATTTATTCAAGACCAGCGATCTTTCAAGGCCCAGGTTAGTTCAAGTAAACACAGTATTTTACTTTGGCAAGCCCAAGGTAAAATGATAGTTGCCCTCTACCAGCTAATGATTATTCTGTATGCCAACTATCTACATCTGTTAGTAAGATCAAAACATTGCTCAATGGAAAATCAATAAATTTCGAAGATGCTATTTAAGTGACATTTTGTTATCTTTAAAAGCGTGGCAAATCAATGATTCAGATGCTTTAAACAACTCTTTTCCGTCAAGGAAATCTCATGCTTACCTAGACTTTCACACTCAGAAGCCTGTCCTTTGCATTCTCTGAACATTAATTATTTTTCGCAGTGCCACAATCAGGGGCGTCGTGGCCGGGGGGGCAGGGGGTTCGTGGCCCCCTCTGCTCTCAAAATTTGATGGATTTTCGGACAAATGGTTGTTTTGTCGTAAAATTCTCAAACTTGAGCTGTGGGTAATTCTCAAACTCTTAGCAACATAAATTACTTGGACTAAAGTTCTTACCGTAAATTCGAGAGGCAATTCACTTTTGTAAAGAAAATATTAGATTTCCTCAAAACAAAATGATTTCCCAGGATTTACCGATTCCTACCATAGAGTGATTTGCTGTTCGGATTTTGTCAGTTAAAATCCGAAACTTCAAGGGCCAAATTTGGTTATGGAAATTGGTCAAAAATTGGTATAAATTATATCTTTATTTGATATTTAAGACCCGGACAGTACCAATTTTGTGCGTATCACCAGACTTTTGAAAATTGTGTCCCAGATTTGAAAATTTATGTACTTATGTTGCGTAAGGTAAAACAAGGTAGAAGTCGATCAAAACCACCGATTTCCTCCAGTGGATATTCAATTTAAGAATAAGATTTCATCGTTAAAATTTGCTTCAAATAATGCGATTTCCGACGAATTTGTAGCATTAGATCAAAAAAATGTTTCCTTCAGCGGCAACCATGGCGCTGCCTAAGGTAGTAACTTCATCCTACCCTTACCCCAATCTACGGATGTCCTTCTATCCTCCATACACACTTAGCTTTTTGGGTCCCATAGGGTCACAAGCTGTGTCGTATGGTTACAATACTTCTACTGCCACGTGTGATTGCCTACGTAATGGTCACAAAAGATTCCAGCAGATTCATGCAGCTCCATAGATTATTAAAAATGCGTGGGACGGTTAGGGTGCACGAATTCATTTGAGTTGTTATCAATTTTTGAGGAAAAAGGTTTCCATTAGCCAACAGGTGCAGAGAAAAGGCTGTAAATATTTTCCTAAAGCGCAGTTGTTGAACCACGATTGTAATTAATGTGACGAAATAGCAGAAATAAGCAAATATATTATTTTTCGAAGGCTACAGTATTGAAATGATTAGCCACTAAATTTGTTCTTTCTGTAAAAATATGCTTCTTGTGAGGTTGACCTGATGGATTACCCGCAATATGCATTGCGTAAAAAACCGAGAAAAATTTACTCCAAAAGCATAAAGGATAAAATATTTTCAGAAAATAATCTTTACTTTCGCTCTTCTGTCAAAACCTATGTTTTTACTGCTTTAAAAAACTGTTAGTTGTTTCTCTGGGCAGATCGGTTTTGGGTTTGAAGAATTGTGTGCACAGAAGACCAACTGTGATCTGCTTCAACCTTTCTTGTGCTCTTCTAGCTGCTTTAGATGTTAGGTGTTCAGTCACTAAAAATTCCTGAATATCAATAATGTGCAGAACATAGTGCAAAGCTATCTGAAAAAAACAACGTCTTTCTATAGCGAATACTTGTAAGGAAAGTGAAAGAGGATGCCTCTTGACCTTGTGGCGGAAATAACATAGCAAATTAACCCTGCATTTTCCACATATTTTAGTTTTAGGTTTAAAGATAGACATATGAAAAGCTCTTAGGAATATATTAAAAGGCCCCTTAGAAAGCTACTTCATTTATAATTGGCCAAACTTACATTTTTATAAGCAGAAATGACTACAAGCAGTAGATATATACTGGCCGTGGACTGGCAAAATATGCTGGTATGTTTCTTCTTTCACTGGGCCTTTCTCTCTATTCTAAAGTCAACAAAACTCTCAAATTAGACAAATTAAGTAGGCCCATTCTTCGGAACAATGCTGGGTGAAGAACAGACTACCATAATCATTCAATAAGAACAGGCAACATGCAAGTTCTGACAAATGAGCATTGTTTCAGGGAAGATAAAATGTCATTTAAAATTTTTTTAGTATACCAAGACTTTTGGTAAAAATTTTAACTGTAAAAACATAAAGGAATTACTAGAACAGGTAATTCAAGCTTATCGGAATATTCCTTGTAAACATCTTAAAGCAAATGAAACTATTGTGCACTGAATTTTTTCTATAAGAAAGAATTTTTTTATTTTCTTTCTTTACTGTAAAAAAACTGAGAATTTCATTCATTGGTCAAGTAACGAAATTTTTACTCTAATGGTCCCAAAAATTGGTACGGAAACTGACTTTCAGAATTTTTGAGAATATGACAGAAGCAGCCCGTCGAAAATTTCGTTCAGTAAGGTATTCTGCATTGTGTCAACGCCAAATGATACATCTTCGTAATGAGATAAGCACGATAAGGGTAAACGAAGACGCACGGTGGGGTGATCAAAATGGGGGTGAACACAGTAGGGGTAAACAAATACAGAGAATGTGTGGACGGTGGGGTTGAGCACGGTGGGGATGTGTACGCTGTGGGCGAGCACAGTGGGGTGAACACAGTAGGGGTAAACAAATACAGAGAATGTGTGGACGGTGGGGTTGAGCATGGTGGGGTGAGCACAGTAGGGGTAAACAAACACAGTTGAGGCGTGCACAGCGGGGCTGAGGATGTTGGGATGTGGACAATGGGTGAGGACGGTGGGGAAGTGCACAGTGGGGAGAGCGCCGTGAAAACACAGTGGGGGTGAACAAGATTTGGGAAACAAGGTGGGGGCAACAAGGCGGGGGTAACATAGTGGGGGTAAACCATGAGGATTGAATGTTGTAGAAACAGTAAATTACGTGAGATTTCGCAATACAGATTTAGGGATGGAATACGTTTATGATAAAATGGGCTTCATGTTAAAATCAGTCATTTGAAACGAGGGATAATTCACATTAGCTAAAAACGGAGATTTACACAAAAAATGACTTCTAGGGAATAATGGACCAAATAGGATTTATACGTTAGGAGATATCCATAGAGTTATTTAAGAAAGCTATGGTGTATTTTTGTAATGCTAAAGTTCCCCAAAGATGATGGTTCCAGCAGTTTCGTACCTTGTAAGGTATGAATGCGAAATGTCCGATGGAAAGGATGACCAATTCCATAAAAGGAAGGAATGAAGTAGAAAACAGAGATCCGTGTTTATTGTACTTATTGAATCTAATATAATTGAATCTACTTTCTCAATAATTTACGAACTTGCATGAAATGAATAATGAGTAACAAAATATGTAATACATTCTTCAACAATAAATTAACACGGCTGCTAAATAACGTTGACTTTGTCGACAAGAACTAATGCAAAAGAGCAAAATGAAACTGATTCAACATGTTCGTAAACATAGCTGTCTTTCTGTCAATAGTGTTGTGGGAATTTTACATAGCCTTTTCTGAAGGATTTCCATTGGGGAAAGTTGAGTGTCTTGCGCAGAGAATGCAAACCGGGACTGGAGGGGCAGTTGCCACCCCTTTAGTTAGAGAAGGCCCAAGAATTCTAGAAGTTCTACGCACAAAGAGACGGCGAGCTACGATAAGTTCCATTTCTTTCAAGCTGGATTACCTGAGGTTTTCTTTGAAAGCATACTTACGAAAGTACCAAGATGCCAATTTAAAAACGACCTTCTTTCGACTGGCTCAGAGACTGCAGAAGTAGGGGTGGAGCAAAGGGCCTCGCGCCTCAATCATTCCCAAAATACACTTAAAACTGTACAAAAACCACCTTTTATTTGGTTTTAAGCACGTTCATCCACTTCTCCAAAAACTTTGAGCCCCAGCAATCACTAATAGGCCCCACAGTCCTTGGACTAACTAGCTGTTCATGCATCCAATTTTAAATTAAAAACCGCTACACACAATAAATAAAGAGAGGAATGCGAAATGTATTTTGCAAGTTGTTGAACAGATAATCCCTTAAAAGAAGCGAATGGAAAAAATGTCTAAATTAATCAAATTGATGCATCTTAATTATCATTAAAAATAAACAGTCTTTATTGATGTTCAAACTATCAAAACGAAATCTTGTACAATAAATTGTAAATTTAACTCTAAATAATGCAAATGAAATTTAAATACATAATGTATATCTTGTCTTTAAATTCCCTAAATCTGTTATCTTAAGCTGCATTTTTAAACGTTCAAGACAACGTAAAACGCTAACTAGTTCTACAAGAACGATTCCAAAACGCTTAGAACGGTCAAAAAATGCCATTGACGTATGGCCCACAGTTTTCTCCAATAGCATGGCCGCTTTGTTTCACCTTCATTCAATCTTTGCTCATCAAAAACTTAAGCTTTCTAATAGACCTATCAATCATGACACAGTTTTCATAAATTTTTTACTCACTTTATAATCTTGTTCAGGGGCGGATTTAGGGTGTCGCACAGGTCACACGGAAGACCGTCAGATTTTCAGAATTTAGTTTTAGTCTTCAGTCATTGAAATTAGGCAATCATGTTTACCACAATCCTTTATTTCCCTCCTTACAGATAATACATTTACCTCTCTTTACACAATAAACACAGGACCGAACCTTGGTCGATCTCACACAAAATGCCACGATTTAACTCAATATAGAAGAAATCCAAAGACCATCCTAGACCGTAAACAGTATGATTTTTAGGCTTGTCGCCTGTGCCGCACAAATACGCAGGAATTTTTGTTATGCAAATATTTTACCAAATCTCACCAATCAAAATTTAAGTTTTCACATATTTGTGCGGCACGGAAAGTCTGTAAACACTATGTTAGATTACTGTGCCGCACATCTGCTGGCAAGGGAAGAAAGTGGACAAGGTTGAAAGTTGTGAAGGAGAAGAATCCCACTTCTCTTTATCCATACGGAAGAGGTGCACAGGAAGTGTACACTTCTGAATCTCAAGATATTTTGTCTCAACTGCGTGTTTGGATTTGCTGGAAAATTTGGAAAACCTTTTAAAAGGGAAAAATGTTTGACTGAACAATTTGAACGTTTCGGGGCCCCAGTCTTGTCGCCACCATCAAAACTACTACAAGGCCTGCAAACCTCGTTGGCGAGGCACATTCCGCTCTTAAAGATAAGGGCGTCCATTAAGGCGTTTTATCAATCAAAGTGTGTCAGTCTTGCTTAGCGGGACAAATCGCAGTTAGAAAGTTAACGCTTACAAGACATGAAAATAATATTCTAGACAAAAAATCAAGACGGGTAGTGTTTATGTGCGACCGTCAACTTTTATTCTGTATCCGCCCCTGATCTTGTTTTCTCAGACAAACCTCTCTGTTCCCCAGAGTAATCTGTGTAGAGTCGCCTTTTGTTTCGGTCAATAGTAAAACTAATTGATTAGCCTTACCAGTGAATAGTATTGAATTTCAATGGAATTATTTGTCGTCATTCAGCAATTTACTCTAAACCAAACCATTTTACCAACCAGAAACTTCATTTTAAAGCACTTAACTGCATCAAAGTGCTCTGTCTTCGCAAGAACATGGAAGAAAAATTGCTGAATCGAACAATAGACCTTGGGGTGATAACTGGATTTATGAAAGAAAATCAACTTGCCTTTATTTAGGTGAGGATACAAATTCTTATTATGTACTGAAATCAAAGATGGGCAAATAGGAAGAACCTTTGTAAAAGGCATATTGAGAAATGAAAGGGGTACGCTGTAAATGTATACAGATGGATGGCAAAGTAGTCTGGACTAACAATTGTATAAATAAATAAATAAAGAACAATAAACACCTAAATAGCTTCATCTGATCTTTAAGGGAGCAAATGTTTCTTCTTCCATATAAGTTCTTGCCTATCACCATCTACTGCAATTTAGCAAAATAGATTGTATTGTCTCTTCAGATGCTTTCAAAACTTTATGCAAATGCTCATAAGTGCCTGACCAAATCAGAAAAAAAAGAAAGTCGAAGGTTGATGTTAACAAAGTTGGAATTTTCCCATCTCCGACCAAAATACCACGGTATTATGCTTGGCTCGACGTTTTCAGATTCGCAAATTGACAGGTCTGTTTTACATGTAAAAACTAACACCAAACATTATTACTAAAAGAGCCGCAAAATAGCTATTTGCGTCTATGACCCATGGTACTTGCAAACTGAACCATTATAAATTATTCGAACAGACGAAGCAACACAACAACACAAGACAGACATCAAACGATTATAGACCCTTGCCAACACATGCCTTAACAATTACATGCAACAACAAAATATTGAGGAGTGAAATTATTTTTGGCTTTTACGTCATTTGGACTGCTGCATACTCATATGCAGTGCATCAGTGAATCTCTTTATCAATTGTCTCTATCGGGTTGCATGATTGCTAGCACAGGGTCTTGAATAAATTATTTTTGATTTAATCAACTATTAATCATACGGTACAGGCTTTGTTATGACCGAGGAATGATGTTTCCTGTCTCTAAGAGCATAATCGGAATTGTCTTGGGTCATTTGGTACATTGATATTCCATATGGCACATAACCCCTGTGTACAACTATTTGTCTCTCATTTTTGTCATCGCTAAAAACAAGAACATTGTTTCACAGCTATATATGCAGTCAATCGCTTGGGAGGACGACAACGAATGAACACCAACATGGTAATGTGAAACGCGGAAAAGGGAAGACATGCAAGAATTTGAGAGGCATAAAAGAAAAAGAGAAAAGGTAAAAGAGGAAAAACGGAGACAGAACATATGATATATGATATATGATATATGACATATGACATATGATATATGATATATGACATATGATATATGACATATGACATATGATATATGATATATGACATATGATATATGACATATGATATATGATATATGACATATGATATATGATATATGATATATGACATATGACATATGATATGATATATGATATGATATATGATATGATATATGATATGATATATGATATGATATGATATGATATGGTATGGTATGGTCAGGTATGGTATGGTATGGTATGGTATGGTATTATATTATATTATATTATATTATATTATATTATATTATATTATATATACATAATTATATATATATATAAATATATATTAAATTTATATTATATTATAATTAATATAGTATATATAATATTATATACTATTTATTATATATATATATTATATTATATTATATTATATTATATTATATTATATTATATTATATTATATCAAAATCGCAAATAACAAATAAATGATTGAGTGCAGTTACCTTTTTAGCCGGCCAAAGGTTTTGACCCATTTTGAAATACTGAATTCATAGGCAACTCCTCGTGATAATCCAGGATTTGATTGGCTTATGAATATATATAGAAGCAGGAAAATTGAAATGCTTGCTAATGAGTATGTCCAGCTGATGCAGAACATAAGTGCAAAGCTGATGCCACTCTGCAAATAAAGGCAAAGAAAAGCTTTAAATCAGCTTCGTTTTATGCTAATATATATTCTATATTCTACATGTTGTCACAAAACAAAACACTTAAAACATGATGCTATTTGTTGATTCAATTAAAGAAAATACAACCCATGCCTAAGAGAAAGTCTCCACGAGACTATGTTTAGTTTTTTGTCAATAACCGGTCTATTTAAAGGCTTAATCAGGCCATACTCCGCTAGGGTATTGTCTATATTGCACTGTTTCAATTGATATTTATAATAATCTACCATAACAGTTAGATTCATTCCACAAACTAAAGGGAAAATGTGCTGGTGCTGGCGAGAAACTGGTCATGAAAAACTTGACCATGGCAAATACCCACACTACCAACAGATAGAACAAAGAAAATTTTTTTTAGCATGACAAGGCATAAATTCACCAAGTTACATTTATTTACCAGATTCTATCAATTAGTACAGCTGAGGGAGGCACCCTGGTAAGTTATCTTGATAATACAATGGACGTTTTGAATTTTAACCCGACAACCAAAAGCCATACTTGCTACTCATATCATCAAGGGCGGATTCATAAAGTTGTACTGGCCACACATGACACAGTAATACTTTCAGACTTGTTCCAAAAAACGTTCAGTCAGAATACAAAGGGCCGAGAACTGAAAGGGTGGTTAAGCAAAACACACATTTAAGATATCGAAATGCACATGGCGCTTACCGTCAGTAGGGATACCCATCTATTGCATAACTTCGAATACAAAGCATCTGGCTCTTTGTTTTTGACAAACTCTAGCTGTGGCTCTTCAATACCTCTGTATCCTAGAACCGAGAATGAGTCCCATACTGTAATGTCAAAACATAATTACTTCATCTTTATCTTGTGGTTTATTCACAACACACCCCAGCATGCTTCTGTTTATTTTAGGCAGCCTATAGACAGACGATCGAAATTTTAGTTTTAACCATTAGCTCGTGCAACTTGTTTGCCCATTGATCATCACAATTTGATCGATCTAAATCCTTCAAAATTTGTTCATAAATTGTCCCTAAATCCTCCACAATTTGTCCATAAAATATGTCCTTAAAGTCTACGAATAACTGGCATTTCGTGCCTTTTATTGGTTCTGGACATTTCAACAACAGATCAAACGTCGCCAAGACAAAGTATACGAACCATCGGGTGATACAGTTTCAGTCATATTCTTTTTGCTGCCAGATTTATCATTTCCGTTCATTTCCAAAGATGAAGCATCGCGAATTTCAATACTATCTCTACGGTCTTCGGAGACTGTGTTGTTGTGAACTCCATTTTCATTGCTCTGCTTCTGCAACATAGGTATCATATATGAAATTTAGAAAATGGAATGTTTGCAAAGGAATGAAGAAAATAGTTATATGGAAAAAAGGTGTGACGCAAACCCTTTGAAATAATAAGAGCCTTGCTTGCATGCTTTCTAAATTCAGTCCTATAATAATTTACAGCGCCATTTGAGTATTTCTTATTACCATAATAAAGGTTTCCTTTGAAGTTTTGTGCTTGGCTAAGAAAATATTTTGCAAATATTTATTTTGTAAAATGCTAAAGAAAAAACTCGTTTATTTCAATAATTACTTGAAAAGGTTGAGAGGCAGCTTCAAGATCTTCTTCTCTGCTTCCATACGACTCACAATCTGCAATTAACGGCGTCTTCTCGACTGGCTGTGAGCTTAACTTGTTTTCGGTTGCTGACGATGAAGGCTTTGATTTATCTTTGCTTGCTAAATAAGTGGGTAAATTTTGCTCCTTAATTTCACTTTCCTGCTGTTTACGCTTTTCTTGCTTCTTTAGATCGTAGCTCATCGAGAGTGCAAAATATGAATAGTTTATGGCAATGTACGTCAACAGAAATGGCATTGTTGCAATGGTGGCCAGTGTGTTCAATTTTCCAATCAAGATGAACAGAATAACGACAAAGGCTAGCAAGAATGTTGCATTCTGCGGCTCATTATTCGACCCACGCTGTAAAGAGTTAGAGGAAAATTTACCATACCGTATTAATTTCATATTATTTGCTAATGGAGAAGCTTAAATGCCATCTGGCAAGCAATAACTACTTTCGGCCTAATTATTTGCAATGCGGGAAGCTTCTTCCTTCGGTCAACATTGTTATGTGAATACCATACAGTATTGATTTCATGTTGTTTGCTAATGAAGAAGCTTAAATGCCATCTGGTAAGCAATAACTACTAATTATTTGAGACGCAGGTGTGTATCATCCAATCATAATTCAATCCTCGTCTCTCATTGATCAAGAACAGTTTTCCACAAAGGATGGCACAAAGGTTTCAGTTTCATGGTATTGCTTGTTTAAAATCTGATAAAAAGAGTTCCCAAGTAATGCTTTCAAAAAATGTTTATAAAACTCAGAAAACACTTCATTATTCAATTTACATTTCATATCCGTAGGTGACACGATGAGACTTCCTTATCACCTACCTTTGAGAATGGCTTAAGGATTGGTAAAATATTATCTTCAGCAATCGTTTGCAATACTCGTGGGGGCCCAACAACTCCTCCTAATATTGATGAGAGTGAGGATACATACAGCCCAAGCAAGAATAGGAAACCAATCACGGATATCTAGAACGCAATAAGAACAGCATGTAATTTTATGTATAATTTGACTCTTTGAAATTACTAGGCCTGAAACAAAACAGTCTATTTACTTTGGGGTGCCACCATTGACAATGACAATAATGATGGTGATGGTTACGATGATGGTAAAGACGATGATGATGTTCTAGAATTAATGAATAGATCCGGCTGCTAACATTTTGCATTTACAGTCAAGCAAGCAGAAGCTCAGAAATACACAACGTTCGTTTTCAGGGCTTCAAAACAAATATTTTGGGTATTTTCGTTATAAAAACTGTATAGAACAGGACGATTCTAAGTTGCTACTCCGAGTTTCACGCTTAATGCCATCATCAGGCAACTGTTGAAACAGCTCTGCTCTGCTCGTGAACGGCTCTGCCTATATGGTATCGAGCACTTTGTGACAGTAATTTTCAGTATAAACTGACAAAAAAAACTGGAAACAAGTCATCACAAGAAAAGAGATCTCGGTGACGCACCAATTTATGAGTTACTTTTGGTGAGGTTGTCTCTGAAGCTGCTTATCAAAATAAAAACAATGTTGCAGCTGTTGTGAGATCTATAAATATTTCTGAGCCTATTCAATAGCCAAAAACGTATTCAATATATAAGGTAGGGGGTTTGTACTCAACCATTATTATAGAGTCGTACCAGAAACATAGCGACTGTAAATGTGAATAAATATGCTGTATTAGGGAAAACAAGGTTTAGAATCTACCTTTTGCATAATCATACTATCCGCCCTCAAAGCTCCGCGAGTACAGGTTGCTCCAAGAAGAAATATGAAAATCACATAAAATCCACCGCTGAAATGAAAATCAATAAGACTATCGCGTTGTGGAATAAAGAAAAGACAACATCAAACTCAGATACTAAATTTTTTTGAGAAGGAAAACCTGGGATCCTAAACTAGGAAATGCCTTTTAAGGACGAGGACTGGTCAATGCCTTAGCCACTGCACTGCAAAATGAAACAATTTGCAAAGCCATGTTACAATTTCTAACATAACCTTAGAAAGTAATTTCTTATCATGAAAAACTCTTTTCCCATTAACCTTAGTTTGATTACGGTTTAAGACTAAGGTAGACGTAGCATTGCGTACAAAACACAGCAATTACTTGAGACAAAAACGAATTACTCTATTTAAACGAAATTTAACCACTTACGTGACGCCAAGTGCAGCTGCTGACCCTATGGGAATACTTTTGCCAGGATCTTTCAAGTCACCGCTCATGTTCACTCCAGACATCACCCCGCAGGCGGCTGGGAAGAAGACACCGAACACAGTGAAAAAATGCACCGTCCCCGTGAACATTGGCTTTGAGTTTTGCTTGAAATTCTCATGGCTAAACCCAGTAAAGCCGTCAACTACAAGAAAAAATCGAACATTTTCGCATACAAATAAAATATTTCGAACAAACAAAGACTTACAAGAGCAACTTTTACTTCTCAATTCTTATCGTGTAAGGATTTGGTTTTAAAAAAGAGCCTTTTCCCAGGAGGCCTAGGCTCAATAATTTAACAATATTTGTCTATGGATGTAGTTAAATTCATTAATCAACAAAAATAAAAACAGATAATGAGAACAGAAAAGCATGACGGGCCAACAAGAGGTAAAAACTAGAAAAATTGAAGCTTTAGCAGAATCTTTATTATTTATTTAGGTAACTTCAGGTCAGCAATGTGAACTCCGACCAAATATTTTGACTGGGAAAACAAGTCAAATATTCCACAAGGATTGTGAATCATAATGCTAGATCGTGAAGGAGCTTCCTTGTGATTCTAAGAGAAATTTGTGCCAAAAAAATACCGAACGGTTCCTGAAATCTTACAAATGTCTTAATTTGTAATTTCCACAGCAAAGTTTCTATCATTGTGTTCTTTAAAAAAGGTGGCAGTTCACCAGTGTTGCAGAGGAACCAAAGTGACATTGCAAATGATACAAAAATAGAGGAGCAAAAATAAACAAATGGGTTTTGATAATTTACTAAGCAATATCACTGCGGGAGAAATATGTTAAATGAAACGCTTATCAAGGCTGTCGCTCTGCAAATGATTATGTCAAAGAGCAGTAGGTGGCCAATGGCTAGATGGTTGAGAAGCTCATTTTCCCATAGAGGTATAAGCCAAATGGAGTTTATTTACTGTTCTTATATAATTTTGAATGCTACTTATAGTTTTGAAACCAATAGATCCTTTTTGTAATCTTCCAGAGCCTTCAGATTCTCATACTTAGTCTGCAGATTGCCACGTTTGTTTTTGTGATAACACATTACTGCCAAAGAATCAAAATAGAAAATGACGCTGGAAATTAAACCAGCCACGTACCTGGATCGTCGTGTACCAAGGTACCTATGACAAAATCCATAACAGCCACAGCTAAAATCAAGACCAGAACCAGCTGGAACCTTATCACCCATTTGACGCCAGATATGGCAATAGCTAGAAGTGCTAGCAAGACTACAAGACCAATGCTTCTGATTGCCCAAGTGTTATTCCAGCCAACGAGACTAGATAAGGATTCTGCGAACCCAATACAATACATAGCTGTGGCAACGGCCTAAAATCAAAATACCACTTGTTAAAAACCAATATACATGCTCAATTATTTTGATTGAAATATAGAACCTCAGCTTTGCCATAGGTAGCAAATACGCCTAGCAAGAATAGGTTTGATGATACATTCTCAAGAAAGGAAATTGAGGGGAAGGGAAAGAACGAGAGCCTGCAGACATATTCATGGATGCCCAGTTGAAATTCACGGTGCGTTTCCCAGTGCCAAGACGAACAATTTTCCAGTTTACTTGTCAAATCTTTCAGTTGCTTCTTCGAGTATTGCATTTTGATTAAAGATTTGTAAGATATCAGCGTACCGTTTGTGCTTTGCTGACTTTGGTAAACGGGCCTAAATTGGCACAATGAAACAATCAACAAGTGCAAATGCTTCTGGTAGACTGAGCTGATTCAAAAATTATGAATATGTTTACTGAAAACCAGCACATTAGCAATCCAAAGAAGGAAGGGATTGAAATATTGAAGATATCTTTTTGATTGAATAGCCACAGATCCCGTTTCACTTTCCTTCCACTATTGACACTATTCACAAAGGTCAGTAAAATGTATTTGCATAACAGCTGCCCTAAATGATAAATGCCCCCGAAATAAATTGTAGTCAACATAACAAAACTAACATTCTTACTTCAATGGAAAGTAGTGGAAAATACTGCAAAGTATTGATGGAAGCAGTAAAGGTCATATTTGAAAGAATTATAAGTAATTATTCAAGACAAAAGGTGATTGATTCAGAACAAAAAGGATCATCGTGAACGTACATTTCCGAGACAATAAAGAAGGCCAACAGACCCTCCAATTTTTCCGCCAAGGACATGTGATACGATAAAGTAGACTCCACCGTGGGAGACATCACATCGATCACAGATACCAACTGCAGACATGACGGTGGCAAGAGCAATCGAAAGGGAAATAACAACTATGAGTAGCGACAGGCCTATGCCAGCGTAGCCCTAGAGAGATAAAAGGAACATTTAGAAATAGACACAGTATCGTCTGATGGGCATGAAATGAAGCTACAGATCCGTTAACTAAACTAGCTACACGTTTTTTTGTAAGCAACCACTTTATAAGGAACCTACATGTAGAAGGCAGAAATATTTAAAGAACTTATACTACCAAAAACAAAATCCCGAAGGAACTTTTTAATTTGACAAATTTTCATAACTGCAAGCATCAAGAACTAAAAAGGCGGTTTCATTCATTTGCTTCATTGAGTAGTTCTAGCATATGCTGTCTCGCCCCACTCTCTATTAAGTGTTAAGGCTTATTGTAGTCAAAACATCGAAAGTGAGATTTTCACTATGCATAGCCTTCTTTGTGTTTTTGCTCCTGAGTTCTAGCCACAAGTAAAGGCAGAATTTTTATGGCACTTGATGTGCAGTGAAAATTAAGGAACTATTAAGGAACTTTTGATACTACAATTTGATGATTTGAGGTCTACGAATAAGGAACTTTTGGAACTAGGCCTTGAGGTAGGTTCCTTGTAAAAAAAGCGTGCTAAGACCTGGGACAAATTTTGCTTTTCTCAATGCATAGCTTAGCATATCCAAAATGAAGGGGTTATGTCAGTCTTCTACAGTGTCGTAGAAAGGATACAATTATCGAGGCATCATTGTTCGAGAACTATAGGAATTAAAGATACTATGCATTAAAAACAAAGGATTTTGTAATTTATTTTTTGGTGGGGAGAGGGGGGCGAGCCCCACGTAGAACGACAGTAGTGACAGCCCTGTCACATACGACCAGAGAATCGTTTATATGCTAAATTAAAGGAAAAGAGATGGAGCTAGGGACCAAATTCGAGGAGGGGGAGACGTATCTAATTGGCTTTTAACTGCACCATGCTATAGGGACATCGTTTTGTGAAAGAAGTTGAATGATGGATCGTCAAATAGATGGAAAATGTTGATATTTATGTTGCATACCGTAAAAACTCTATTACGCCCCCCTCTCTCTTGAGCACCCTTTCGATTAGGCTCCCCTTATCAAGCAAAAATTCAAAATAGGCTCCCGATTTCAAACAAAGAAAACATGTGAATTGAATGGGTCTCTTGACGGGTGTGATGATGATAAGATTAGGTGGAATAAATACGGCCCACGTAAATATTTACTTATGCTACAGTCGATATTTGTCTAGAAGATGTCTTAGGGGCTAATTCGAGGATTTACGGTAAGCACTCTGGGGGCGTAATAGAGCTTTTACGGTATGTCTGTATCTAAATAACGAGATATGGATTAATCACTCAAGAAATACAAAAGTAGTCCTCGTTATCATCGCGAAATCTGAAAAACACAAAAAACACGAAATATATCACACTGAAGTTTTGTTCGGACGACGTTCGTCAGAGTATAAGCGTCGGATGTTGACAAAAATATAAATTTCTGCTTACATTTTAATACAACCACTATCCGACGAATATATTCCGAGGGCTGTCTAGATAATTTCAGACTTCTGCCTGTCTGCAAAACATTTCCTGTCATTGGATAATATTCCTTCTAAAATTCGTATTCACATAAATTCGTGGCAAAATCCCCAATGGCGTGGTCACATAAAATTCTGCCTTCCAATTTTCCCCTTCTGATGCTCAATCCTTAGCTATGCAACTGCATAAAGGACTTGTTTAGAATAAAAATTCTAACATTAGTTGCTTTACAAAAAAGTCATTAGCTAGCATCTTGCACTCTGAACAAAATTTTGAAAAAAAACATACCACCATCCAGCCAGTCCTGAGAAATATAACAACACCGACGATGTTCATGAGACATGTTGTAAAAACACCTGAGAAAAAGGCAAATTGTCAAAATTGTATGCATCTATAAATTGTAGTCTATGAACCAACAAACTTGAAGAAACAGATCTCCATTGCAACTACTCATCCTTTGTTCAGTGTGATTTACCTAATTGAATTATTCTTGCATACGAAGCGATAAACTAACAAGCTTTCAAATTTCAAAACTTGTACTTTTCTGGCACTTTCTGCAAGGTATTTATCATATATATATATATATAGTATATGACATAAGGAACAGGCAGGTTCACAATTGCTTTGTCTTGAATACAATAAATTAATTCAGGTCTGTAGCCACTATTGCTTTAGGGGGAGGGGGGCTTCGTACCCCTTTCTTTTCAATGAGCAAAGCTTTTTAATCCTAATGTTCTGAAACAATGATACCTAAAACAATTCTATGCTTCCTGGGGCACTGGTCGATTGTAGTAAGGTGTGATTGCTGCCTTAAAACACCGTTTAAAAATAGCGGTCTTACTACGATGCAAGCTTCGTTAGAGATATACATGGATAAGATGATTCACACAGAAGTTTAGCATTTCTAAAAATTTTTTTGAACTAGCTACAATTTCTTTGATTTTGCGTTTTGAAAACATCGAGCGCAAACGTAGACAGACAGCAATAATATCTTTCATGTTATTCTTGGGAGTTTATTTTTACTCTTAACGAAATATTACATTTTATGTTTTACTAGGTTTTTGTGTGTACTGACAAAATCTTTAATACACTTTTAGCACTGAAATCGAGAAATCGAGATTAGTTTCTCATAAAACAACAAGTGTAGATCCAATAGCATATCGAGAAATACTCGCAGACGAAAGCCGACGCCCCAAACAAAAATTTGTGCACACAAAAATATCCGTATAGATGGCTCCTTAGGACTTACGGGCTTTCTTCTAACTCATCGCAAAAATGAGTCATTTGACTTTATTCTTTGCTTTCATGTCTCTATTTTATGTCTTGGTTTTATGTCTTTGTTAATGTTTTGATCTATGCCTTGACTTCATATCTTAATTAAAGCCTTGACTTGTGCGTTGACTTCATATCTTGACTAAGGTCTTGACTTCATATCTTGACTTATGCCTTGACTTCATACATTGACTTAAGTCTTGACTTGTGCCTTGACTTCATACCTTGACTTAGGTCTTGACTTGTGCGTTGACTTCATATCTTGACTTATGCCTTGACTTGTGCGTTGACTTCATATCTTGACTTATGCCATCATTCATGTCTTGACTTACGCCTTGACTTCATATCTTTACCAATGTCTTGACTTCATATCTGATGTCTTGACTTCATATCTTGACTTATGCCTTGACTTGTGCCTTGACTTCATATCTCTATTCTATGTCTTTATTTCATGTCTTGACTTTGTGTCTTGATTTTAAAATTGATTTCAATTCATATACATTCTCATCTTTTTATCTAGAGGTTATTCAGCAAAGCGCATTATATTTCTTGTTGAAGATCTAGGCACACCTGGCCAAGCAGTTTTTGCAGTTTTTTGAACAAATTTAACTTAAACCAACAAATTTCCGTTCCAAGCTATAAGCGAGAACCGTGACACCGGAGATAGTGCAAAAGAAAAGCGTTTTGTTCACCTGTTAACTATACACACCCACGGGATATATTCAAAACTAATTATAAATGAAGCAGTTTCTTTGAAAACCGACGAGAGAACTCGATTTCTTGACATTTCATTCAACATAATATGATCATAGTTACACCGAATCTGCTCTTGAGGAAGGTCAAAAACAAGACTTGCTCTGTTTTTCTTCCCAAGGATCGGTCAATGGCCACAGAGATAAACATTTCTTGCTGACCATTTCTGTTGTTCTTTTTCCAAAAGGACATAATAACACGATGGTTTCGAAATTTACAAAACTACCCCGTTGCAAAATACAAATTAACGCTATAAGGCGCATGAGGGTGGGGGGAGTCGACCAACATTTGAAAAAAATCCGTTGTGAAAACAAGGTTTTTACCATCTTGGAGTGCTGATGGGCAAATTTCAAAACGGGACATAAAGGATGGCTCATTTTCTACCTGAATGGGACTTGGGGACCCCCGTTGAGTGAAATAGCTAGCGACAGCCATGGGTGCATTTAAAAAACTATGTATGACTTTTCTTTTTCGTTGTTCAAGGTCCTTTTGAATTACGAGTAAAGGCGAATCCACAGGTCACATTGACAATCCCGTCGAAAGAAGGGCATGGAAGAGTAAGCTATTTAGAAGGGCTTTTTATTTGGAATATTTTGGTTGTCAAAAGAACTGTTTTTAGCTGCATCACGATGAGGCAAAATGTTTTTTGACCTACATTCCGTACTCTTCTTTGTACCTATCTTCTGAAACTTTGAGATTATCATTGAGATTGAGTTGAATCTTTAGATAGGCTTACAAAAATTAGGTATTATCAAATAAATTGTGATTAAGAAGTAATAGTGAAAATTTCCAAAATGAGATATGTCTACCCTTGTGTTATTTAAAACGGCAAGCAACCAGAATTACATATATGTAATAATCTAATGAGAATAAATGTTTATGGGCACATGCTACACCCAACTCCTACCAGTCTTTTTGGGTTTTGGACAAATCATGAGCGCAACGATTTCAACAATGAAGGGGGTCCAGGCCTCCAGTTGTTCCCATTAGCACAGCCGGATTACTCGTAAACATGGCCTTGGAATATTTTAAACTCATCAACAAGCGACAATCCTTAACAAAATATATTAAGACCAGTGACAAAATCAGGACCAATTTATTGACAGTCATCTACTAGAATTGTATTTGACCCCCTCCCCCTTCAAGCAATGTTGTTGAGATCTTGTTATTGTATTTGATCATTGCACACACAATTTGCAACTATTTCACCAAATCCCAACAAACAACATTGCTTGGAGGGGGCGGGGGAGGGAAGGGGACGGCGGAAGGATAGAGTTACAAAATAATTTCGACAGGTTTTATTTTGTGTAAAATACGCAAAACAGACGTTGACATTATTGTGAGGTGGAAAGGAAAAGCAGTCTCACAATTTTTGTGGACGATTGTAGTCCATCTGTCGAAAACGTGAAACAGTTAACTGATTCAATCGAAACAATGCATGAAATGAGTTCAAAGAAACAAGTGGCAAAAGCTCGTGCGTCCAGTAACAATTTCAGATCAGAACGCCTCTAAGCGCTGCGCTCCAGTGGTGTCGTTGAAGGGGGGCTCGGAGAGAGCTCAGCCCCCTTGTTAAGCCTACAACACAGCCCTTTTTCCTAAATTTTTAGGACGGCACCCCTGCTGCGCTCATTTTCATTATCATTACTAGATTAATCATTACTCATTACCATTACTTATTTTATTATCATTTTCTTTACGCATGATATTAATTCAAACTTTTCAATGCTAGTCATTATAAACCAGGTTACAAGATGATGAGAAGCACTTACCATCCCAGGTGCCGAAGAGAAGAGTCTTTGTTATGAAGAAAGAAGTTTTCCACCATGGTTCGTGGGCCTGGTGCTGGAAGCAAAAATAGACAAATTAATATATATACACCAATTCAACTTACGACCTCATTTTGGAAATTTCTCCAAACTTAATTATACGACTTTTTTAAGCTCAGATTTGGTTTATCGTCATAATTTTAGGCGGGATACCATTTTTCATATTGCTTGAGCTTGTATTCTAGATTTTACCGAGAAATGAAGTTTGAAAACTTGTAAGGGATTTGACCGCAAAAATCGTTTCGGGGGAAAACTTTACCCCCCTAGTTGCCAATCACGGTCAAAACCCTTAAAAATTTTTCAACTTTATGTCGTTATAAAATCAATATCATGAGCAATATCATAATGTAAACGTACAAGTAGACTAAAATCGTTGCTTTCAATCCGAATCTGAGGTCAAAAATTTTGTACAAAAGAATTTGAAGAATTTTTCAAAATGAGGCCGTGAGTCGAATTGGTGTATTCAAGCGAAGATCTCGGGCTCGAATATAGATAGTCAAGAATCATTTCTGATAGCAAACTAAAGTCATTTGGTTGGAAGAAGGTAGCCCATTAGTCTTTGAGTGTCATATTCTACTAAACGATATATGTCCATACAAATATACTAGCACTGAGGTGCTAGTCTAGTTTACAGGCTATGACCAAAATGATACACACAAGGACGATCTCCAAACACAATTTGGAGTTCCCAATCAAGTCGTCTAGAGTCCACTAACCGCCATAATTGCTATTTGAAATGGTTAGATAACTAGAGTTGTTGTTCTCAGTTGATAAATTTGGAATTGAACACAATTTCTGCATGTCTTGGCAAACATGGCATTTCTGCGGGTAAATTCAGCTTTTCCATAACTCCTACCAGTTAAAAAGACAAAGTGCTCTATCTACATTTTGCAAGGACTCCAAAAGCCCTCCTTGTGAACCATCAAATGGATAAAGCTCAATACTTTCAGAAATTGTTTTACTTTATCGGAATTTTTTGGAAAATCATCGTCCCGTCAATTCCCTACTCAGATATTTGTATTACCAAACAAAAAAAATTACATGATTGAAAATTACAGACTTCAAGCTAAATTAATACAACCTAAAAGATAAACTGACTTTCCGGGGATTCGTCATTAAATGCAAGGTTAATCCCATGCTAGTCCATGGTAGCGGTGACGCAGTTTTTCATTTAACAGCTACTGCTTTTAGGAAAAACAAAGAATAAACTCAGTCCCCAGTTTTGGGTTTTGCCCCACTTGGGATGGGTGGTCCAAATTTTGGCAACTGCATGAAATTTCGGCAATACACATTTGTTGAGTTATGTAAACTGCATGAAATCAGGGCGGTCGCTAGCGGGGGAAAGGGGGTGCGGGGGTGCGGCACCCCCCTAGAAAATTCTTGTCGGCAAATTTTCGAAAAGTAGAGTTTTGTTGGGTTTTGCTTTCATAGTTCCCAAAACAATAGCTTTAGCAAACAGTTGGGATAGCATGAGGATAAAGCCGAAAAAGTATCACCCAAAAGCCCTCAGCAATTCAAAATAGAAACAGATAGCACTATGGGTATCACGGAGGGGTAAATGTTACTTTTAAAAGAAATTTCAAATGACTCCATGTCGATACCCGGAGTCTAGAGCCTAACAGACAACTGTCTGCATATCCAAGGCCACCTAAGTTCCATCTAACGTTTGGGGTAGGGTCAGATCAGAGTTTATTTAACAAGTCTGAACGCTGATTCTGGAGGTACTGGAAGCGGGGCAGGGCAAGGGGACAAAATGCCCCAGAGCCTCGAGGTCTAGGGGGCCTCATAAAGTAATGAATTCCATTTAAGAATTAATGAAATGTAGCACAGAGTATGTCTGAAAAGTAAAACGTTCAAAACGATTGCAAGAAATGACTGCAAGAAATATTCTGAAATGCATTTTTAAGATAATCTAAATGGCGTGGTCGCAAAAAATTGCTGCTCGCTCCGGCCTCTTCTTTCGGATTTGCCTCCAAAACCTTTCGGCGTCCCTTTCTGTTAGATCTGTTCATACAAACTAAGGCCTATTTAAACGTACTGAACTATTTGAATAAATGAGGATACTCATTGCTCAAAACTTGACTTCTGGAGTAAAATAAAAGAAGATACTCTCAGGTACTCAGACAGAGAAAATTACAACGCAAAAATCGAAACGATCATGACTGACGAGAACATACTCTTCGATAAATAAAAACAAAATGCCACACTTAAAAATTGATATATTTTAGGCCACGCCCTATTTTTTCGGCAAATTGGTGACTGGCACCGCCCTTAGTGAAAGCGTTTAGCGACGGCCCTGCATAAAATTGAACAGCTTTCGGTATGGACTTCTAAGTTTGATCCAGAAAATGCAATTTGGGTGATGTGGGGGTGATATGAAAGAGCAACATCACAAAATCAACAAGAGAGATCACAATGATCTGATTGAAAAGATACCCATGCTCTAATGATCTAATGAGGACAAAATGAATACAATGAACCAACAATAGCAATCAACGACTGGCTCTGGCTGAAAAATGAGACATTGATAAATCGCCTGGGTAACTCAAGGCAAAGGGCTCATGTTATAACAAAAAGTATTTAAATTATTTATTGTCCTTATGAAATAACAAACTCTTTGTTGCTTAGAGTTTCATAAATAATTAATCCCTATCAGTAACACTGCCTTGTAGGCATTGTCATGCAAAACCTTCTGAACGTGTCATTAACATAAAACACAAAGCCTTCTGCATGAATCGAGATATCAAGCTGAACTATCATTGGCAATGTTGATACCTCCCTCGTTTCGTTATATTGAAAGATCGGATCCTGATAAATGTTCATGGTAGGAAGATTGGAGACATAAATATAGGATTGTGTGAAAAAACAACTGCAAAGAGGGCACAGTTGCAATAAAATACTTTAATGTGAGAAGAAAAGTGTAAAATGAACAGGTCTCATCCTTCAGTGTCAATTTTAGCAAGATATTTGTTATAATACATAAACCGGGGGTAACAGGAATAAACAGAGTCTAAGAAAACGGCGGTTTAACCGCGGGGAAGGTCCTTGAAAGGAAAAATCTTAGCATGTACCTAAAAAGTCACATATTCAATTTCAAGTTCGAAAAGTTTACAATGCAAAGCTCATTAGACGGAAAAAGAGCAAAATTTATTCTTCCTTATAAAAAAGACCATTAACAGAATGATAACTTTTCCAAATTTTGTCTCTACTCTTGTCTATAGTGGGACTGGTGAGCATGTTATGGAGGAGGCTGAAACGTTACGGGGGGAGAGGGACTCGATAAAGCTAGAAGAGAAGAGCAAAACGGTTCACGTCATGGTTTTAAGCACATTTCCGTAATTATAATGAGGATTAAGCCCTAACCCCTGCTTTCAAGGTCAATACAATATTAAAACTGGATTCAGTGTCTTGTTGGATCTTCGTATTACACACAAAACAACTCTTGATCTCAAAAATTGCCTAAAAACCTAAAATTGCCTAAAAACTGATCTTGATCTCAAAAATTGCATCCTTCGCCTAAAGATATAGCAGACGCTCTCTTGAGTTCCTCAATTCAATCTTTGTACGAAAATGGTGAAGCTTTTTGTTCAACTTTGTATTGTATACATCACATTGAATTTTAAAGATTGATCACAGAAGCAACAATTACCTCACAATTGCCTATATTGGGCATCAAGGTGTTTTGATCAGAATTATTAGTCAATTACTTTATATTACAGTAACTTGCTACATAGGGTTGGATAGGTGTCCTAAAAATCTACAACAACACTCTCCAATTAGTCATAGGAGGGAACCACAATTAGCCACATAGTTGCATTTGCTTTGGTAGCTCGTCGACTCTAGAGAAACGTTAAGCAGTAGTATATTGTTCTCACAACCGACTATCTTGAATCGCAGTTTGTCCACCAAAGCGTTGAAAAATCAACATTCTCGATAAAACAAAGTTTGGAAAATTTCACTTTCCCTGATCACCGGGGAAAAATCCCATCATAATGTGATTGACTTATAATTTCTCTCAAGTCTCTTGCCTTCCTTTTTTACTAGCTAGGGACCTTGGTAGAGAAAGAGAGAAGGGTTTTGAAATTCTTCTTTGATCGAGGGGTAGAAAGGTTTTACGTTATTTCATTTGTGTTGCCTAATAAACAAGCTGAACGAGCCTAAACAAATCATTGATACACTCGGAAGAACTTCTAATTCATTTTATTGTTCTTTGTTATAAGATTGAACGCTTTTTTTAGTCTTAAAAATCGATATTGATCTGATGATGACGAGATTAGAACTTATCTTTGAGAACAAGCCTCCTTTGCAAAGAGTGAAAAATGACAGGGATTATAAAAATTGAGGGACGTCAATAACATAAAATTTTATGTCTTGAAATGTAGAGGAGAAGATTTAGCGAATAATCAAGGGTACAAGTCTTCATAAGCCCGTTTGAGAAATGATAAAAATTAACTGATGAGCTTTTTAAAAAACCGGATTTGAACATGCCAAAAAAGCTATAAGCCAAAGATGTGTGAAGTTTATACTGTGGGGGTGAGGTACTCCCATTATGGCCTAACAGGGACTCCCTCGTGGTCAGGGTCAAAGAGGGCCAAAGCTGAAATGTCAAAGAATTCCCCACCAACAGTAGTCAATTTTGACAATAACCCTCAAATGGTAGCGTAAGAATCGAAATTATTTCCTTGATGCATTGTTTGTGTTCGCCTGGTCTTTGAAAAATTTCTTCATCATTAACTGTTGTTGATTCGGGAAAGATAAAATCTTGTTCATTTTATATGATAAATCGCAAGCTAAACTAAGCAGTTGTGTTATCGTCGAAACTGGGTCATTCTTTGGTATAACATTTCATCCAATAAATATATCAATTTTCAGTTTCTGATTCTACTTTATCATCAAGTAATAAGATATTCAGTTCACCCTCACTTTCTTCTCTCTCGCCTTCTACATCCAAGAGTATTCTATGGGCAGGAAAACTGATGTTACTACTGGCTGTTCATAATTTCTCTTCCAATTTGTTTCAATTTTTAAAACTCACAATCGATGAGAATTTTTAATCCACTCGTTGCGATTGGCGATAGAAAATATTGCGCTTCCAACGCTTCCAATTATATTTCCAACATGGGTTATGAAAAATGAAATAAAAAAGAACTCTTCTAAATATGAGCTTATGACATTGTTGCCTACTCTTCAGTTCCATTTTTTGGGCTGACATCAAAACATTCAATTTTTGTAACTTTATTGATTGCATTCCACATAATTCTATGCTGAGGCTGGAAATAACTTACAGAAAGTGTTCCATTTCTTTACTCGCCTAAACTTTCTCTTTCCATCGAAATTTGTCAAGTTCTCGCCGAAATTTATAGCGAAATTTATACCAACAAAATATGGCTGACTTTTTTCCACTGAAATTTTTGGTACCAAATTTTTTGGTCTGACCATGTATTGCCTTGACGATATCGACCTCTTTTTGATATCAGCAAAACCTGTCTGGTATCCAGAGAGAGGGATCAGTCAGGCATAGGCGTCGATTTTTTTATTATTTACTAATTTAAACTGTCTTTTGCGTAGGTAGAAATAAGTTGGAGCTGGACAAAGCAAAATTTGTCAAAATCATTATTGCATTCTTAAATAATGACATCATATGGGATTCCTCATCACACCTGCATAGAAGAACTCATCTTGCCACGGACAAAGTGCTGTTAGTGCTGATTGTGTTTTTTGTACATTACAATGCCGTATTTTTATCATCTTTTGTAATTTTCTTGAAAATAATAATAAAGAGAGTACCGTGAGTCCTTGAATAAGCCCCCAACTTTAAATAGTACCCCCTCGAATAGGCCCTCATTCTCGAATAAACCCCCATGGGCAGATGTATTACCTGGAAAGTAATAGTTTCATCCCAATTTATCAGTGTGTTTAGGCAAACTGGCCAGCCTCAACTAGAGAAAGAAAATTTGACCTGGTAATATTTTTGGCTGTTGCTAAATAAGTACCCACTTTCGAATAAGCACCCCCTACCTCTTAGGATACCGTAAATCCTCGAGTTAGCCCCCTGGGGGCATACTTATATTTTACATTTTTTGATGGGGGCTTATTCGAGAAGGGGCCTTACGAGGGGGGCTTATACGAAGGGGGGCTTTTAAAATTATTGTAGACATTAAGAAGACATTATTAAAAGACCTTTTATTTTAGTGGGAATTTCTATGTGAGCATTTAATAAATTCTTACCAAAAGCATGAATTTGTTGTGGTAATTCAATAAAACGCCATAGGCAACCCCAGATGGCAAAAATCATCAAATTGAGGGGTCCCATTTGAGAATTTACGGTAGCAGTCGGAGCTTATTCGAGGGGGGGCTTATTGACAATTTGTAGTTCTAGGGTGGGGGCTTATTCGAGGGGGGCTTTTTCGAGGGGGCGGGGCTTTTTCAGGGGGGGACCAATTCGAGGATTTACGGTAAGCCTCTAGAGAAAAATAATGTTTGCGAAATAGAGAGGCTTATTCGAGTTTTTGAGGTAAACAATTGCCGGTACAATAAATTGCAAGCAGCATGAATCGAAAATTTCTCACACAAACAAAACAAACAACCTGTATTGATTTTCTGCATCATGCGTAAACAATAACAGGTGACTACTACCTTAACAGCAAATCTAGGCAGCAGCATCAGGGATATTTTATGGGGAAAAAGTCTCTCAGCTGAAAGGTATCTAGTGAAATATAAGAATAAGGTACTTGGAACGGCTGGATAGGCCTAGACACGGCTACGTACAAGCCCCTCGCCTCTAACCGTTGAGAAAAATCCAAATAATGTCATTTCTAGGTTGCCTGATTCCAAATATCTGTGTTTGCCCCCTGCACTGAAGAACATCTGGGATTCCTGGCTAATAGCCAAATTTTACGTGGTTTATCTTTAAAACAAGGCGAAAATGTGCAAAGTATGAACATGGATTACAAATACCTTGCTGTCTGCAGCTAAGACAAGGTTTTATGTTTACAAAGAAACCAAAACGAAGAGAAAAGCTTCTGTTTGCAATGAGATAAATTTGTGTGTGTACCTATGATTGTTGTTCCTACAGTAATTGTGTCGATTCAAAGATTGAATAAAATTACGTTGTGATCAATGTTTGTTATCAATGTATGGTTGAGCTCCAATTCCTTGTTGTTTTATGTTATCAACTCGATATGTATTATCAAGTTAGGTTTTATATTCCTGTTGCAGTTAGGGTTTCTTGTGTTGTAAACAAATCAGGGCCCAAGCAATGACAACCTTTAGCTCAAAGCAGGTCGGAAAATCATTCAAATAACTCAATATCAACCATTTACTTGAATTCATGCTGAACTACTCACCTCTCCTTCCTCTTCAAACAATTCTTTAACTTCTCGACGCAATGTTTCAGAAGTAACACCATTCTGAGAGGCAGAATTCCCGCCGGTTGAACGTCGCCGTTCGTACGAGCTTTTCTCCGACAAACCATACTTTCCCCAATCTATTTCTTGCCTTTTCCCTTTGGAATTTTGAGTGATTACACCATCAGTTGGCATTTCCTTGTCGCTTTGTTGAAATTCCTCCATCGGCTCGTAAATACACCTGCTCTGCTGGGGCCTAAAATAAAATTTCCTTTAGGCTTCTGCCCAGTTTGCAGCAAAATTACAACGGTTTCCGGAGACTTGCCTATCGCAAAAACATCACGATGTTTTTCTATAAAAGTGCCCTATCCACTTCTTATCACTGCAACGAAATAAACTCGATAAAAAGATAATTAAAACCGGTTTCTTCAACAACCTTTTTACAACTACCTATATCAAAAGGTTAAAGGCCATCTTTATATTTTATACACACCTTTCGATGTTCTCCTCCGCAGTTTTGTTGTCAGTTGGCCAAAAGATTTCTCTTTGGCCAAAAGGAAGCTAACAATTTGGGCAAAAATATATCTTTTACAAAATTCTCAGCAAAAAAACCTCATATTTTAGAAACGCAAGAAACTAGGTACAAAATCAATTCAATATCATACCAAGTCTATTTCCGAATGCTGTCTTAACATTTGCTTGCACAAATAGATTTTTATAAATAAAATTTCCTTCAAAAAGTTACAAAAAACTTGTTTTTCTGGAGCCATTTTTTGTTAAGTACATTTGAAGGTTGCGAAAAATGATTTTGAATTCTTTGAATCGATAAGGAACAGTTTGGTATTCAGATATTGAGGATATATGCAAATTTTGTGAATTCCCTGAGCAAAATGATACTTAGGATAGCGTATATCTTTTCTCCTAATTAGCATTTATTTTGATAGTTTCAAAACGAACACATATAAAGAACACTATATAGTTTATTATTAAGTCTTAGGAATAGGCATTTGGTTTAGACCTTATTTAACAGCTCTTTGTACTGGAGGTGTATGGCAGCAACAGTTAAAAGGAAAGAGTTAGAACTAAAACTGAAATAATTTCAAATTAATCAAAATTTCAATTAGGAAAGATTCAGAGAAAATATATCGAAAGTATCTGCAATTGAGAGAGAGAATTCTGATTCTAACTTTGTGATTGTACCTAGATAGCTTTAAGTTCAAATGTGCTACAATAGCAACCATTTCTAACGTTGTGATCGAATCATTCATGTTGTTTGCGACAAACAAGATTGTTGGCATAGTCGGACTTAGAGAGCACTTTCATTTCAAAATAGCATTTCACATCAAAATTACACATAAATTTAGAAGTATCAAAAGCAAAGCAATTCGCAATGCTTTATAAAAGAAAGATAGACTAAGTTTCTTCTTAACCAAAATAAAGTTTACAACATAATTAAAGATAGATAAGGCCTGCTGACAGCCACGTAGCTGCAGGGGGGCACGGAAGGGCTGTGCCCCCCTAAATGAACATTTTGACAACAGCTTTCCCTCTCTGGCTACAGTTTTTCCAAATGATATTTTGAAAATTTGGCATATTTATAATTCCATGACCTTGATTTTGTCCAAATATATCTGTTTGTTATATATCTGTTTTCTTGTTTTAAAGCCTGCCCTCCTCAGGTATGGTTTTTGCTCGAGTTTGCTCCCCCTAGCCGGCACCTACATCTACGTGGTTGCCTGCGGGTGGAGATATCATTAGCAGGTAAAAAGCTATTAGAGATAAAATTTAATGTAACTAAACAAATCAAACACTCTGAAAAAATCATGTATAGCATGAAAGCAAAGAAGAAGTAGCATTCATAGTAAGACCTGTTACCCATCTCCAAGGAAACTAATATCGCTTAGAAAGAATTCCGACCAACAAAAGCTGTCTTTTTTGAAAAGGAACTGACATCTGGAAACCAGAAAAATCCACCTTAAGCGCGGTGCACCTGTTCAATGTCGCACAGCTTTTAAATATTGAATAATTTTCTGTATGGACAAGCATCATTCGATTCAACTGTATGGGAGGGGGGAGGCATGGCTGTACATAGTCCAAATCCTCTTTAACAGAAGAAATTTTGGTAACTGACATCAGAACCACGCACCGCGCAGCCATTGGGCTAGCAGGGGCTATAGCCCACCCATTTTTTTGCAATAATAGGCTAGACAATTTTTTGAAAATTTACTCTAACGCAACTTTTGATAGTTTACTCCTATGCAGTAGCAGTTCTCATCGACTGGGAACCATTTTGTTCTTTTTCTAGGTGTTTTATCTTGTTTAATGATATTATATATTTTCTAACTTGATTAGTTTGGTTTTTTATTACCCTCGAGCTAATTAGATCTATTTTTTTAATTATTGATATCTTCTCTGAACCAGACTCTTTATAAAAATTCACTAGAAATAAGCAAGCATTTTCTAAAAAGGGGCCTTTTCCGGCGTTCTAGAGAGCGTGGCCTCAAAAAAATTCGGTCACACCATTTTCAGCCCCATCCACTTTTTAGAGTAGTGCGCGGTCCCTGATCAGAACTCTTTCCACTCTATGGCCCCTTCCACTTTTAAAATTGAGCCTTTCATCCAGCATTTGACATTTACAATGTGATAATGCCTTTCGTTGTAAATTGCCTCTCCATCGCTGGGGGCCCTGCAAGAAATACACTTTTGGCATAATATTGCTCGATTATATTTACAATGAGAATAGCAACATCTTTGCCCATGCCATCTCATTTTCATCACGAGGCAAAATTAATAGGAAGTCATCATTAATTTTAATTTCTTCATGGAAATACCAAGGAGTTGATCTAATGGTAGATAAACATGTCAATAGAGGACGAGATATGGGATCCAAATGCACTTCTTGTTTGCCCCTATGATGGTTCACACAGAATTTGCGTACAACGCTTTCAGAGGCATATTATAAAGTGTCGAAAGGTATCTACTTTTTATTGATATTCAATAATATAATTGTCAAAACTAATAATAATTATTTGACAATCGAAACCTCATTCTCATCTTCGTTGACTTAGATTTAGAAAGACTAGACTGCAGAATGGGACAGGAACAGAGCGCACAAGCACGAGGTCAATGTAGTTCTGCACGCCAAACTTCTTTTTGCACGACATGCGTATGAGAGCTGTGAGAATTCAAATTCAAATTTAATTTAATTTGACAACAACAGTTACTTGCAAGTAAAGGATGACATTAAGATATAACAACAAAAATTTATAATCTACTTTATACATTTCATCATATTTTTAATGAGATGGAGAGATTAAGAAATTTTTTAATGAAGAAAAAATTTTATACATATTTTAACAGAACAAAATGAGACAAAAAGGGAAAAAATAAATGCAAGCAAAGGAAAATCAAAACTGAAATTTTCATAATGTGACAAGAAGGTAGGAAAGGGTGGGGGGTGGGGTGAAGCGGCAAACATCATGATTTTGGTTAGATGATTTTTAGAGTTAGGTATATTATTTTTTGAATATTTTGAGTTCATAATAATCATATATAAAATTTTAATAAGCCATTTATGTAGGCATTATTTGATAAAAGTTTTTTTGTTGGTTTTGTTTTGGTTTCAAAGGGCATGGAATAGCATGTAAGAAAATAGCATACCTTCATAGGTCGCAAAAGAGTGCCATAGGAATAACTAAAAGTATGTATATAAAGGAAATGATTTTAAAAATGGTGCCACATGAATACACATAAATGTAACCGGTAAGGTAATGGTATGTAATTGCAACAAAATTGTGATATAAATAGACAAAAAACTACTGCTTAAAGGCTGGTGAAATAACTAGATGGAACATACCAATGCAAGGTAAAGATAAAATGTAAACAACTTTATTTAGTGTACGCTTGCACTGATGGTAGATTTGGCATTGAAACTTGCCAAAGGGTAGATGGTAGAAATTATATCAATATACTGACGTATATGTTGAGCCCCATAGCTATGAAAGCTTGCTACAACAGCCTCCTCAACCTTGAAGGTCTAAAAACACATCAAAAACTAGTGACAGTGCCATCAGAAAACACCTTTAAGACAACCCAGATTGTACAAAACTCTAAAATGACAACATGTTTCAGATAATTGGCAGAGCCCGGTCATTTTTCATCTAGCAGTCTTGGAATCGATCAACATGCAAAGGAAAAAGCCCCCATTGTGTAGACAGAAGGAGTTTGTTTTCTCTCTTGAACTGTTTTATACTCTGACGAGTGTCAGATGAAAAAGCTTTTAGTAATATGTTGTGAAATGTTTGCTTTTTGTCAAAGCCATTTTCATAGTTTTTTTCTGTGACTGTCAGAGTATTATTTATTTTTATACGGATCTTTGATTCTGAATTTTTACTATAAGATGTGATCAGGAAATTTGAAATTCTAGTATCGTCAGCAAAGAGATGAAATTTGAGAATGTGTGAGGAGAAGAGCAGTCATTTATATAAAGAAGAAAGTGAAGGGGGCCTGATACACTCCCTTGTTATGGACTGGGGCTCAGAGAGAACTCCATTTACAAATACATTCTGGGTTCTCTAAGAAAGAGGGCAGGAGGGCGTAGGCAAAAGGGCTCATGCAAGGGGGCTGAGTCAAAGGGGCCTTGGTCAAGGGGGCCTTGATTCAAGGGAGCTTTGATCAAGGGAGCTCTGGCCAGGAGTGCTCAGTCAAGGCCATTTTTTAAGAAATCTTTTTCATGGCCCCCCTCTCCTTGTGCATTTTGTAAAGATGCATCATTGCTTGGAAGATGATGGTGTCTGCACTTGTCTCCTGCCCCATGTCTGTAACTTTACCCTTTTCACTAATAATTGTTATTTTATATGAACCCATCATGTTGTGCATCACAAAAAATGAAATCAATCTTAAATAGATGTTGTTTATCAAGGTTTTCTTCAAAAAGTGAAAAAGTTGCTTATATGTAGCATTTACTCTTTATATAGTAACTCATGTTTTATACACTAAACAGATGAATCTTTTTCTTTCATTTTATTGTGGTTGGTTTATATTGATTAGAGAAGTGTTTTTGTTGCATTTATATGGTGTATTGTTGTGAACTAATGGCTGCTTTGTTTTAGAATCATGGGGACAAAGACACAGTATCATGCCCGTATAATGCAACACATATCCTTTTACAAGATCAGCTTTCTTCGCATCTTGGAAGATGTCCAAACAGAGTAGGATTAAATTGTCATTTTTCAATTAAAGTCTAATACAGTAAAGTCTAATAACTTTGAATTGATGTACTTTGGTTGGAAACACATCTTTGGTCAAAACCCCTTTTCATTTCATTAAGCTGGAACATAGCCATAAAGAGGGCTTTCACTAAGGGATGTGCCACACAAGACATCCTGCATGACAACCTGCAAGTTAAGGGAAAGTTAAGTGGAAACAACAAGAGTTGAGCAGGAAAACCAAACTTTTGTACTTTTGTATATTTTATATAAGAAAACAAATAATTTCTGGTTCATCCAATATCAGATAAATAAATCCATGTAGCCCAACTTCTCAGAATTGTCCAATGGAAAAATATGTCTTTAGAGTTAGAATGTACCCAAGCTCTTCTTGGTTGACAAAACAAAAAGTTAAAGATGATGTAACATGGGCCTTAAGTTTTGATAAAAAGACAGGTTTTAGAAATTTTTTATTAAAATTGTTAAAAATCTGTTTGAAAGATTTACAAATTGTTCTGTTTTATGTCTAATGATAGTAAAACTCTTGAACAAGAGTCTGTGAGTGAATGAATACTTTTGTTTGCAAATTTAGTATATCCTCTTCATTGAGACATTTGATATAGTGTGTGACTGAACAGTCAGGCAACAAGGCTTGTTTAGCATTTCAGTTAAGGGATGAATGTATGATTTATCCCTAGGCAATAGAATGAATGCATCCAACTGCTCTTCTAAATATTGACACAGATCATCAAAGATGGAATAACTTCGCTTTCAACCATCTGATTTTTTCAAAAGAAGGCTGCTTCAAATTCTTTTCGTTTTGTAGTGGCTTCAACCATAACTAAAAATGAAGAATCAAAATACTTTTATTAGTGCCTATGATGTCAGAATGACAAAATTCAAACTTGATGGCTTTTAAAATGAGGCTAATAATGATGATATTTCTTTGTTGAGTTGAATGCTGTTTATATATATATTTTATATGTTTGGATAGCAAGGTATGGATAAATTGTTTTAATATTTATAGAAAAAATGCAAAATAATTTTAAGAGAATAACTGATCATAAAATAACTGATCCTAAAATATCTGGCAATCTTTTCTAGACTGCTCTTTGAAAAAATATTGTACTTAATTTCAGAGCTTTTGAGATAGGTTTTTGGCTTCAGGCAAAAAGCAGGCAAAAGGTGTTGATAAAAAGGAACCTAATAACTGTTCAGTTCAAGGTGAAACAGTAAGCATGTAGATTAAAACTGCTTGTCGTAACTTTTTTTTTAACTGTTTCAGACATTCCAATCTTTGATCTTGAATTTTTTTATTTGCAGGTTGCCATTGATGCTGATGTAATTCAAGGTATTCATCTTTAGTTGTCTCTGTTTATTGATGGCTGTTTTTTTAATTGTCCTAGTTAATTTATTGATGATTGCATAAAGTAGCTTTTATTTTAGAATTCCTAAGATGCAGCTAAATGCTTGCTAGAAAATTTTTATCAAAAAAATATCATAAAGTTATTTGTTTTCATAATTTTTTATTCGATTTTTTCTAGTTTTATTGTTATATATAGAATTGCTTAATGCTGCACATAAAATAATAAAATAGAATATAGAATCATGCCCTTACTTTGTGTAGTGCTTCATGATAAGAATGTTTTTAGCACAAAACGAAGAAACTGGTGAAATTTATAAGCTAATGGGACAAGTTGGGTTACCTGAAGTATCATGGATCTGTCCTCCAAAGTCTGAAAACTGGGATTTAGGTAAAATTCTACAATGTTGTTTTAGAGATGAAACTTTACATAGCCTTTCTATGTGCTTTGGTTATTTTCTGACAAAGTAATTTTACTTTGTAATGTGACAATTTTTGAGCACTGCTTTTCCAAAATTGAAAGTGAATTTTTAAAAATTCTGCACAATCATCCCTTTCTGTCAAACAATACCACATGATTTAAAAACACTATTGAATGGATATGCTCATACCATTATGTCTAATTTTGTGCTTGGATACTTCGAAATGTTTTTTTCCACATTGAACTGAAAAGAAGATTCTAGCTAAGCTTAAGTTTAGAAAAAGAATTATGAGCAAAGTAAAATATTTTTTATCTTTCAAAGATTGAAGTATAATTTGAGCTCACTTTGTAATTGACCTTCAGATTCCAAAAAGAAAAAACAAAGGCAGAAAGAAAGTTAATTTTTTTGCCCTTAAGTGGATTGCATGTTCTAGTTCTAAGTGAGATTAAAAAGTTTTCATTCTCCAATTTCTCTTTTCTTGATCGTGGAGTAAGACTCAATCTTATAATTACGAAATCTTCAGCAAACAATATTATAACCATCAAAGTAAATTGTTAGTATTTCTTTCAGTGATTAATATCCAAGATTCCGTATTTTGTAAAAATTGGTCCGCCATAGCTCTAATGAAGTATTTGATTTTAAATTATTCTTAGAAAACCGTTCTAAGACAGTTTTGTTAATTTCTTAACCCACCATTTTAATTTCATAACAGAAGCAGAAAATCACGAAGCAGAAATAGTCAGTAAAAGGTTTGTATTCTACTTTAAATGGTCGGCTCAGGCAGTGGCGTTTCAAGAAAAATTCATGCCCACGCGAGATATTTTCTTGCTTGGCCCCCCAGTTTTGTACAAAGCTATTATGAATAATTTGTTGTTTGGTTCCATAGCCGTTCAATTGTTTTTGCTATTGTCAATGTAGCTCTCTTATGCTTTGCTCAATACGATCTTTATCACATTTATTCAACAAGCTAGGGGCCCAGATAAGCATTTTGGTTTGTAATCGAGGTAAACATTAATGAAGTTTTGATTCCTTTAATGAAGTTACTAAGCATCTGTGTTGAAATTGACACTACTTTGGTACTGTAACAAATGGGACATGGAGTTATTTTTTGGTGTCTGCTAATTCAACTTTATATCACTCTATTATTTGATGCTATATAATGCGTTTTTGTTCCTCGTTTATCAACCTGCTATTATTTTGATCATGCACAGGAGAGGAAAGAAAACTCAGCATGACAGAAACAATGTCTTAAATAAGAAAACTAACTCAAATATTGGGGATGATAGACCTTACATAAGGATGGCTGGTCGTGGCTTCAACTTCAACTTTGACGAAGGTGAAAGTACTCCAAAGCGTGGAGTTGGTAGAGGCAGCGTCTTAAAATCTGTTACCAGGCCTGGAAATTGATAGATAGATTCCCAGTTTTTAGTTTACAGAGTATTTGGTTTCGAATGTTCAACAAATGTTGTTTTTTAAACATGTTTGTTTCTGTTTCTGTTAGTTTTCTGAGAGTAAACTCGTGTTTCAAGCTTTTTCAGTGGTACCACGGTTTGTATTCCATCGAAACGGTGTCCTCTACGTGATGGACCTTGCGGTGAATGTTTTGTTCCCTCCCAAGAGAAAACTCGATCTTTTATTGCGAGTTCATGTGTTGTGTTAATATCTTGTAGCTTTCGACAATAATAAAATACTTAGAATCCTTTAAACAGTGGTTTTCAAGACGCACAAGATTCACTAATACTATAAGGAAGTCATTATTATATATGTCAAGGTCTGCTGAGTTATAATACCCTATGACCTACCCTGCTCCATATTCGTATATATAATCGTCTTTGCTTTATTGAGTATAGAAAATCTCATTACAAATATGGTTACATAGGAATCCAGCATAACATTTACACAAAGTACGAAAAGATTGCACGGGAAGCTCAAGATCTGGTATAGCATTTCAGGCGTCTTCTCTAAAAAGGGAGCAGTTTTACGTTCACTTGTTCCTTTCCATCGAAGATGAACATATTTTCATAAGAAACCCGAGAATGTAAAAAGCTCTTGGTACTGGCAAAGAAAATTGAAAATATTTTCGAACTTCTATTTATCACAAAGATAATAATACTGCGCTTTTCTTTTTTGTAGATGTTTCTGTTATGCCAACTTTTACAAATTACGTCAGTTTTTATGAAAAAATATGTTCTTATAGAAAATGAGAGATGACACCAATCTAGAACATTTTACTACCTCGCGCATTTTTTAATAAAATCTAGAAGTATGTAGTTATGTTAAATATCATGTTAGGAAGTCTTCGTCATTCATTTTAATGTGTTTTTCTCATTCTTTTCACCTTGAAATTTATAATTGTTATTTCCTTTAAAGATATATGTAAATTTTTTTGTTTATGAACAATAGCGGTATTTTGAGTAAGAGTTTATGAAGAGAAGTATTTGTATTTTAGGTTTTGGTTTTTGTTATTCAGAGTTTTGTTTGAAATTTGAAATATGCTGTTCTTGCTTCGTACTACGCTGCCTCTGACTATATTCTAGTCAATCAAAGCGCATTTACTCTAAACTGATAACCAGTGTACATTTGAAAGAAATAAAATTTTGACATTTCGAGAAATAAGATTTTGACCTTTCATGACTATCCTAGTACAGCATCGCATGATTGGTGGATTTATTGGAGAATTCCCAAGAGGGGGATGTCGCTAATGTCCATTCAAGTTTTGTCCGCTACTGTCACTTCTCACTAGTGCTTACAATACATTAAGTACCACACAATTCGGTGCCAAAAGTTTCGGTCTTAAAGGGCATGTGTCGTGAACATGATTGGCTAATGCAATACAATGATCTCTGTTGTTTAATACAAAGCATGGAATCAAGGGTGAATTTTTACGGCAGTAAAAATCAATGAAGATGAAAGGAAAAGTCACAAAACAATGAAATTCCACTCCAAACGTTTTTGTTTTATTAGCCAACTGCTAAAGCAACATATGTCCTTTAATTTCGGTAAGAACTTGAAAAATTATCTTCAACGCAATCATTAAAGTTGCAAAAATCGAATATTTTGATGCCAGTCTAATAATGGGACCGAAGATAATGCACGAATGTCATAAACTCTTATTTAGAAGAGGTCTTTTTTATTTCATTTTTCATAACCCATGGAGGAAAATAATTTGCAAGCGCTTACAGTGAGTTCGCAATGATTTCGATCGCAAAGCGCAACGGAGGGATTAGACAATTTGATCGATTGTGAGCTAAAAAATTAGGCGTCCAAATTGAATAAGCTGGAAGGTAATTGAGAGAGCGTAATCGGAACGTTTACATAATTGAGAGAAATTATCAAGAGCCAGTAGAGGCACCAGCTCGGCTCATAGATTCTAATTTCTTGGTTGTAGAGGGCGAGAGAAATTAAAGTAAATGATGAGGGAGATAAAGAAACTGAAAATTTATATGTTATGGATGTATGCATGGTAATGTGCAAACAGTATCAAGTATCATTTTTTATTACTTTGAAAGCCCATTGGTGTAAAACAAGATTTTTCTAGCGTTTGAAAATTTCAGTAAAAAAATTTTGGTTTCAAAAAAAATTCCGTGGGATTAATTGTTGGTTGCCTTTTGGTACTTAATGTAGCATTAGAACTTTTGAACTGGTTTTTTCATCACCATAGCAATAAAAGATCTACCAAAAAATCTCTTGTTTGAAGCAAATCATTTTCCTTTGCTGTTCAAATTTAGGCAAATATTTTATGGTCTCTTTGTTTCCTTGTTATTTTGAAGCCACTTTGATGGCTGATCTGCAATAAGCAGTCAGGGCACATTTAAAAGCAGCTTGCATCATTTCGTATCACCTTCGAATGTAACCAGGTGGTAGTGACTACTCCTTATCTCCTTTTTTCTCATTTTTCTATTTTGGATTTGATACTTTGATTCACATATTGGTTTTTTAGTTTTTACCTTCTATGCCTATAAAAACATTTGCCTTTTGTACTTATCTACTTTTCTGTATGTTTGTATCTGCGATTGACACAGAACTGCACACACACAAATAACAGCTCTCTCGTTCGAGATGCTGTCAAACCATGCTGCTGAATAGGTTGTGCTATTTAGTGGTAAAAGTTCGACAACTGTTTGTTACAACTAACCAAATCAGATCCACTGGAGATAGTGGTAAGTTACCCCTTACCCTCATCTGGGCACTTATATGTTTGTTTGTTTGTTTATATGAGGTCAATTCAACAACACTGAGGGCTTAACTAATTCCTACCGTTGGAAATATGATCAATAAAGCCTACCTCCAAATGAAAAGGCTATTCACTCCACACATAATAATTACCATTCGTAAAACAGGCCTACTCGAGCCAGTGGTCAGTTTGTATTTACGGCCCTGTGGAAATTTTCTATTCTTCCTTCTTCATTTTTACAAGGTCATTGTTACAACAGTAACTACTAAATGTTCTACTGCTTGAAAATAACTTAACCTATAAAAATAACAGTTTTAAACTGATATAATTACTACACATAAAATGATCCCCTGGTGCAGTGCTAGCAATTTAATTCACGGCTCGCCAATGTTTTCTTATCTATTTCTTCTTTGGTATGAGGCCAGTATGACAACACTTACTGATTAACTATTCCCTCGTATTGGAAATATAACAATTAAACTTCATGTCCAAATCAAACGGCTTTTTCAGTGACATACATATGTCACATAACTGCCATTACAACTCATCCGATAGACCCATCAGGTGTATTCGTAAGTGTGATTTTACTAGAGCTCGTTGATATAACTGTTACTATAACAAAAACAAACATTTTCCCACCAATAATCTCGCCACATTCTCTATGGACAACGATATTGTGGCGTATGATACAAGGAAACATGCACATGTTGAAATACAAAGTTTACACTAATTAATTGGGGCCTCAAATGGGGCCCCTGAAACAGATAAGGCATCCCAATCCCCCCCCCCCTTATTCCAAACATTCAACAGCCCTGTCCTCCATCCATTCTAAACATACAAACCCATTCCCAGATCAGGTACCCTCTTCTTCCTCTACCCAACCCATTTGACACGCCCTTCCCATAGCCACACCCAACCCCGCCAACTCTAACTTTAATCTGTTATGCACAGGTGATACTTTTAACCCTTCCCATTTCACCCAGCCCTTTATTCCCAAAGCCACGCCGTACCATGCTTATCCTCTTCACCCACTCAATTTAAATGCCTCCATACACTATACAGTCCTACTTTAGTAAGCACTCTGTGTCGATTGCTACTTTTTGTTGATCGTTATAATATATATATATATATATATATATATATATATATTATATATATAATATAATATATATAATTATAATATATATATATATTTTTTATTTGTATTTCCTGACCTTTGCAACCGTGATCCTGGACGCAGGATTGCGAGGGGCGCCTACGAGAAATGGACATACCGAATTAAAGCCCCGAAATGTCCCTCGTGGGTTTCTGGCTGATGAGTTGCTTTTTTATCATTTTCTGCCCACTTACAAGCTAGTTGCTTAAAACATACAAGGGCACACACAACCACCCCCCATCTGAGTTTGAGGCTGTAACCAGGTGGTAGTGACTACTCCTTATCTCCTTTTTTCTCATTTTTCTATTTTGGATTTGATACTTTGATTCACATATTGGTTTTTTAGTTTTTACCTTCTATGCCTATGAAAACAAAGTCAATCAATGCTGAATATTTTGTCCAATTATTTTTGGAATATCCCCAGGCAAGTACAGAAACAAGTAATGATTCTTTACGAAGACAATTCATTTCAAAGCAAGACAAACCTACGTAGTTATGCTGCAATTGTGACAAAAATTTCAAAAATAATAACATCATGGTCTTTCAATAACATCGTCAAGGTCAAGGCCTTGATGTTTAAATGAAAACAACAACAAAGTTATCATAAAAAAAATTAAAGAAATGAAATCTTCTAACACCAAGAATAAGATCTTTTAGCATTTTCTTGAGATTTTCTCCTAAATCCGAAAATATTTCGTTGCAAAATTATTTCAGTGAGTTCCAATGCAAATGGCGTCTGCCAGATTCCTGGAGATCATCCGACAAAATATAGAATAAAGCAAATTGTACTTGTCTAAAAAGTCTATTTTTTACAATTTATTAAATATATGTTTATTTTTACAATTTGGTAAAATTTTAATTAGAAATTTCAACCAGCAATCTCGTTATGTTCCACAATCTTTCTATGTTTTTCTTTGAGCAAAGTGTTAACCACTTTTGCTATAAGGCGATCGTCTAATACTTTTGTCACGTTAGTGTATGTAGTAGATTTGTATATTGTAAACTTTACTTATATAAAAAATGGCCTTCTAAGGGCCACATCACCTTTAAAATTTACAGAGAATGCTAGGCAAATCAATAGTTTTTACAAGGCCTCTGAAGAAGGGCGGGGCAATTTTTTGCAAAACAATAGAGCTTTACAAAATTATTTTATTTTGATTGTTAAAATCTGAAGAAGGCTGAGGAAAGGCCCCACGCTGCCTCAGCAACATTTATTTCTAACATGATGACAACAAGAAACAATCAACATCAAAATGATGTGCCCCCAAACACTTGATTTTCCCGGCCCATAAAAATTCCCACCAAGCTCCGGTACAAGCCTGTCATGTGATAGCAATTCTTAGCTTGAATTTGTCATAAAAGACGACCAAGAGACACGAGGGAAATCTTTCTGTTTGAAATTTAACATTAAAAATTCATAATCACGGTATAATTGATCATTTTCCTAAAAAAGGTCATAAAAGTGTGGTGGTTGTTATGACACCGGTTATTTGTTTCAATTGTTATTCCAGCCTCATTTTCAAACTTGGATTGCGCCTCCTTGTCACGTAATAATGGCGCAGAAAATATGGTAGAGAAAGACTTGTTTCTTCGCCTCTTGGCTTTAAGGTGAACGAATAATATTCATATTCACATTGGGTGCTGTTAGTAGTTTAAGAATCTTTCCATTTGAACTTATCATTTGATATGTACATACAAGTAACAGTTTAATCAGCAAATCTTTCTCCCTTTTGAATTGATGATAAAACTTAAGGTACCCCCCCCCCCAAATGTTGATTCAGTTCAGTTCAGTTTCATATTTTAAATTCTTCTGCATGCAAGTAACAATGCAGAAGAAATAAATTTATTGCAACTAACAAATGAGCAACTAATACATTCCTACAACACAACATTACACATACAAAACAAATACATCAACACTTAAAATTAATACAAGGATAAATTACTTGACATACAAAATTTCAGTATTACTTAAAAAATGCCGTCCTATTTAAATCTATCAGTTATTTTATATGTACTCATGTTTTACTTTATTTGTGAAAAAAAACAGGGAAAGTTTTAATTTATTACCTAGTGTTTTCATTTAAACCCTGTATAGACTTTTGCAAACAAAAAGTTTAGTTTATATGAAAACTAACACTATATCACATTAAAAATTTTCATGAAAAATATTTGGCTATAGTTGTTAGCTGTTTTGATGAAACTTCTCTGGTTAAATTTTAGTCTTAATGTTGTTAAGTTGTAAAAAGTCAAGATCACAAATACCTTGTGACTGCTCAGACTCTAGCCACACTAGAAACTTTGTTTCTTGTTCGGACATCTTCAATTTAAAAATGAAATTGTGCACTTAACATCATATGCATTCAGAAATTTGCTGTTCTAGCACAGAATAGGGCTAGTAAATTACTACACATCTTTTTAAAAATTTCATCCCTTGTCATATGTTCTTACCCAAAATTCAATAAAATGAGCATGGCCTAGTATTGTCAAATGTTATTTTCCTTAAATTTATGGGCAGTAGTTATGGAGGATACTTCCGCATATGTATCTGTTGTCAAATCTGAGGGAGGCCAAATTGCCATTGGGAAATTTGGACACGCTACAACATATTAAGGACATGCACATTGTTTCCAGTCTGGGAATCTGGTTATAGACACAACTTGCCGTGGAAACTTGTGACTCAAGGTGGAGGAGTGTGACTATAGAGCCAAATAGAATAGCTTGGCATAGTTTGGTCTAAATTTTATGAGACTGTAACCAGAAGTGTGCTTTTAAGCACAGTGACTAAAAGGAAAGTCAACTGTACACTCTATGGTTTGCGAAATAAGTCTGCCTGAGGCTCCTGCTACAAGGGCCTTGTAATAAGAGAAACTGTTACACCATGGTTAATGAACAAACATACAGTTGGTAAACACATACAAACACAAACAATGGCAAAATTGTCTTTGCATAGAAATGTCTTTTAACAACTTGCTTTACACTATTGCATTCTATTTGGTTCTGCTCATACACATGAAATACCCCCATTTGCTTAGTCTACCTTCCCAATCAGTTTAATAAACTGATTGGGAACCTAGACTAAGCAAATGGGGGTATTTCATGATGTAAATTTAGCCCCTGTTTCACAACTCTATAGAAGGATGAGCTGTCCCGTTTAATCCAGCAAACCCAAACTGGAAATTTTTCTCGCGCCGGCAATATTATGCCACCGCACTCAAATCTTCCATCCACTCACTTTTGTAAAATTCATCAATTTCTTGGGATCTCCCTGTTTTTTGATAAAGAAAACATCTAAAATCTCAAAGCTTTGAATTTTTGGCAGGTCTAGTATCATAAAATTTCATAAACAACATCAATTTGATGAATCTGTTTTATTTGAAAGCTCACATACATGGCTACAAAAAATTGTTTTATAGATAATAAGATTTTTTATTTCTGACATCACATATGTGATTGACTAAGACCTTTCCATTAACAAGAAAGTCAACTCATTTTGTCTACACAGAAGGCTTTATCAGATATCAATAGAAGTAAAAAAGAGTGCCTTGTTGCAAATTTCTAATCAATTGGAAAGATCAAACTTTTGGCATAGATCTATCCCTAGGTTTTATTTTATAGATCCATTCCTAGGTTTTATTGTATAGATCTTTTCCTTTTTTATATTCCCAAAGTTAAGTAGATGATTTACTGCACTTATTAAACTCAAACTATGCTAAAGTAAAAGAGCAACATTAGATGAATGTAAAAAGTGAAAATGTAGCATTTATTGCATAAGTTATCAAGACCATATGTTCTTTCTAGAAACCAGCAATTGAAGAGCAAATAATTAAACAGAGTGGTAAATTCTTGATGTCTTCCTGATATGTAGATGCATGAAGCTGGTTAATATGACTGATGTTGAATCACTTTCAGCATCACTTGTACGTGAATATCTTAGTAGGAAGGTATATGAAGTTGTTCAAATTTGTATTTTATTACTCTCTTCTACCTTGTTCTTTCTATTTTCTTGATTTAATAAACCATATATTGCAAGAAATCATATTTTATTGATTTTAAGGAAAAATAGAAATTTTTTGTGAAGCTTGCTTGCCTGTACTTATTATTTTATCTATTTTTCTGTTTCTTTAGGGTTTAGTTCCAATTTTCCCATCTCTTAACGGTATTATTTTGTAATCCCCTAAACAGTGGTAATGTTCTCTTCCCCAAAATTTTGTCAATACATGGTTTTAAAGTAAATAATAATCTACTGGTTAAGTATACGTAGTATTTTCAATGTTGTCCCATGGATTATTAGAAAGGTGAAACCTGGCAATGATGCAAGAAAAATGGTTTGGTCAACAATGATGCAAAAGTTTGCTAAATGCCATGCCTACCAGCCCTCACTCAAAAGCAGCAGGTTCTATCACTATCTTTCAATTCTTGTGCAATCTAATTTCTTCCATTACTTTGAAATAACACTTTGCAGCTAAGCTTTGTCTAAGGCAAAAGGGAAGTCACCAGCATTGTAGAATATTATTATTATTATTTTTGGATTTCAAAGAGCAAGCAGGTTATCTTTCATCTCCCTAGGGCCTGAAACGGTCATTGAGAGTTCTAGATGATGAGTTTCCAAGAAATGAAGATAGGCAAGTTGTTTTATGAATTAATTTGATTCTGCTTTTTTTCTTACATAGATATGCTAAATCTGATGGGAAAACACAAACTTCATTTTCTATTTGTTGGCTTGTAGCCATTATGTAAGCATGTTGCCATGATGTCTCATGCACCATGGAAAATTAATTACTGCAAATTTTGATGAAAATAAGTAGGGGTTTGGACATACCCTTAAGAAATTTTGCTGGCCATGCCCTTTGTTCAGTTTGACAGTTCATTCAAACTATCAACATATTTTTAACTTCTTCAACTAAATAACAGAAAACAATGGAATAATTTTGAATTTTGTGTTTTTATATCTTATCTTTCTTTTGTTCGTTTTCCGACCATGTTTCTTTGGTGGAAAAAAATTTGGTAACAACATTTGGTTAGCTTAATTGGACGGAACATTTAGCTAATTTTTACACAATTAAAGTAAATGTGTAGTTAGCCAGCAGTTTTGTTTCTTGTCATATATTTTTTGTTTGGTTATTGAGTACTGCCTAATAGTCCATTAAAAGGTCTCGTCTCAAAATTATTTGTTGTTGTTCATAAATTTTGAAGTTTGTGAAAAAGGAGCAAAATTTGCCCGCCATGTGTACAAATACTTTTATTGTTGCACACTTTTGCTGCTTTTTACTTCACAAAATGGTTTTATCACTGCACAAGGTGGAAATCACTGCCCCTTAAATTCGGGTATGTCCTAGACAGTGGTGCTGCGTTTCAAGGGGCATTATCAAACCCAATGTCTACATGGCTACTATCGCTACATGCATTTTTATTCAGTCATTTTTTATATTTTTCCTTTTGAAAATGGAAGTAAGTTCAACTTAAAGTGGTTTGTTTTCAGCATACGAAACAGAGTAATTCTTGCAAAGGAACTCAGAATTGAAAAGTTGATTAGACTGAACAAGGTAACAGTAGTTTTGATATCTCCGTTTGGTTCCATATCACTTTACTTGATTTCCACAATAGAATCATTTGGTATAATGAATCCTAAAATTTTTTTGCTAAACATGCATGTTTTTGACATAAAGAGCTGTTTTCTTTTTTATCAAAGTTCAATTTCCAGTTTATTTACGTTACTTGGTGTTTGGAGGAATACTGGACTTTTATGATATAAAATTTTGCAGTTATTCCCTCTTGTTTCGCATCAAATCGGATGGTAGCTTTGCTTATATATCCTCGCAGAAATAAAATTGTATTTGGTATTACGCTTATTAATGAAAACATGAATTTTTTACACTTATTTACAGGAGCAAGACACTCCTTTCAGAACAATGATTGAGGTGATGGTAAAGCATTTTATTGAAGAAAAACGCGGCAGAGCATCTTCACGCCAGAACACAGTTTCTGACGATAGAAACGAAAGGACTAAGCAGCAGTCCATCTCCAAAGATGCTGGGAGAGACAATGTACCTAAAAATAGCCTTGAACTTGATAAGCAGTTGGATTTAGCACTTCGAATATCCAATGACAATATCAGTGCTTATAAACAGCAAGCTGGTCTGAAGACAGACCGAAACAAAGATTCATCTCCTTCGAAAAGCAGCACTGTGTTACGACCAGCAAAAAGTTTAAGCGATATAGGCTCTAGTAGTGAATTTCCCAATGCAAGTGAGAGACATAATAGAGGATCTTTAAAGCCACTTTCAGGAGGCAGCAACGCTACAAGCAAGGCTCGTAATCAGGGAGCTATTCAAAATACCACAGAGAAAAGCCGGAAGACAAAGTCAAAGAAAACGTTGAGTGTTAATACAAACGGGCTTCTTTCTAATAACATTGATGATAGTGCGTCACAGACAACTAAAGGCCCACAACTGGAGGACGGCATATTGGAAATCTCTCCTCAGGTAAGCCCTAGCAGGAATAGTCAAACGCTGTTCATTGATTTGCTTCTAGCTATGTTTGTCTGTCTATAACAAAGAATTCAAAGTTGTCATGACTGTATGCAGAATGTAGCTATCTTTTTATTTTATGTTTAGGGCTGAGTTCATGCCGATATTCACCCCCAAAGGCCCAAAGGTTTTTAAGAGAAACCTCAGACAAAGGCGGCTGAATTTTGTATCCTGTTTTTTTCATTATGTTGTCTTGATGATATTGAAACAAAATCGATATCTTGCAAATCATTTTGCCGCAAAGCCCTAGCTTGCACGAAAATTCGCTAAGTGGATTCAACAGCTCAAGATGAGGCAATTTCGAGACACTCTCTCTCGTCGTAACGAAACTAACCCCTCCGTTTTCTACTTAATCAAGTCTAAAAGATGAGGTAGCACGAAAATCTCCTTTACTGAGCCGTTACCTTGAAAATTTGGAAGATTAAACATGATTTAAGGTCGATAAATACACCCTTAAGCACATAAATTCTCATCTACAGGCCTGGCCATTTGAGGGAAGCCATAGCTCTTGCTCCCCTCCAGGCCCTCCTCAAACGCTGGAGGGGAGCTAGAGATTGCTCTCCTAAATTGTTCTAAAAAGCAAATTTGCTCTCCTTGAAATCAATTTTTCCTTTGTTTCTATTCTTATAGCTCACCTGAATACTTCTAGGAGAGCTGTTTACTGCTCCCCTGTTAAAAGTCTTATGGCCAGGCCTGCATTTAGCCATGCAATTGGCCAATTTGTATTTGCTCTGTTTGCTTTCTAATGTATTTTTAAAGGAAAGTATCCCTATGCTACGGAATATTTCAATCCAGTCTCTTTTAGAATATCCTATCACGTGACAAATCAAAAAAGGAAAAATTTGAAATTGATAAAAATAGGAGTGTTCTCTCTCGGCTCTTATTGCTCTCCAGTTTGCATCCTAAATTTGACAGTACACAATGTTTATTTATTTTATTCTCTGCTCCAGCTTCACAAAGGGACAAATTAGAATGGGCAAATGTGTATATTTCTGGAAGGAATTAAACAATTAACGTGCAGTGCTGTAAGAACACCTGCAGTTCTTTGGAAGGGCTTCCTGATTAAAAGTTTTATGTTCTCTTAAAGTGTTATAATGACTCTAAATTTCATTGCTGGCATCTGCTGATATTCAGTCGGTAGTCTAACAACAATATAACAATAGAGGTATAATAGAAAATACTATTAAATATTTATTAGCGTTGCTAACAGAACCGATGCTAACAGTATTATTTTTTGTATTCGTTATTCAAGGTGAAATCGTTAATTTTTCTGTTTTACCTCATGCAATACTTGACCTACTGGCAATGTTTTTATTGCAATATATATCCAAAAAAGTCTATCCCTCATCAAATGATCGCAGCTTTACTTCAACAGATTTTATCGAGAGATTCCAGTCAAGGTGATATCAATATTTTATGTTTACTCCAGCTGTTTTTAAGCCGTAGAAGTTATTGCAGAGAAGGTATTTTGTATGCTTAGTTGTTTATGCGTTTACGTCATATTACAGGCCCGTGTGGTTGGAAAGCAGGATTTGACGAAAACTCAAAGAACTTCGACAGGAAACTCAATGATGGACAATACGTCACTCGTGTATGTTTGTATTAGCATGGTCTATCTTTTCATAACTGTGTTGAACTCAATATCTGTTAAGCTTAGCTGCAATGAGTCATACTAAATAGATGTATAGTAAAATTACATTTATGCTATCAGTTATGACAAGATATTCAGTTGCTAATATCTTTATAAACACTTGTTTGTTTGGGTAATATTTTTTGCTATAACTGATTTTGTACTATAGCTGATTTCGACATTATGATGTTCTTTTACTGTGCAATTTCATGATACCGCATAATTGTGGAATACATTGGATATTTTGGACTAGTCTTCTATTACATGCTAGTAGTATAGAATATTTTGCAACAAATGCTAATGTCCTCTGTTTCCAACGCGCAACGGTTTTTGAGTGCAGCAATCTTTTTGACGTATTGTGTACGACTGTAGCAGTTAATGTAGATCACAGATTTTAATATTCCTAGACGCAGCAATCTTTTTCTTCATTTCTTTCTGCCTTGTAAGAACCCATTTCAAAGAATGCATATTTTTCTTCAAAGTATTTGTATACATTGTACGTGTAATTATGTTCTATATTTTAAACTTTTTTAGGCAGAAAAAACATGCAGCAAAGGAAAGAGAAAAGGTTGGCGCCCATGTGTAAACTATCGTTTGCTTACTAACCAGATAAGACAGTTTAACCATTGGAGGAGTTTTCGTTACTTAAATTCAGACATTTGTCTTGTGAAAAGTTGCAGTGTTTTTCTATCCTTTGAATGTACGGTCATATTACTAATTCCGCTTTGTAGAAAGCCACATCCTACTCGCCCTAACAATTTCGAATTTTAATGGGAAATTCACCCTTGAAATTTTATTTATGCTTACTAACTAATTTTACTTACTAATTTTACATATTTCCCTTGCCAGGGGGGGGGTCCATTAAAAGCATTAAAATGTCTTTTTTGTCCCAGTTTTGAAAACTCTATCAGCGTTTGTCCATTAGTAACCTTTGCAATCATCGATATTTTAAGCGAAGATGACTTAACCTTGTGTACAATTGAATGATTTTCGAACCTGCGTACGACGAAAATAAGCGAGAGTTTAGCTTTCTAATATAGCCAATTTTATCAAGCGATTATAATTATACTGTTTATTTCAAATTAAAGCTTGTTCTAAATCCTGAATCGTTAATAATTTTCTTATGGAATCAAAGTCCTTCCACGAAGTTAAATTAAAATAATTTGGTCTACAGCCTCCTATGGATATCCTTGTTTTTGATGACGTCGACGAAGAAATATCAGCCGAGTCTGAAGAAGTGCATCTGGGTAAGGCTTTGCAAGGGCTATAACGTCATAACTCTGGCACTCTGACTCAAATTTCTTGGAGTATAAAGTTCCGCTTAGAAAAAGAGTTTACACTGAGAGAGAGGACAGTGCTCAATAGGCATAAACTCTCATTGTCATTTAACCAATTTATGAATAAATGAGTAACTACCACAGTAAACAATTTTGGTTTTCCTTCTCATAATGGCTGTAAGTTTTTCTGGTAGAAGCACCCTTTCTCGTCGAATTGGTCTTTTCCTTGACCCATTTGCCTTCAAAATCCTTTGTTGATCTACAAAAACAATTGCCAACTAAGTTAACGTTAGTTGCTGTTTTGACTTGACTTCTGAAAGTAGACTACATTAAGTTTAAGTTTTTTAAGTTCCTAATTAATGAGTTCGGGGAAATCAAGACTCAAAACTTAAAACCGTCTAACCCTTTTAGTGCAGTTACAGCATCTATGTCTTAATGGTTTTTAACTCCCAAGGAATTAAATGGCATGTCACCTTAATTCTAAAGATTTCCCTTTACATTAATAGGGAAATAAGTGACATGTCACCTTAATTCTAACGATTTCCCTTTCAATAATCGCTGTGTCCTTAATTTGCCTATCTTTATATTACATGCAGGCCTGCCTGCCAACAAGCTCATTTCAAAACTTCACGAGAATTCAGCAGGGATTAGCATGGAAAGTGCCATCGTAAGTAATCGTTATTTCTATTCCACTTCTCAATGACTTTATTCCATTGTCAGTGACTGTTTGACCCTCGCCGTTGAGCCACTTGTGCCTAAGCACGAGTGGTTGGTTTGATACTCATAAAAATGGACTGGAAACTAATACATATTTTGTTAATTTATGATGTTTGTGATGTCTAAGACGTGTGTTAATTTTTTAATCATGCTTTTCATTACGAGCCTGATGCATCATCATCATCATCATCACATTTACATTTTGCACCCGTATCGAGACGATTCTGGACCTCTCGTACAAATTATAATCAACTGCTAAGGTTTGAGAGTATCATTTGACCTTTAATATCCGATATCCCGAATCTTCGAACCACAGATGATTGTTTTGCTAGAAAGAGCTGCAGAATTTTACGAGACTATGTTTTATTCAGATCGGTGTGCAACTTTTGAGTTAACTGATAAAGAAATGGAGGCCCATTTGAATTGTTGTTATAATCATTAACTTTATATTAATTTCGTTCTAGAACTTGAAAAAGCTTATCTTTGGCTCTTCAACCATGTCCTTCAACCAAGAGTGGCGAAACCAAAGTTTCTCTTTTTGCGAACTTCCTGATTTGGGTTACGGCATTGTCCAGATTAAGGTATTTTGATCTGAAATTGCTTGTTGTCTTGTCATGCAATCTTGTCCTTTAAACATTCAGCGGCGGTTGTAGGGACTGTGGCACCCGGACTGAAACATCTGTGGAGCCCTTGTTCTTTACAATTTTTATTTTTTTCTTAGGTGCGGTACCTGGAGCCGTCTGGCTACCATACATTAACAGCAAAAAATTTCGTCAGATAAATTTTCGGTGGATAAACTTCGTCAATAAAAATTTCGGAGAGCTTTTCAGATTTTCATCATGACAAAAATTCGTCGATGATTTTTAAGCTAATGTCTTCATTAACACAGAAAATATAGTTACCAATAACACTGAGATATAAGAGGCGAAACCATACAGTTTGTTTCATATTTAGTCCCATAGGTACCGACTCCGTGGAGACTTAGGGTCTTGAGCACCCATTCGAAATCGGGAATTATAGGGCCTAGGACCGTTGTTTCCAGGACCCCGCTAATGCCGTCACTGTCTACATTTGTTATCTTGACATGTAGTTGTATAGAAGCCCTGTATGAAATAGCAGTATTCTAAAGAAGATATGATATCAACTTTGCTATCATAGACATTAGAAAAAAATTGATTCATATCAAATTAGGAACAAAAATTTAGATATTTTGAGTGATATGATATCAATATTTTCATCAAAGGTCGACCAGTCTTTCGGCTAAATTCTTAAGCCATCGCCTATCCTAAAAATCGACTTCATCTGATGGTTATTTCCTCTCAATATAAGCTGTATCAATTTTTTTGAACAATTCATAAGTTACGGGAACATTTATTAAAGGAAATGCAAGTTGTTCCTCGCACAGGTGTACACCTTTCAACAGACAAACCATGTAAGAAATTGTATGCTATGACGTACTCCTCAATAGTTGTTGTTGTAGTCACTTAATGTACACGTTTAAGTTTGCTTTAGAAATTAGATTAGAATTGAATGAGATTAGAACGTCATAGAAGTAGAACGGATCGAAGTTGGAACCTTACTAGAATTCTCGTTGTATAATTGAAGTTATCCAGTCCTCTACTGGAATTAGAATTCTAGCCTAAACAATATAGCGTTGTCTTTCTGATCCTCTATCCCTCTATCTGTAGTACTGAACTTGAGCCGCAAGCATATAGAAATTTTGCACACATCATTTTATTTTTTCAGGGTGGACCTTGTGGTATTCTTGCTGCTGTTCAAGCAACTATTTTGAAACATCTTATGTTCTCTGATAACCCAAAAGCACAATACAACAGGTTACTAATCTATTTTGCATAAAATCTTTTGCAAGGTCATCAGATATTGAGCAGCTATCATTCTTGCCGTTTCTTTAAGAATGCTTTCTTGGTCAGTCCTTATTAAAACACTGCAGAATAAGGATTGCATTGTTATATGGGGCTACAGCAAGCAATAGGTACACTTCAGTGAATACCAGTATGGGTCTATAACAGACATAGCGTCCCCCCGCACCCAGTCTCGCTGCAATTATTACTTAGCAGTTGCAATTCATTAAGAAAGTGAAAGGATGATATGAAAACTTGAATGAATCTCATTATGGCTATTGAAACAAAGGTGGAAGTCTGTTGCCTCGTTTCTGTTGATGCAGTACAATTAAAACCTGAATTGCGTTGTTAATCTTACAACTCCGATTTGTTTCACTTTATGATTAGGCCACCAGATCCGTCTGCAAGAGAAAGAACGAAGGCCTTGGTTGAGTCCGCTGCGAATATCTTATGGAGAGCCGGTGGTAGAAAGGGTGCATCTATTGTCACGTGAGTTTAACTGACTGGATAAAATTTCAGTAATCTGTACTCCAATTCCATTTTTTAGACTCGATAAGATCTTTGCTTTGTATTGTAATGTTATAAAGTTGTATCTTGAACTAAGCACAGTTTATGAATTAAGCTACTCTCATCTATTCAAATGAACTTTGCCCATCGCAGATTTTCAGAATGACACGAAACATGGCTTTTGGTACAAAATAATGTTTTTCGCTCGACACTTCTCGGAGTGTAAAACTTTTAAAAATGTCCACCAAAAAGTGAAGGAGAATTTATATCCAGGATGGGATGAAAAGTAACTTGAAAGGTTTTGTTCCGAGGTACCTTCAGGTCCTGTATTCAGGGGTGGACAAATATTGGGGGGGCAAGCCTATTGTTGTGATAAGATGACGTCACATTTTTCAATTGTTTTAGAACAAAAACCCATTGCCCTCCAAAACATTGAGGGAGGACGACCGCCCCCCCCCCTCGCCCATCCTCGCCCCACAGGTGTCCGCCACTACCTGTATGCAGAGTTACAGAGAGAAAAGGTTTCTTTTTACTGAATCCTGATAATTTCATTTCTTTGTCAGAACAGTGTATGGAAATGATGTTCATATTCTTCCCTTTAGGATTTTAATTTTAAATAAAAATGATACTCTTTCCATTGACTAACTAGTCTCAAAGGTTGGGTGGATGAGAAAATCAACAACTTTTGTAGCGTCAACATATAATTTGTGTATAGTCTATTTTTCTATGTGATAATTACAGAAGAATATTGCATTTGTTTGGATTTTTGTTTTTGACCAATACGCGACCGCCAGCCACCCAATTTTTAAAGCGTTCAAGAAGAACAAAAAGCACATTTTTCACACAAGTTCAAATTCTAATGCACATGACAAAAATTTTAATGTAGACAGAATCGTTTTTTAGTCATAAACAAGGCCCAATCAAACGAAACTGGTGATTAGTTTATCTTCACTTGTTGACATTAACCACCGTTTCATACTTCGAGTGTTTTCAAATGATATTTTTTTTTCAGACCATCAGGAAAATCGAAATTTCTTGGTGGAGGCAGATATAAAACTGACGGTCTTACAGAAACGGTTCGTTACAGGATTTTCTTATCTGCGATATGTACTTTAGAATTTTAGAATTTAGCTCTGTATGGCGCAATTTTGCATTCGAAAAGTCGGGATTTTAAAGTTATGGCTGTCACTAAATGTGAAGGAGTGAACAAGTTGGAAATCATTACACGATCTTATAAAATTTCTTAATTTCATTCAATTGATGGTAGATGTTTCTTAATTTGTTTACAGATTGTTTCTTTCTTTGAATTGGATTACTTTTGTACCTAGAGAAATTTTTTAAACCATCGTAAAAGCTCTGCTAAGGCCCATACGCTCGTTATTTTTGAAGTTCCTGAGGAGATTTATTGGAGAGGTAGGCTTATTGGAGACGAGTGGCATATTAAGAAGTTCTGGGTTGGGGCTGTAGAAATGTATTTTTGTGTGTTTTTTCTGCTACACATCTATGAAAAATAATAAATACTATCTGCTACTAATGAAATAAAAATGGGTAGTTGATAATTTAGCCGTCTTCATCAGAATTTTCGAGCAAAGTCTTATAAACCAAGGGGGCTTAATGGATGGTAGATTATTTTGAGATTTTTCTTCAAAAGATTTGCTTGGTTGAGAGGAGGCTTAACAAAGCTTTTACGGTTGATAATTTATTGGGTAATAGCAATAACGAGATATTTCAGACAAACTTATTTAGAAAATATTGTTAAAAATGACTAGGAATGAATAAAGTTGCATACAGATAGTTTCTGTTGGCTGACATTTGTTGCTGATGGCTTGTATACGATCACATTAGCATACATTAGCATACATTAGCATACATTCAACTGATTTGTTACGCTGCTTATTCTAGCTCACGATTAATGATTTCAACTCAGAAGAGAATTTGAAGGCTTTTATTTCACAAAACGTTGGTCAGGTAAGTCAGCCAAAAATTTATATAAAGTTAGAATCAGTCTAATTAGTTCATGTCGAAATACGTAAATTTGAAACATCACTGGCATTTTAATTCGAAAGTGGTACCTACCCTACCTTTGTTTTGAAAGGTGTTGAGTTTCTCAGTAGTTGAACATTTTATTATATTAGAACATTTTCTAACTTTTGCATGTTTTCTTTAGTTTGAGAGTGAGTCGAGCAGTGGCTGTATTTTACTGTTGTATTCCTTGGTTTTTTCCAGAACAATCAAAAGGTATGCTGCTTTTCTTCTCCACACATACGACTAAGTAAAATAATTATTTCGTAGTTTGCAAAAACATTTTAATTAATAATTAGTAACATTTTTTATCTCAAAAATGTATTTCTTTGTCTTGACCTCTGCTCTGAGCTGCATTGCCTGTGTCTTTAGATATTATTTCTGAATTTCTGACCAAGACTTCGAATTTTAGAATAAAATCCGATATGGATGAACCAAACGGAACGCTCATTGGCTCTCATGGATATTGTACACAGGTTTTTAGACTTTGGAACTTCATAAATCACAATCTTAATCATGTATTAATCAAAAAATGCACCTATAGAAATGATGTCTTTCATGCGCATATCTAGCCTATTTATCCACTGGTCTTGTTTGTCTGCTAATTAATTTTTGTCCTCTGGAAACAACATGCTGAAATTTCAGGAAAAATCGTACTCTTGACATTTTGATTTACCTTATAAACTGTATGTCTCTGCAGGAATGCTGACCAAACTACAGGCATAATCTAGACTTTAAATCAAATGCTCTTTCTAACCTTGCCTAAATGTTGCACTTTGTAATTAAAAATCCGCCCATGTCAAGGTCAATTGAAGCAGCTGGCTTCATCCCCACCTTTCTCAATAAGTTTCTTTCAAGTTAGTTTTACTATCACTGTATTTTTCTCAACTCTTAGAATGTTGAAAGCGCTTTGTCCGAGCCCTTTATATTCTAGACGCTTTTTGCGATCTACTGGCAGCACCAAGAAGGGTGTATTATTCTCCCCCTTTCCGTTTAAACATGTGCTACCGACCATTGCTCATACTCTCTTAATATTCATTAATGCAAAGGGAGATGAAAAAATTTAAGCCAAAACCACTCTATATCCTATTTCTACGTGCATTTCTCTTTCATGCTGTTGCGTTGTGTCTTACAAATGATGTCATTTGCCCGTATTCAGCTGCTATCTTTATTTTAAGGAGCTTGTCAATCTCTGCTTGACTGGCAAGGCAGTGTCCAACGTATTTGATGGAATCATGGAATTAGATTCAGGAGGAGCGACTAAGGTGCTTTTGCTTCTCGGTTTATTTCTATGATAGTTACTATACAGTGGCTAATTTTCAGGGAGAAGCAGCTGGTGTTTCAGCGAAGAAGTCTAATAAAAGCAGATTTTTCTCAAATTTCATTTTTAATAATTTCTAATAATAATACACTAATGACTAATGGTAATACACTAATAACTAAATTAAACGTAATTCTGGTTACCGTCGCAAATGATTTTGTAGTAATTTTTTTCAAAAGGCCTTATTTTGAGCTGTTTCTATCTATTCTTTCGCATTAATATGATTTTTTAACATATATTGTTTATCCGCACACCAACCGGACTTGACGGCAGCAATAAATACCTGTTCTTACTTTGTGGTCCTCTTTCACTTCCAATGCATACTCTCATGGGAAATTCAGTATAAACGACAGAATGTTAAAGAATAAAGAGGCGATATTCGAAGGGAAAGACCTTAGAAACAAGCCATTCAGAAAGCTTATTTGCAGTATCAATTTCTGTGCCTTCTCTTTTCCTGGTTTCTTATCCTGGATTAGATTTTCCATCATTAAGACTTGAGGTAGAACATAAACGTGAAAACATTAAAGCTATTTCTTTGCATTAAATATGTCTACTATATTGTCTGTTATCTCCAATAGTCTCTTCTAAAAGGAATTGAAAAACAGAGTGATATCGGTTTTCTTTCACTATTCGAGCACTATGATTCCTGTAAGGTTGGTATAGAATATTTATGTATAATATTATTTTTCATGCTCTTTGTGATGCCATTTTTACTTAAATAAACTCTTTTTGTTTAGCTATTGCATTGTGCGTGCTTTAGGGAGCTCGTTAATTCAAGACGATATTTGGTTTTTTCGGTTTTTTTTAATTTTCAGCTACTTTTCTTTTTCTTTATATTCTACATGTTACTGTATTTTCTATGTAATCAGGTAGATTGTTAAATATTCATTACGGAAACAAGTGATTTATTAAACCTGATTTATTAAATCTGGTAGATATGGAAACTAAAACATAGATACTACCTTTTCTTAGACTGTGACGTCACGATTTTTGCCTCTCGTTCTTGTTCCATTTTTGCCACTTCAAGAAGAAATGCACTGTATGTAATTCAATTCAACAACTAAAAGAAACCGCTCTACAAAATTATGCAAAATTATGCAATATATATTAGCTGGAAAGTTTCCAATAAATGGTGACTATAATTTTAGCTGAAATGGCCCTTTTTATAACTATCCTGCTCTACGCACCGGAAGCACAAAACGATGTCCGACATAACCATATGATGTAAACAACTACAGATTTGACTGCGAAAAGAAGTTTTTGTACTATAACAAGGGGTAAACGAAAAGATCTAAATTCGTGTTTCATTTATTCATTGTAGGTTGGGGACAATTACAAGAACCCATCATATCCTATTTGGGTTGTCTGCAGTGAAAGTCACTTTAGCACGCTATTCAGCATCAATGGACGACTTTTGTGTGAAAGGTACCGGCTTCCTTTTATTGTTAATAGGTATTGTATCTGTGAATAGGTTTAAGATTTTCTTAAGGTTCGGCAGGAAAAGGGCTCCGATGCAAGTTCAGAAGTAGGCGGGCCAAGAGCGTCTTAAAATCCCCAATTCCAATAAATTTTGCTAAAAACTCTTGGGGGATCTTGTTTTTTCAAAAACGTGGGGGATCATGCCCCTCCTCCCTCTCGTCGTCGCAGGCCAAGCAGGAGCATGTTGTACGGAGAACTGAGCAACTTATTTTCCATCTATGAGCAAATAATTGATTTGAAACATTTCTCAAACAATATCAGTTACAGAAACTATTTATCAAGAACCCGAACCTACATAGGGGTTGAGTAAATTTGTTACAAATGTGTCACAAATCAAATTTAATTTGTCTTATGGAATATTTTATCAAATGATACTGCAATATATTTCCCTCTAAAAATATCCCAAGATCTTCAATCTCTTTGTAGATTTCTGGTAACTGAAAGATGTAGGCTTTTGTTTGCCTGGCGTGTAATAATCCACTATGTTCTTCCAGGAATTTTCCGCAAGTTTTTGACATATATTATTATGATGGTCTGGCAAGACAAGATGAAGAAATTCGATTAACAATCGGTGAGTTTTTTATTTCATGTTTAAGTACCATCTAAGAAACACAGCTTGGGTATTGGCATCGAAACCATGGCTCTAAAAGTACTTTATAGAAAATTTTGCTATGCGAAATGATTTTTGTAATCAGACGCTTATCTATCAGACCACCCAAGACCCTTCATTCCCCATGTATAATTAATTGTGCGATGTCCCTTGATGCACCGAAAAATATTTCAGAGACTCACGATATGCTGCAGCGAAAATCAAAAGAGAGTTTAAATAAGAGAGTAAAAAAGAGAGTCACAGCTAATTTTTGGCAAACAGCAAAAAGGAGTGAAATAGCATTTTAGTGCTCTTAATACTGCTATTGCTAAAATAATGGATCATTCAATTTCTATTACTTCTGCTGTTGTTGCCATATTTTGGAACATTTGAAGAGAAAAATTATTTTCTAACTGTGATACTCTCCATAATGTTTGCCATAGACACACAAGAACAATACGTTGAAGACAGTGACGATCTGATACCTCCATTAGAACATTGCATTCGAACTAAATGGAAAGATGCAACAGTCGATTGGAATACAACAGAGCCTATACTGTAAAGGTTTGTGTTGAAAGAACGTGCTGCTGAGGCCAATCTGATTAGTGTTACCATTTACTGGCAGTTGGAGCCATAACCTCAAGTATGAAAAAGAAACACAGCGGTTTACACATTAAAGATTTATCTTTTCTTTAAGAAATTTGCATCAGCTCATATACTCCTCTGACCACCATACCTTTAAGCTCTACAAATTTGGCATTAGCCTCCCACCCCC